ACCCGCAGTTATTGTTCCATTCAGATGGGAGGTTCGGCGTGCGATTGTTCTATATCAATATTACCTGGGAAGTGAAAGGCCGACTTGAATTGAAAAACTGACTAAAAATATAAACATATCTATCAATTCTTTCTTCTATTAATTTATATTCTTTATATTCATGTATCTATGCCAATGTTCTAAAATAAATACAATGTACCAAATTTTATTATCAAATTAAAAATGACTTTCAGCGGACAAAAAACTGCATACAAGTTGTTTACAGTCAAATCTGTGTTAAAGACCGCCGTCGAATAAAGACCACCCTGTAAATATAGACCACTCTTTGGCAAACCTCAATTGATGAAAATACAACAAACTCCGAATAAAGACCACTTGTTTATAAAGGTCATATACATGGTCTCTCCTTCGGATGACTTATATTCACAGGTTTGGCTGTATATATAAGAAACTTGTGTTGAACTGGACAGTAGATCATTTAATTGGCCACAAACAATTCATACCAATCACACATTCTGTGATAAAAGTTAAGGTTTTATACCTTTATGTGTAGATAAAAAGGTAAAGGTAAAGGTCTTGTTTATTATAGTGTCACCCCTACTGAAAGGGCCAGCCATTTTGACTTATGAGACACCTTTTGGTTGCATACCATGTACCTCCCAATTCCTACCACTATGCCAGGCGCCAGGCGGGTAGAAATCGGTAACCATTCATTTTAACTACCTCGCGGCTCACGAAGCGACCATTTCGGAACGAGTCCCACGAGAAACATTCATCCTTCAATTAACGCTCCCCGTGGGGCTCGAACCTTCGACCTCCAGATCTGAAGGCGGACGCCTTAACCACTAGGCCAACGGTAGATTTATCAGTCTTTTCACTAAATGAATAGCAATTTTTAGAATAACACAGTTCAGTGGTCCTTGCATGATTCAAACTCTCGGTGGTGACAGTAGTCAAAGAATCGTAACTTAAACCACTTAGTCACAGAAGTCATACTAGTTCTAACCAGAGTCGCGCAGTGTATATTTTATATATAGTCTGCACAATCTCCATTAAAACGAGCTATCCAACTACCTTAAGGAACGTTGGTGGTTCTACTCGGGTGTTTGCTCGTGATTGTAATAATCGTAAGGTCTTCCTGCACCAAGAAAGCCGGACATTGGCTGTACGGCATGTGTCAATGCATATGTCTTTAAACTCCACCAAACCATATAATAGGATCTCCACTGAGGTCCTAAAACTAAAATCAGTTGTTTTATTTTAATTTCGTACAAAGATTAAGCTGGGGCACTTAAAACAGACAGATATGCGAAAGTAATTAAGTAATATATTCAGAAATAAATTTTAAATCGTATTTAATGCTATTCATACCCCGATTTTTAAAAATGTAAAGCTTTGCAAAATTGTGTCATTTAAAAAAATTAGAATAATTATTCTAGAAAAAATACGGATTGAGCGCTTGATGAAATTTTGCACACAAGTTATTGGCCTAGACCTAATTTTTAACGACTGGTCACTTGGATCCAGCAGGGTATAGTTGAAAGAAAACATTGGTACAGTAGATATTAACTTAGAAAGATTTTAACATGACATTGTCTAAATCTTTACTTTGGGAAGAAATATTATAGTTGTTGTACAGAGGTAATTGCTCTTCCAATGGTCGCTTTTCAGAGGTTATATACATGTTTATACACTTTCAATAAATGAAAAATAACAAGCTCATTAAATATATCATATTTTTATTCCAAATAAATGCCCAAAATAAAGCCATCAATTTACATACAATTCGAGACCTAGAGAATAAAAATAACATATACATGTAAACCGTATAATGATGTAAACCATAAAATAAAATTTATCCAAAACAAAAACATTAAGTAAACTGTGTTTTCTAAAAACACAAAAGCTCAAATTTGATAATAAATAACAAATTTAAATCATAGTGAAATTTACTGAATTTTATCAAATTATACTTTTTTAATATAACAAACAAGATAGTACTTATGAATTTTAAAGTGAGCTTTACTACAATAGCTTAAACACTGTCATATCTAGCCACTGGAATATCATAACATAACATTCTTAGACTAAGACTCTTAAAAACAAGCAAGTACTCCATTTGTAAATGTGACGGCTTATTCGATCAATCTTATTAAAACCAGCTTCTAATTTACGAGTGTTAACAAACAAGTGTGGACAGACGACAGACATTTAACGATCCTAAAAGCTCACCCTGAGCTAGCTCAGGTGAGCTAAATATGTAATTAGGGTGGGTCAATGACTTTATTTTACATAACATACCACTATATAATACTATTATAACTACAATATATTAAAACACTAGTCAAACATGAACAAACTGCCTTAGTCTTTATTAATGGTGTTCACATGACTCATAGACATACTGTTTCAAAATTCCCTGAATTTTGCTTAAATTTTAAATTCTGCAAAAAATTTCAATAATTCCCGCCATAAAAAAAATTATTTCCCTGACTATGGAAACCTTACAAAATATTTATATAAGAGATGAACAATTTACCACATTCAAACCTTTAGGATCATCAGATACTTGTGCACACCAAATGGGGCCTTCAACCTTGACCTCTGTCAGGTAACGGGAAAATATCATATTCCTTGTAAGTAAGTAATTTATGCATTAACAAACAAGCTAAGGGTTTGATGTGGAAAAAACAATTGTGACTAGCTTTATTTTCTTCAACAATACATGTTCTTATTTCTGATTAATATTGTGAAACATCAACAAAAAGATTACAACACAAATACAACAAGCAATTATCATAGTATTGCAAGCAATCCATAAGTCCCCTACTGGTAAGAGCCAAAGCAACATTCTGAAGGGCCATTGGCCATTCACTTAGGTTCCTATTTTAAGTAAATTTGTTGAAAAAGTTCTTTAAAAGTGATCACAGGAAACAGTTTTTATGTACAGACAGACGGACTGAAGGACACTCTAAAGTTATTTTTTAAACATCCCTGTAATCAAAATATAACCTTTTTTAAAATCCTATCATGATTGAAGAAGTTGGAGTAAAAATTACCAATTTCTCAAAAAAAAATCTAAGTTCAAAAGGGGCATAATTCTGGAAATAGTCTTGGTAGAGTATTGAACACTCACAAATGTTGAGTGACAATAAGAAACATTTACATGAAGTTTGAAGTAGATACATTCAGAAAAAGAAGTTATTAAAAAAACAATGTTTTTTTTCATGAAAATTTTAAGTTCAAGGGAGATAATTCTGATAAATTTTGTGCTAGAGTTGTAAACCTTATCACATATGATGTGGTTGATGACAAGCAATTTATATATAAAGTTTGAAGAAAATACCTTAAGAAATAAAGAACTTATAGTGAAAAAACTTAAAAACTAGAATCAGAAATCTTGAAATTCAGTCTATTTGTTGCCATAGCAACCAGAATTTTCAACATAGGAAGATAAGAAAAGAATGTGCATAATTTCTATACTGCCATCTACCCATATGTCAAGTTTCATAGACATATTTTCAGTACTTTTTGTGTTATCACTGGATCCAGGTTATGTGTAAAATTTGCCATATTTTCAGTCTATTTGTTGCCATAGCAACCAGAATTTTCAACATAGGAAGGAAAGAAAAAGACGTGCATAATCTCCATACTGCCATCTATCCATATATCAAGTTTCATAAAAATATTTTCAGTACTTTTTGCGTTATCGCAGGATCCAGGTTATGTGTAAAATTTGCCATATTTTCAGTCTATTTGTTGCCATAGCAACCAGAATTTTCAACATAGGAAGAAAAGAAAAAGACGAGCATAATCTCCATACTACCATCTATCCATATATCAAGTTTCATTAAAATATTTTCAGTACTTTTTGTGTTATCGCGGGATCCATTTTGTGGACGGACGGACTGACGGACGGATAGACGGACGGACGGACTGACGGATGGACAGACAGACAGAAGGACAGACGGACGGAGGGTAAACCTAAAGTCCCCTCCGGTAAACCGGTAGGGGACTAAAAATAAGCTATCCTATCACATGTACTTCTATATCTACTGGCATCAAGCACTTATCTGTAAAATGTCTTCAAGTACTAATCTTAAGAATATCTCAACTGGCATCAAGCATTAATCTGTAAACTGTCTTCAAGTACTAATCTTAAGAATATCTCAACTGGCATCAAGCACTTATCTGTAAAATGTCTTCAAGTACTAATCTTAAGAATATCTCAACTGGCATCAAGCACTTATCTGTAAAATGTCTTCAAGTACTAATCTTAAGAATATCTCAACTGGCATCAAGCATTAATCTGTAAACTGTCTTCAAGTACTAATCTTAAGAATATCTCAACTGGCATCAAGCACTTATCTGTAAACTGTCTTCAAACACTAATCTTAAGAATTTCAATCACAACTGGCACCTAGTAATTATCTGTAAATGTTTTTCAAACACTTATCTTAAGAATAACTATCTCATTTGGCATCAAGCACTTATCTGTAACTGTCTTCAAACACTAATCTTAAGAATAGCTATCTCAACTGACATCAAGCACTTATCTGCAGATACAACATCAAAAACTAGCAAGTAAGTAAACCTTATCAAATTACAACAAACACTAATCTATAAGCACAAATTAATCTGTAAGTAAAACTGTATCAACTGGCACCAAACACCAATCTGTAAGTGTAGCTTAATATATAAGTACAACTATATGAACTAAGCACTAATCTGTAAGAATAACTTAATCTGTAAGAATAACTTTATCAAACACTAATATGCAGGTAAAACATATCAACAGGCATCAAATAACATTCAATAGATACAACTTAATCAACTGAAATCAAAAACTAATGTATATGTTAAACTGTCTCAACTTAAATCAAACATATGTCTGTAGGTACAAGTTTATCAGCTGTATATGCTTGCTTATATAACACATAAATGTTTGAAAATTACAAATACATGTACCATAAAAGAAGGCAAATACATAAATACCTAATTAATCAATTCTCAATAAACAATATGTATAACTAAAACACATAATACAATATGTAATTTTTTGGTGGGTGTTTAATAACATGCCCTGTTAAGAGCATTTGACTCTGGCTCCTTTTTATTTTCAGATAAATCTACAGTCCAGGAGATGAAGTGAGATTTCAACATGTAAACATAAATTCATGTTTTTGTTTCATGACATTGAAGAAAATCTTCACATAGTGCCTTACAAATATATTTACATGTTGTTACTTAAGCAGATAATATAAATTATTTAAATTTAACTGACTTAGAGTAAATACAAAGAAAAACAAAATATAAAGACTGGTGCAATCCAAATCCTGAGTAAAATTAAAGACAGCGTACATGTAATTGTATTAATAGCCATATATTCCAAAGTGTTTCAAATATAAAATGCAAGGGAGATAATTTACCCTTAACCTTAACATAAGTTCTCCACAGCAGCCCCAAAAATAAAACTGTTTTATCTTCAGTGAAGAAATCAACAATATTGATTAGTTTCTTGTTAAAAGAAAGGTTACTGTGTAAGTGGATATTTCCGAATGTCAAAAGTTAGCAAATCTAAAGTAACAAACATTTTGCCCATGGAAATATTAGCAGATCATCAATCTCCGAGTAGTGTGAGAACTAAAAACAGGTTGAGAGATATTAATGCTGGAGGAAATTTTAGCGATTTACATCCATTAGCAAAATTCCTTTATTTCCACATCGCTAACTGAATCACTTACACAGTAAATGATCATTTACATGAATACTGTTCAGTTGGAGGTAGATTTTTATTATCTTTTTTTTTTTTCTTTCAAAAATTTCTAATTTCAATACACATAATATTTTCCCCAATTTTAACCAGATTTTTTTTGCCAAATTAGATGGAAAAAGATTCTGGCAGCTTAATTTTAGCATAGTTATATCACATAACGACAGTTATAAATTTAGAGCAAATACGACAGTTCTAAATTAAGAGCAAATCAGTCAAGTAACCAGTTCTGGTACAGGACCAGTTCCGGTTTCTTCAATGCCACTTTCATTGAAATATTTCTAGCATTTGAATTTTTTGTGGATTATATAATGCCATGTGTATCTTACCATTTGTTCGCAGCTCTGTTTCTTATAAATTGTTGGTTTTCTAGAAATAACTAGACCTATCACTGAAGGTGATTAATACCCCCACCAGCAACTGTGACTTTTTGAAAAAAAAGTAGTCTGAAGAAAAATTTGAACACAAACTATCAACTGTGTACAAAGAAATATTTCAATTAATTGTAACCCCAACTGGGGTCTCCAAATAAGCTTGCTTTTCACAAAGTTTGATTACAATATCTCATTCCTAACTCTAGTTATTGTCCGGAAACCATTTTTCTATTTTTAGTAACACTGTAACGGTGACCTTGACCCTAAGGGGTCCAAATGCAATACCAACCCAGGTCTTCATATAAGCTTGCTATACACCAAGTTTGATTACAATATCTCATTCCTAACTCAAGTTATTGTCCGAAAACCATTTTTCTATTTTTAGTATCGGTGACCTTGACCCCAAGGAGTCCAAATGCATTACCAACCCAGGTCTTCATATAAGCTTGTTATACACCAAGTTTGATAACAATATCTCATTCCTTACTGTACTTATTGTTCGGAAACCATTTTTCTATTTTTAGTAACGGTGACCTTGACTTTGACCCCAGGGGGTCTAAATGCAATACCAACCCAGGTCTTCATATAAGCTTGCTATACACCAAGTTTGATAACAATATCTCATTCCTAACTCTAGTTATTGTCCGGAAACCATTTTTCTATTTTTAGTAACGGTGACCTTGACCTTGACCCCAGGGGGTCCAAATGCAATACCAACCCAGGTCTTCATATAAGCCTGCTATACACTAAGTTTGATAACAATATCTCATTCCTAACTCTAGTTATTGTCCGGAAACCATTTTTCTATTTTTAGTAACAGTGACCTTGACCTTGACCCCAGGGGGTCCAAATGCAATACCAACCGGAGTTGCCACATAAGGTTGCTATATACCAAGTTTGATTACAATACCTCATTCCAAACTCAAGTTATCGTCCGGAAACCATGATGTGGACCGACCGACGGACCGACCGACCAACCGACCGACAAGCTGACTCCTATATACCCCCCCTAAACTTCGTTTGTGGGGGTATAATGACATTAAACGAGTCGGAACAAGTCATGTGCCGAACTGGACCACTGATAGTACATGTTCATTATACAAAACCTAACAAGTTAATAAACAATTCATATAAAGCCCAACACCCATAATAATACAAAATCAGAGGTAAAAAGAACAACAGCCCTGCATGTGGTGTTAATACTTATCTGTAAAAAGGGCAACAACCACTAGTATCAATTACCAACTTTAAGAAAAACTTTAAGTTGATAAAAGGAGCATAACTCTAAAGATAAAGCTTTCAGAATAATGCCCCTTGTTTCACAACTGCACCTTTTCATAATTAGCAAATATTCCAAGTTTCATATTGATAACTTTTAAATAAAACGTTTGAATAATTGGCTACATAAAAGTTTTTGCATGAATACAACAACAACGAAATAGTGGACATAATAACTAAACCTTTTTTCAAAACTGACGAGCTGACTGGGATGAAAAAAACTGCGTAAAACGGCAATAATTATTAAAATCAATTTTGCTACAATATGAAACAAACTTAAAATGTCTTCAAATTATTTTTTGTTTATTTGATTGCCACAGGCTGTTTGTATTTTCTCCACAGTGGCTGGTGAATCTAGTTCGAAATAACCGTGTAGACCAATCTGGGAACGTGCTTCTTGAACTGCGTCCTTCAAGGCTGATATTACTGACATTGCCAAAAGCAAAGGAGGCTCTCCAACTCCCTATAAAAGATACATGTATATAAAAAGTAATATATCTTGCTGTAAGTACTGGCAAAAACAATATTTTCAAACATAAAAAATTATGATTCCCCAAATGATATGTAAATTATGTATGAACAAGCATTTGATAGTATTGCGGGCAATACAGTAGTCCCCTACCGGTCCCTCAAAAAAGTTCTTTAATTGTCATACACTCCTGTGTATTGCCATTTATAATGAATTTGAGGATGAAGTCTGTATTTGAAAATATCGACCACAAAACATAATAAAATAAGTTTGTCTATATCACAGTAATGTGTTAAGTTTCCATGCTTAGTAAGGAAATTATGTTTATACAACCTTGTCATATTATTACGATGTGGGATTTTAAAGTAAATCCTATAAGGATTAAAGAAGTTGGAGTGAAAATACCAGTTTCTCAAAAAAAAATCTAAGTTCAAGAGGGACATAATTCTGGAAATAGTCTTGCTAGAGTATTTAACCTTCTCAAAAATGTCGAGTGATAATAAGAAACATATATATGAAGTTTGAAGTAGATACATTAGGAAATAAAGAAGTTATTTAAAAAAGACAACATTTTTTCCCCTAAAAAATCTAAGTTCAAGGGAGGTAATACTGATATTTTTTGTGCTAGAGTTATAAACCTTGTCACATATGATGTGGTTGATGACCAGAAACTTATATTTAAAGTTTGAAGTAAACACCTGAAGAAATAAAGAACATATAGTGAAAAAGCTGAAAAATTTAAATCAGAAATCTTGAAATTCAGGCTATTTGTTGCCATAGCAACCAGAATTTTCAACATAAGAAGAAAAGAAAAAGATGTGCATAATCTCCAGACTGCCATCTACCCATATTTCAAGTTTCATAAAAATATTTTCAGTACTTTTTGAGTTATCACTGGATCCAGTTTATGTGTTAAATTTGCCATATTTTCAGACTATTTGTTGCCATAGCAACCAGAATTTTCAACATAGGAAGAAAAAAAAAAGACGTGCATAATCTCCATACTGCCATCTATCCATATATCAAGTTTCATAAAAATATTTTCAGTACTTTTTGCGTTATCGCGGGATCCAGTTTTGTGGACTGATGGACTGACAGACAGACGGACAGACAGACGGACGGACGGAGGGTAAACCTAAAGTCCCCTCCGGTTAAACCGGTAGGGGACTAATAATACAAGAGCTATTTCCAGTACTTACAGCTTTTCCTGGCCTCTTACCAGTACTCTCCAGTTGACCCAGACTTTCTTTAACCAGTACTTAAGCCATCTGATTTTCTGTTAGTAGCTGCATATATTATTCAAGTATAATTTGTCAGCTAAACAAATTATTACAAATAAGTACCTGAATCCACCATGTTTAATGATTTACTGATAAACAATTTCCTAATGTATTAGTCGACCCTTTCAAACCAATGGCACAAACATATTATTTTTAAATTTGTATAGTATATAGAGTGAAAGCCTTGGATAAATTCCTTCAATTGAAATGACATTATGACAATCCAAGTCTAATGTTGAGTGCACAGGTAAAATTCATAGTAACTTAAAGTATCTATAGAAACATAACTAATTCAACTCCAGTTGACAGCTATAAAAAAAGAGTGTAAAGTCACTTTTGTATGTGATTGATTGAAGAAAGTTAATAAAATTTCACCTTAGAAGAATAAGCAGTTGTCACATAGTTATGGTTCTTGAAGAGTGTCACATTAAACTTTCTCGGAATACTTCTCACATTCGGTATCTTGTAACTCAGTGGACTACAGTTCCGTATCTTTCCTGTGGCATCAGGCTCGATGTCCTCTGTTGTCACCATACCAAGGCCCTAAATAACAGAAATGATACATTAATATGGATGTAACAATTTCCTACTATGATTATTAATAATATTTTATTTTAGTTTGATTGTGTGGGAAGAATCCGTTCTAAGAAGCAACAAGTACTAAGCAATAAGTGTAAAGTTTCTTGCTCACAGAAACAACAACTTGTCCCTGACTGGATTTGAACCCATGAGGCCAACAATCCTTATATTACTTGTCTGATGTATTTACCAATCCTTGGCTTACAAAGGTTGGGGAGGGGAGAGGGGCCTTCATAATAACCAATTCTGTATATATCCATCAATCACCCTTTATATTTCTATATGATTTTTTTTTAATAATAATTATAATGATAATGCAAATACATTTCTCGAACTCTAGACAGCTTAACCTGTTTGTATACTTTATCACATATACACCATGAAGACTGAAGCATCATTTACAGAAATAACAATGATTTCTACATCAGAGACTGTTATCTATGTGCGCATAAACTTTGTTACAGAGTTCAGTTCATGGCAAATTTTTTGATTAGAATATCATTCCAAAGAATATGATGACTTTGTACTTGAATTACTTTTAATTGCACAGCACTTTAACATCTGTGGATACCTTCTTTATCTGTAATTTTCTCCCACTTTTTGAAGAAAACAGTCTAAAGTTGCTGGTTTTTTATTTATGAACTTATTATCAATTACAATTTGCAAAATCATTAGTTAGTTATGCAAGTTATTGACTGGATATATGGGGAGAATATAGCCTTGCTGACATAAATATAATACTCAGATAGCGCCTGACTACATATAACAAATATAGGCTAGCATCTTTCGTCATATTTATCTCATTTATAGGCTATATTCTCCTGTATACATCACCTGCAACTTTTATAACCAATAATAATAGACATGGCCTTTATGGGAGCGGTGGACTAATGGTTAAGGTGTTTGCCTCACAACCAAGGGATCATGGGTTCAAGCCCTAATTGGGTCACGACCATGTTTCTTCGTATGACACCAGTACTGGCTGCTTCCAGGAAGCGGACTTGAAAGTGATTTCACAAGTTGTCATTTTTTCCACACAATGTTCAATTCCATTTTAAGTAATGAACAATTAAGAATGAATATGTGTTGTTAATTAAATACTCAAATATTTTTTCAGGTACTTTCAGCATTGCAGATAAACTGAGTGAGATAAGATACTGAGTTACCTGTATGAAACCACCCTCAAGATAAGATAGTGAGTTACCTGTATAAAACCACCCTCAATCTGTCCAACATCTATAGCTGGATTCAAACTTTTACCAACATCAAATACTATATCAGCTTGCAATACCTATAAATAGAGCTAAGTTTCAATAACAAACATAAAGGACAATAAGAATACATTTTAATACGAATACAGTAAACTCCACTTATAACAATATCACATACAATGATATACAGCTGAAAACAATGCTGTTGCCATGGTCCCGATTCTTGTTTTTTTCAAATTGGTTGCTTCTCCAATGTAACGATTCCCATGCATATTGTTATAAGCAGAGTTTACTTGCTGATAACATGGTCCCAACCCTTTTTTCAAATTGGTAACCTCTTGGATATTACAATATACCTGAATCTCATTATAAACAGAGTTTACTGTATGCTGAAATAAGACCATTATTTTGATGATTTTTTTTTTATTTCTATAGGATTTAACCCCTAAAGTGATGAAATCTTGAATGCTTGAATTTGTACTCAAGGTCTTCTTTCACCTTTTAAAGTCACCCTATGTTTCTGTGATTTATAAAACTTAAAACAATAAAATTCCTGAAACAGCATGTAAATAGTTCAACCTAGGACTGTATACTAAATTGTAAATGTTTCCAGTCCTACCTGGTTTTCCCCAGTAAGTACATCAATTTCCACTTCTGTACAGCAGACACCATATGTATAATAATCATAATTCCATCCTGTCCTTTTGTTTCTGTTCCAGTTCACATCTTTTTCTTTCCTTGAAAATAACAGCAAAAACAAATCTAAGTGACTGCATCAACCCCTAGAGTGTAAAATTGTTGTACCACTTGTATTTCTCCTCTAGAATGTATGAAATACAGTATAATCCCTGAAATGTGGCTCTCTGTGGACCAATAACTTCTTTACAACTACAATATCATTTCTTCCCAAAGAAAAAATTTCCACTATATTTTACCTCTGTAGAGCAACACCTCTGAAATAGCAACCAAAATATTTGTCTCCTGAAGGGTATTGCTCTACAGAGGTTACACTACATGTATATACATGTAGTATAAATGTCTATCATTCAGCAAAGCAGCGTTATTTTCACACAATACTTAGTATTCACTCCCAAGGGACACAACTCTGCTTGTCCTGTTTTAACTGTAAATTAATTATACTATCAAGATATCTAAATAAATTATCAAAAAGTTCTCATTTGTGGCTATTTGCTGTGAATTATCATTTTGCCCTGTTTAAATTTGCTCGGTTTAAATTCGTAAGATAATATGATGTTTTTCCAAATCTGATCTGTAATAATCTTATCTGAAAAGCAAAAGCTGTAAGTAGGACAGTGCGTTGGACTATTCTCAGTGCTTGATAGCAAAACAGCCTGGATATTGTAGAATTTTCTAAGGTCAAAAAACGACCATAATTCTGTCAAAGTCCATGTTAGAGTTATGGGACTTAGAATGTGAACTCCTATTATGATATTATGTAAGTGTGTGAAGTTTCAATCAATTCCCTTCAGTAGTTTTGGTAATACCAACTTGCAAGCAAAAACTTAACCAAAGTGTGACACCAACACCTTGGCAAGTACAATAGCTCTACCTACTATTCTTTGAATAATAAATGGGAAAACATCTTAATGCACAGAAATGAGTATATAATGAGGTATAATCATGTGTGCAAATGGAAAAAATGTGATTAAAAATCAGCTGTACAAACTGCTTAATAATGCAAAAATTTAACAGATACAGAACCAAAAATCAAGTTTTTGAAAAACCTACCTAGAAAAACCAGTGGCAACCAGTTTTACCCTGTTAAAGTAGGCCTTCTTGACCTGAAACACAGCATGTCAGGCAAACTTTAATATCAGAAATAAACACAGAATAACAAGAACTATAATAAAATTAATGAAAATTGAAACATCTGAGGAATTAAATTGTGTACAACTGACAGATAATTAAAATCTCTATTCCAGGTGTATTTTCTGTGATCAGTTTGAACCCACAGCACTCAAGTACAAGTGATTACATATAATCTATTGCTCTACCAAGTAGGCCAAAATCATTAACACTTGTAAGTCTGTAATTGTATAAAAACATACCAGTGCAGGCCAAGCCAGGCCTGGATGCTTTGTCCTCACAGGTTCAAGTCTCTCTGACAGAATATTGCAAGCATCCTGAAATGTTTAAAGGTAGACAATACATGTAAAATATCTATTTCTATTTCCTTATTTTAGTTTTATTACAATGAAAGCAGTAACGTATCTTGATTAATGAAACAGCTCACCAGGTTAGAGCAGTCTTAAAAATATCTTTGTTTCCCCTTTCGAAACCAAACTTGGTAAATGGGGGTAGTACAATGTATTGATTTTTGGTTGTAAAGCAGGGGGAGAGGGGAGACTAACACATATTTAATTTAATACCTTACTTCATTATTTTGTTAAAATTTCACAGTTCTGCCAGTACAGAGTTCTAAGATTTAACACTGTATTTAACTTCTCTAGACCAACACCTCTCTACAACAACCAAAATATTCACCCTCCAAAGGTGTTGCATACGGTATTGCTCTGAAAAGGTTGTACTGTAATACAAGGCATTAATTGTTCACCAGCTCTTGAGGTGCAAAATCACAAAAACCATTAACCATAACCCTTGAAAATTTGTTTCGAGGACTTTTTACTTTGTTTAAATTTGAAGTTCAAAAAATCTCATTCTTTAACACTAAAAGTAAATGATAGCTGTCAGTTTAATATGCTTGATTGAAAAAAAAGGCCACGCTCTTTCCCATTGCACTGTAGGACCCGCAACATAATTGTCATGTGAGCTTCAAGTCTGATACATAAGTATACAGCAAATTAACATTTTAACCTTTAACATACTGTCAGCAACAGATTTTACCCATGCCTACAGTGCAGACCAATTTAAGCTGCACAACTTTGACGTCTGATCAGGGTCTGCACTGTTCACTTCTCAGTTAGTCATTTGAATGTTTGTTTGGTTTAACACAGCACATAAGGGGCATGAAAGATGATCTTGGCTAACCTTGGGTGTACAAACTTCAAAGCAACACCAGGAATCAAAACCACCTCACCTGCTGGAATTAACAGCTCTATATACTCCAGGTTTCGAACCCATTTAGACACTATCTTACAATCATGCAAAAAAGTTCCCTAACAATGATAATGGTCTTGTCTAGATTGTAAGATGGATGTTTCCATTTAAAAAACATAGTGTGGGAAAGGTAAATATACATACAAGAACGGCAGGAGCATAGATGTCAGTACCCATACTGCCCCCTGTGAGTGTAGCATTAGGAATCTTCTCTGTGCTGGTATCATTTGTGTAGATCAGTTCAACTGGTATACCAAGTGCTCTTGATGCTACCTGTACAAATAAAACAAGAGCTGTCAGTAGGACAGCGTGCTCAACTAATCTCAGTGATTAATTGTTAAACAAGATCATGGATAATGTAGAATTTTCTAGTTTCAAAAAGGGCCATAATACTGTCAAAATCCATGTACGATTTATGGGACTTGGAAAGCAACTTTCAACCCATTCCCTTAAATAGTTTTGAAGATACAATCTTGCACGCAAAAACTTAACCGAAGTATGACACAGACGCGACACCTTCGCGAGTACAATACTTTTTCTTATTCTTTAAAAAGTCGAGCTGCCATTGACCATAACAAAATAATTCCTCATATAAATATATAATGACCCTGACATTTTCCACACTAAAGCACACACAATTACATAGAACTTTAACTTAGTTCAATTACAATGAAAATTTTACATGTTTAAAATTAATATAAACTCTGTACATTGATTTATTAATGCATACACAAGAATAAAATGCTCCTCTTGTTGAAGCTGTTGTCAAGTGTACATGATATTTTATGGTGATACAGAACAATAATTATAGTCTAAATTCCTTAGGATACATGAGTGTAATCATATATCACATCTATCTTACTTTATACAGTCAAAAGTCTTTGAACTTTTTTAATTTTTATTCTAACAATACCTGTATAAGTTTTGTATTCAGTCCCTGTCCCATTTCAACTCCGCCATGAGCCAAGAACACTGAACCATCTGTGTAAATGTTCACAATGGCTGTCCCCTGAAATAATTGTCAACTTAATTTGATGGGCTGGATAAGATAAACACTTAACATGCTAAATTTCTAAAAGAATCCACCCTGATCTGAATTGGGAAAAGTCCATTCAAAATTGCAAGGATTTTTAATATCAAAACACACACACAAAAAACTTAGCTACCAACAGTATAAAGTCTGGTCAGAATGCACTGATATGCAGTCTTGCCTAGCACTATACTGGTTGCAATAAGGCTAATCATTTAAACCTCCAGCATGTTAAGGGTTAAAAGCAATCCATTGTTACTGATATAAATATTGTAATCATATATTTTTTTATATCAACCAAGGCAAAATCTAGTTTGATACTGACAAATTTATGTAAACAACACTTTTTTTCAAGCTAAGAATCACTTCAATAGCTCATAGTCTTATTAGTTTATACAAAATTTATTTTAGTTTGTGTTTGAAGCTATAATAAGCTTTATATTGAAAGACTCTCAAATCCACTCCTGGAACCAAGCAGTACAGAGCAATGAATGTAAAGTTTCTTCCTAAAGGAAACAATGGCTTGGCTCTGACTAGGTCCGAACCCCACATTCTTTAGATTACTAGCCTTATTGTTACTAGGAAAAATGTCTAAAACCCATTGACAAAGTATTACCATTGTTAGGACAATTTTTTTAAAACAATTACCATACCATAACCAAGAAAAGATAGGTAAAAATCCTTGACATACCATTGCTGAGAAAAAAAAAAAAAAAAAAAACAAGAAATGTCGAACGACACATATGCCCCCCTTTCTAGCCCTTGACTCACATTATTGGTAATTTTGTTAGAGAAACTTGCCATAAATGGGTACATTGAAGTATTCAATTATGGAAAAAAGAAAAATAATGAAGACTTTGCAATGAATAGTTTTCAAGATAATGAGACATTTAAGGCCCCTGTGACCTTGACCTTTGACCTAGTGACCACAAAATCTAAAGGGGTCACTTACTAGTTATGACCAATCAATATTAGAAATATGAAGACTTTGTGATGAATAGTTTTCAAGATAATAAGCGGAAACTATTCTCACATTTAAGGCCCCTGTGATCTAGTGACCCCAAAAGCAATACGGATCATCTGTTGGTTATGACCAATCACTATGTGAAATATGAAGACTTTTTGATAATTTACTTGCAAGATAATGAACTGAAATCCTCTACCATTCAAAGACCCTGTGACCTGGTGACCCCAAAATCAATAGGGGTCATCTACTAGTTATGACCAATCAATATGTGAAATATGAAGACTTTGTGACAAATAGTAACCAAGATAATAAGCGGAAATCATATTTACATTCAAGGCCTCTGTGACCTTGATCTTTGGCCTAGTGACCCCAAAATCAATAAGGGTCATCTACTAAATATGACTAATTAATATGTGAAATATGACGGCTTTGTGATGAATTGTAACCAAGATAATGAGCGGAAACCATTCTGACATTTAAGACCCCTGTGACCTTGACCTTTGACCTAGTGACCCAAAGTCAAAAGGGGTCATGTACTAGTTATGACCAATCAGTATGTGAAATATTTAGACTTTGCAAAGAAATCTTTTCATGATAAATCAGCAGAAACCATTCAGACTTTAAAGGCCCCTGTGACATTGAACCTTGACCTAGTGACCCCAAAATCAATAGGGGTCATCTAATAGTTATGACCAATTTATATGTGAAGTATGAAGACTTTGTGATAAATAGTGACCATGATAATAAGCAGAAATCATATTACCATTCAAGGCCCCTGTGACCTTGAACTCTGACCTAGTGACCCCAAAATCAATAGGGGTAATCCTCTAGTTATGACCAATCAATGTGTGAAATATGACGACTTTGTGATAAATAGTAACCAAGATAATAAGCGGAAATCATATTATCATTCAATGCCCCTGTGACCTTGACCTTTGACCTAGTGACCCCAAAATCTATAGGGGTAATATACTACTTATGACCAATCTATATGTGAAAGATGAAGACTTTGTGGTCAATACTTTTCAAGATAATCAGCAGAAACCATTTTGACATTTCAGACGCCTGTGATCTTGACCTTTGACCTAGTGACCCCAAAATCAATAGGGGTCATCTACTAGCAACTACACCATAATGTAGTAAAGACTTTGTATCTTTGTCAACTACACCATAATGTAGTAAAGACTTTGTATCTTTGTCAACTACACCAAAATGTAGAAAAGACTTTGTATCTTTGTCAACTACACCATAATGTAGAAAAGACTTTGTATCTTTGTCAACTACACCATAATGTAGTAAAAACTTTGTATCTTTGTCAACTACACCATAATGTAGAAAAGACTTTGTATCTTTGTCAACTACACCATAATGTAGAAAAGACTTTGTATCTTTGTCAACTACACCATAAAGTAGAAAAGACTTTGTATCTTTGTCAACTACACCATAATGTAGAAAAGACTTTGTATCTTTGTCAACTACACCATAATGTAGAAAAGACTTTGTATCTTTGTCAACTACACCATAATGTAGAAAAGACTTTGTATCTTTGTCAACTACACCATAATGTAGAAAAGACTTTGTATCTAAGACAATAAGAACTCCAACATAATGTGTTTTTTTTCCTAAAATAATGTATGGAAAAACTCTTACATAATCTAGAAAAAACTCTGTCTATCATTTACCTGATTAAGGAAAACAGCTGGAAAACCTACTCCAAACTTCTCTGTGGTCATTGCGATACCTCTCTTCTTAAATTTATTATCTCTGAAATATAATATAGTCAAACCTGTGAGCAAAGGCCACCCAAAGGAGAGTCTTTATCATGAATTTATTTATTTCATTTTACCAATGAAGGGTTGTCAAAAGTGACCCTTATTTGCATGGTTACCTTTATTCAAAGATGGTCTTTTACAAAGGTTTGACTGCAATAATGTGTTTTTACAAGTGGTCTTTGAAAACATTTAAACTTTACCTTTAACTCTTGTAACCCAAGCAATAATTAAGTAAGATAGGCTAACAGCATAGAGCCAGGTTTTGCCTGAATTTCATCCTATCAAAACAAGCTCAATGCTGTTCCCCACTTAGTTTTAACATTTAAATCTCAAGTTCCCTTCAATTTGATAGGTCCATATTCAAAGGAGGGTAAGAGATGATTATTTATGGAGTTGTATTTCAAGTCATGTCATAGGGTGTAATCAATTATAATATATTTGGTTGTTTTTTTCATAAGGTACTGAAGTAAGATATGGCCTGACCAGTATTCCGTACCTTTTCCTCAATACTTTCAAAGGTCATATGGAGACATTCCAGTATAACTGGGGGAGAAAAACCTCAAGAGCCCCTAATGCAATTATATTTCAGTCATAGGCACCTGATTAGAACCACTGACCTTCCATAAGCTAGCTGGATAGCTTCCCTGGCATTAAAAATGCAAAATTTCTTTCAAGAATCAAACATACAGCGGTGAAAAGTGATTTAAAGTCAACAACCATAACCACTCAGCAAAGGAAGGTCCAAACCCCAAATTCAAAGAGTGACAAGTTAATTTCATAGTTTAAGATATTGTCATTCAGGCAGAAGATCTGTAAAATTGACTGTACAAAATGAACTAGAAACCAATATGTTGATGATAACTTTGCAACCTTTGTGCTAACAATAAAGGGGAGCAAAATCTTCACAGAAAAAACAAAGTATATTATGAATAGCATGATAACATCTATGTAACCTCCCTTTAATATTACGAAATCATTATACATACCTGTTGAAGGCCTTCACACTTTTCAGCCTCTCTTCATATTTACTGTCCTCTTTACATTTAGCCCACAGATCTCTAACAGTGCAATTCTCAAGTTTTAAACCATGTGGATTTGTATCCCCTTCTTTATACATATTTACTTCCCTCACCTTAAAACAAAATGAACATGTACAATATCAATTTTGATGTATAACCCTTTTCATTATAAACTGTAATAGTAATTTCATGTTAAAGGCCCATTTTGCCACTAAAATGCTATTATTTTTATTTCTAAATAGTTTTTTATTTTTTGGTTTCCTACCATAGTTTCCAAAAAGCTACTTATTTGTCAATTACCTGAACCATCTTTGACTTTCGTTGCTTTTTGGTTATAAGTATGTTTATACTGGTTAAGTATTTTGTACAGGAGTTTACATTTTGCTAATTTTCTGAGGAATAAGTTCACATTTAGCACTATATACTTTTTTCAGGTTATAAGCATCCAACATGCTGTAAAACCATTATTCCAATGTAACAGTTATAAAACTCATGTTTGCCCTTTTTTTAAAAAGGAAAAAATATTCATTTTGAGGCATTTTGTGCCTTTAATCATATCAGGCCTTTAAATATGATATCTTACAATCAAAAGTATACATAGAAATTTTCTAAACCTACCGATTTTCTTTAATTTGAAGTAACTATCTTTAACACAACATTATTTACATAATAAATGTAGCACCTTCACTAACTTATACATTATCAGACCATGAAATTAGTTGGTACAACTTTCTAAGTACCAGTACATTAATTCACAAACATTACTAGGTGACATTATGTTGTTTATTTTCGCTGTCAAGTTTAGTTGAATTAGTAATATATCTATAATAACAGTGACTGACATACATTTGATTATGAAAAGACTGCAACACTCTTTTTTCAGTATTGACAGTTACCGGTGCATTCTTTACAATATTTATAGAAATTTACCTTGGTCACGTGGTTTGTTATTTTTTCATAGTAAAATATAAAATTAAACACTAATACAGCACAATGTCATGTCATTGTTAACTGACCATTTACACTTGGATGGACATAATGTCACTTTAACAATGTCATATAATGACAAATATTTAGTGCTAGTGCGATAAAAGAAGAACTTTGCAATTACTCTCTTGTGTTGTCAGTGAACAACAGACTTCCCGTTAATTACTTCAGAATCCTAATTTATGCTAAAATTCTGCATCCAGAGACCATGATTTGCCAATCAAATGTTCCCGTCATGAAGAACATATGAGACGCGTCACAACAAAACCAACATAATGGGTTTGCGACCAGCATGGATCCAGACCAGCCTGCGCATCTGGCAGTCTGATCAGGATCCATGCTATTTGCTTATAAACTCTATAACAAGTAGAGAAACTGATAGTGAACAGCATGGATCCTGATCAGACTGCGCGGATGCGCAGGCTGGTCTGGATCCATGCTGGTCGCAAACCCACTATGTTGGTTTTGTCGTCACACGGCTCATATAATAACTATACCTGTTCTTGACTGATGCCGAGGGTACAGGCAATATTAAATAGAACATCTTCCATTATAAGTACCCCCTGTGGGCCTCCAAATCCACGGAATGACGTATTCGACATGATGTTTGTCCTACAGCTATAACCCTCGATTTTTACATTCTCGATTTTATAACCACTGTCAAAGTTATCTACTGATACTCCTATTACCTGGAAATAGTATAATTTCTAATAAAACAATCATTTACACCTAAGTTAAAGACAGTAAATAAGCAGTGATAATATACACTTTTTGTATCATTAAAATGTATGAACTTATATATTTTTCAGAATCTTTTTTCTTTTTTTTTTTTTTTTTTTTTGAAATTTATCTGCCTTTCAAAAAAGGTTTCCTGTGTACATCACCACAAGTCTGTCTATGAAAATGGAATAAAACATTTCTTCATTGTACAATCTTATTGAATTTCAAAAAAAATATATAGCTTTTCTCTGTATCTTTGATACAGTGTTTAACCAATAAAAACTCTAAATAATTTATGAATGGTTCAAAAACTTTAAATTCAAAAGTTTGTTCTTGAAAGTCAAGGTCATTCTGTGACAATCGTGCTTTATATATATTTTCAAGAGGTATGTTGTTGTGGGTGTTGTCCATGGTCAAGTGGTTGAAGTTGTTGACTGAACGACTTGCCCTTTGCAGTGGTTGGTTCGAATCCTGTCAGGGACTTTGGATTCTTTCATGTTACTTACAGAAAATCGGTGGTTCTACATAGATGCTCACTTGTGACTGAAATAAAGCATAGAGTGAATCTGAGGTATTCCTCTGCCAATAAAGCTTAAAAGTAGCCTTATGACCGTAACGATGTTTGTGGGACAACAAAAATAAACAGGTTTTTTGTTGCACCTCTGTAATGAAGGCTCTTGTTAATTTCATGGCCAAAGATGTTTTAAGATGTTACTTTTTGTTATGTTATTTTGTGTGTGTGGGGTTGGGGTGGAGGGTTACATTGCACTAACACATTATAAGTCATATGGTGACTTTTCAGCTTTAATAGTAGAGAGACTTCAGGTGCCCTTCCATGTTGGAATTGGAACCCAAAGCAGTGTAGGAGTCAACAACCTTCACCACTCAGGCACTGGTGTAAAAAAAGAAATTAGGTCCTACCTGTGACCCCAGAAGATGTTCTAACTATAGAGATAAAAAGAACATTTACAGACATGTTGGAAACAATAAGCCGTTGATACATATAGAACATGTAGGAACATAAAAATAAGGGATAAAAAAGACATCAAACCTCCACAGAATTGTCCAGTGAGTGTCCTCCTTGATTGTATAGCTTCAAATCTAATGCTTTCATTTTCCCTTCCTTATTGAATCCTACCTGTTTTTAATATATGAAATTTAATGTAACATTATGCTCATTTTTTCCCACTGTCAAGTTCAGATGAATTTGTAATATACAAATGTATTCAAACGATAGCCTATTATAATGGTGATTGACCAATAATGGATAATCAACATTTTTTAGGATGAAATATAAAACAACATTAGATGTAATAACAAAAAAGACAGCCTTGCTCTTTTTTTTTATCTCTAAATGTTTAATATTTCATTTATTTTTTCTTCATTATTCTTTTCAAGAGACAAACCTTATATTTTCCAAGGAAAGGATGACGTTTGCCAGAAATCTCCATGTCGATCTCCCGCGGTAACACACATCGCACGGGGCGTTTATATCTGTTACGTAAAAAAAAATGAGCCGCGTCACGACAAAACCAACATAATGGGTTTGCGACCAGACCAGCAGTCTGATCAGGATCCATGTTGTTCACTTACAAACCCTATAACAAATAGTGAAACTGATAGCGAACAGCATGGATCCTGATCAGACTGCGCGGATGGGCAGGCTGGTCTTGATCCATGCTGGTCACAAACCCATTATGTTGGTTTTGTAGTGACGCGGCTCAAAAAGTGTAATCTTGCAACTTATAATTAATGCAGGGTTTTTAATTATGCAAACTAGGCCAAGATTTTGGATCACTTGCTATCTTACCACTTTGTGTTCGAATCTTGTAAAGTGTAATAGCGTGTTTGCTATGATTTGAGTTTAATGAGATAGATCCTTGCTAATATGGCTTGTGATGTACATCTGTACCTACACCAGTAAAATTAAAAAGTTGTAACATGGCATGTACAGTGTTATTGTGGCTTTAGTTATTAAGCACCTGTCTTACATAGGTGTAATTCTAAAATATTTTTATCAAGGCTTTTCAAACTGCTTATACAATCAGATGCTTAAACACAATTGGATTAATTCAGATTTCATAAAAGGAATAAAAAGCTGAGTAAATCGCAATTTCTTATCTAACCTCGATAATGGTAAAATCATAAGTTGTAAACCAGCAAACAGAAATCTTACTTGTGTGCTGCTATAGCAACTGGCACAGCAACCATTGCATTTCTTGTATCTTTCCCGCCAAAACTTCCACCAAGTCGTCTGATCCTGACATTCACTTTATGCTTGGGAACATTTATGGCTTCACATAAAGTCCCCTGTTTCAAAGAAAAGAAAATTATCTTAAATCATGGTTCATAACAAAAGCTGACAGTAGAAGCATGCTCAACTAATCTCAGTGCTTCATAGTAAAAAAATCAAAAGCCTGGATAATGTAGAATTTTCTAAGTTAAACAAGGGCTATAATTCTGTCAAAATACATGTTAAGAGTTATAGGGTTTGGCTTCTAATCTGCTTTCAAATAAGTGTATAAAGTTTCAACTTATTCCCTTCAGTAGTGTTGTAAACCTGATATCAGTGAAATTTTATGATAGTGATTATTTCCTTTATACAACAACAACAACAACTATTTCATACACTTGTGACAATTTTGGATAATTAAAGTAGTACCATTTTTAAATACCTTTGATATAATTTGTTATAATTTGATGTTTTTATAAAAGCCACTTATCATGTGTCAATTATGCACAGTATCAATCAATATACCAGGGTCATAAAGAAACATCACATGCCTGGGGCTATGTCCAGCCAGTGTCTTTTAGCTACTGTGTTAAAGTCTTATCTGTTTGTTAAGTGTTAATTACAATTGACCCATTTAAGTATAATTACCACATTGTACATATTCATTTGTGATGCATACATTATGCCTACTTATGTTGTCTGCTAGTTTAATAATAGTTACATGTCAGAATAAGTTATCATTCTTATTAATCTATGCATATTTTATTCTTTTTAATGTTAAGAAGAGTCATGATTTTGTATGTATTTTGCATTTTATTATTATTGCATTTGGTTATAATATTACTATAACAACCAGCCATATTTGATGTGATAAAACCTGCAAGGGTTAATGTTTAGACCAGAATTCAAAACACTTAATACTTACTTTTCCATCATGAAACTTATATCATAAGAAAGGGAATTTTATGTAGATTATGATTCCATGCTTTATATTTTATTTTATTGTATGAGTTTAAAGATACACAAGTTATTTAAATTTATTTGTTTAGAATTAAAGGGGTGGAGCCTAATTGTTATGTAAACAATGCCTTAGGTGTCAATCAGCTGTCAATCTAAAATAGGGCAAACTCCTAATAGGGCTTATCAGCCAATCAATTTTGCTGTTTTATGTGTTAATATGTTAAACTAATTTTAATTGGCCTGTGCAAATTAGCCAGTAACAATTCTTCTCAAGACCATTATAAAAAGGGGCTGCACAGGGCTTATAGCTCAACTTCTCCAAATCCCTCCAGAGGCGTGCACGTTGCGGAGAAGGCACACGGCAGGTCAAGGTCAAGTCATCTTAAGTACCAGAGGTGATTGGTTGACCTGTCGTGACTAACTCTGGAGGGTTGGCGCTAACGAGAGCCGTTTTTGTTATCGTCCAGTATGGAGCTTGATGCCTGGCCAGTATTGTCGTACTCCTCTACCACCAACGAACGAAGAATAGGCTTCAGGAAGATTCAGCTTGAAAAAGACGTCCCCGATGTGACTACCCTAGTGGACCGGCACGGATGCTATATTCTCGGACAGATGGTTATACCGGCGCCGAGTATAAATAAACTTAAACTGACTGACGGGGTTATAGCTCAATTAGGGGCCTCCGTAGCCGAGTGGTTAAAGTCGTTGACTTGAGATCACAGGTCCCTCACCACTGTAGGTTCGATCCTCACTCGGGTCGAAATCTTTCATGTGAGGAAGCCATCCAGCTGGCTTACGGAAGGTCGGTGGTTCTACCCAGGTGCCCGCTCGTGCCTGAAATAATGCCCGGAGGGGCACCTGGGGTCTTCCTCCACCAATAAAGCTGGAAAAAAAATTGACGAAAAATCTCGGCGGGACGCTCTAGGATGACCCGACTTGAGTGTACGGTCGCCCATATGGGCTTTCCGGCGGCGACCTTAAATAAACGCATCAAAAAAAAAAAAAAAAAAAAATTATAGCTCAATCGGTTAGAGCGCGAGACTTGTAATCTCGACATTGTGGGTTCGATTCCCGGGCTGGCCAACTAAATTACTAATCAGTCTTTCGGATGAGACTTTAAATCGAGGTCCCGTGTATGGGTGCTTAAACACTTGGCACGCTAAAGAACCAGGAGAAGCTTCTGGAATTGGGGCATCTTTCTGTATCTGTAATTGCACTATCCTCCGAAAAATAAAATGACTAATACTCTTCTGGAGGGCTCGCCCATATGGGCAACCGGTGGCGAGTATAAATAAACGCAAATACACACACACACTTATCAGAGTATCTTCTCACTTCCCCTCGGAGCGTGCACGTCGCTGAGAAGGCACAGGGCACCGGCAGAGGATGGAAGATTCGAGTTATAATCGTTTAAGGCGGCTGTTTAGTGATGTTAGCTGCCGGTGTCCTGACTAATGCCGAGGGGAGTGGCCCTACAAAGTAGGCTGAGACGACGAGGATGGTGTACTAGGGTGCGTGAGCCCCTAGTACAGATAGACAGCTTGTAAGGCAGGCCTATAGCTGGCATCAACAGCCCTTTTCAGGGCTAAAAACACCTTTCCTATTGTCACAGGTTACTGTACATTTAGGTTCTCATTGACCGCCGTACAGTGACCTACTTTTCGGCTCAAAATTCATATCTTTGGCTATTACTCCGTGGAAATTGCATGGAGGTAAATTATCACCATTTTGTGCTTCAAAATTAACTCTTTAAGGACATGACTGGTGACATGTCCGGGGTCCGTACTTGACAGCGCAAGCTGCATTTTGTGCCCGAAAGGGCGGATGGACCCTCATTAAGCTTTAACTACATACATACTTATCAGAGTATCAGGAGAGAGAAGAACAGACTAAGATTAACTGTGGAATTTTTGCTGTATAATTACTTTGGTAATTGATTTAATATTAACATTTAATTTGGACACTTAGATAATTTACAATCTTACAGATTTTGGACAATCATTTTGAATTTAATGTACTGTCTTGAACATCAATGTTTTAGAACTTCAACTTGAATAAATGAATATGTTGATCTTTATTCTACTGCTGATGATTATGAACTTTATACTGAATTTGGTCATTTTTGGAACTGCTTTAACAGGAATTGGACTTTACATTTACTTTTATGTATGGGATCAACCATGTATTAGTTTTAACTGTGGAATTGTATGCAGATATTAGATATAAACTATAAAGGCTGGCATATTTTACAATGTACTGATTTTAAATTGACACTTCTTATGAATATTTACACTTGAATAATAAATAGTGAAAACTGTACGTGTGTGAAGTCGTAATTGCAACCAGTTGTGAGGAAATTTGGTTCCTGGCAAACCATACAACAAGCCAGTGGTGTCGGCTCCTGACAGATATACATAACGCCCAAAACTATAATTTGAAAGAACCCCGTAAGCTTGGCGGAACCGCGAAAACCCAGGTTTACGACAGTAGTTTTGGAGATATCAACTTGCATTTAACAAATAGTAAAGCTGAAAATAGTTTCTTACAAAAACCAAAAATTATTAGAACACGCACACCCTTATAATGATGTGCACATTCCAAAAAACAGAAGACAGAGAAAATAATGGGTAATTTCTTTAAAAAAAAAAAGAGAAAAAGATAATTTCTTCAAAGCATAACAAAATTGACGGTAGATTGCTCTAAAACATGCATCTGAGAGAAAACACTAATATCTCTGACACATTATAAAAAAATTATCTATAAAATGGCGATATTTTTAACATGTCTATATACTGACCTGACAGATAAAATGGCAATATCTACAACATGTGTAGATATTGACCTGACAGATAAAATGGAGATATCTACAACATGTGTAGATACTGACCTGACAGATAAAATGGCGATATTTTTAACATGTGTAGATATTGACCTGACAGATAAAATGGCAATATTTTTAACAAATGTACATACTGACCTGACAGATAAAATGGCAATATTTTTAACATGTGTAGATACTGACCTGACAAATAAAATGGCGATATTTTTAACATGTGTAGATACTGATCTGACAGATAAAATGGCAATATTTTTAACATGTGTAGATACTGACCTGGCATATAAAATGGCGATATTTTTAACATGTGTAGATACTGATCTGACAGATAAAATGGTGATATTTTTAACATGTGTAGATACTGACCTGACAAATAAAATGGCAATATTTTTAACATGTGTAGATATTGACCTGACAGATAAAATGGCAATATTTTTAACAAATGTACATACTGACCGAACAGATAAAATTGCGATATTTTTAACATGTGTAGATACTGACCTGAGATATAAAATGGCGATATTTTAAACATGTGTAGATACTGACCTGGCATATAAAATGGCGATATTTTTAAAATGTGTAGATACTGATCTGACAGATAAAATGGCGATATTTTTAACATGTGTAGATACTGACCTGACAAATAAAATGGCAATATTTTTAACATGTGTAGATATTGACCTGACAGATAAAATGGCAATATTTTAAACATGTGTAGATACTGACCTGGCATATAAAATGGCGATATTTTTAAAATGTGTAGATACTGATCTGACAGATAAAATGGCGATATTTTTAACATGTGTAGATACTGACCTGACAAATAAAATGGCAATATTTTTAACATGTGTAGATACTGACCTGGCAGATAAAATGGCAATATTTTCAACATGTGTCTATACTGACCTGTAAGTTCATAAGGTGTTGTGCTGTACAATAGATCTCCAGTTCATTATTCTCTATTTTAGGAATGGCGTACGCAGCATGTGGCTCCATATAGAAATGTTCTTGATGTCCAGTCCTATATTCCCCTGTTATAATAATCATTCTGTTAAATTTAATGTTAGAGGATATTTGTTTTGCATGTAAGATTGTTGAAATATATTTCATAGAGTGAAAACCAAAGTTTCTATTCATTACATGCTTTCTAGGGGTTCTCAACAATCTTTAATGAGTTTTTGCTATGTAACAACAAGCCGTCTTATTCATTATGATGTCACATTGTTTTTGTTGAAAAATAGTTCTGTAAAATTTTCCGAATTTTGTAACATTTTTAAAATGATACTCATGCGCTTCTCATTATCCAACACATTTTACTCACAAGTGTATTTGTGACAATATTTCCACTTATTTAAGATTTATTCTATTCATCCATATTCAGATATAGTCTCGCTACAGTGAAAATTAAATTTGAGCCACGTCATGACAAAACCAACATAATGGGTTTGCGACCAGCATGGATCCGCGCAGTCTGATCAGGATCCATGCTGTTCGCTATCAGTTTCTCTACTTGTTATAGGGTTTGTAAGCGAACAGCATGGATCCTGATCAGACTGCGCGGATGCGCAGGCTGGTCTGGATCCATGCTGGTCGCAAACCAATTACATGTATGTTGGTTTTGTCATGACGCGGCTCATTTTATAATTTCATTGAGAAATCATTTTGTATCAATTGTATTAAAGTTGCATGCCTCCAGATGAGCTGAAAAAATCAATTTATATGTTGCATGCAAAGAATTACTGATTTTGCGTATTTATCACCGTAATTCCACAGCAAGATTAATGCAGTATTGAGTAAGGACTTTTTCTTTGCATATTCTAACATGTATTTGATTTATATGGATTGAAATTGATATTTGCAATGTATATATTTAAATACATTTTCAAAATTTTCATGAAAATAAGCATGAATCTGGATGCATGCTTCTTCAACATGTTGCTGTTGCAAAACAGAAACTGTTCCAACTGTATAAGATTAGCCAGTAAGTATCATTCTTAACCATTGCTAGCATTGAGATACAGTTTTGCAAAAAAACAGCTGTAACTCCTTCTTTATGTCTTATCATTTACAACTAAGCACTGAAAATGGTTTATTTGAAAATAAGAATATCCCTTAAACCTAAAATAAGTTTTATTCCACAATTAGTTATATGATTTTTTGAAACTTTTAGCTAACCTCACCAAAAAGTAACAATTGTGATAAACTTTCCTATTTTGTTAAATTTAATTACCCTAAACATTTCTTTTTTAACAAGACCTGTCAGAAGGACAGTCTGTTCAACTACTCTCAGTAAACTGTCAAAATCCATGTTAGAGATATCAGGTTTGGATAGTGACCTCTTATTATGCTCTCAAATAAGCGTATGAAGTTTAAGCCTCTTCCCTTCAGTAGTTTTGGAGATACCAACTTTAACCCAAAAACTTTAATAAAGTGTAACACTGACACCAACACCAACACTAGAGTCAGTGTGAATACAATAGCTCTTCCAATTCTTCAATAGTCAAGCTTAAAACATGTCCTAGCATTAAACATATAGAAATAAGCCAGGCATATTCAAAATACACATGACGCTTTATTAAATAATCAAAATTACCATTCACAACATGATCAGACTCCTGAAATCCTTTCTCTATGTCCCCTTCCAGCTGGTGGGCACATGGAGCACCTTCATAGAAACTCTGTGCTTCAATTGCATCCTGGGAAAGCAAGCATAATTTCAAAGACATACTATACTGTTCCAACTTAACTTGTTGACAAGACTTGTCGGGCTTAAAATCACTTTGATTCTTTGCCTGTCTATCATTAGCTGTTATGATTTTACAATCAAAATACTAAAATAAAGAAGTAACAATGAAGTATAGAGTCTGCTCAGAGCACAAAGGATGTGCAGCCTGGGATAGCTCTTTGTCTGTCCCATTGCACACAATCCATCAAATAAGACTATCGTTCAGTTCAAAACCGTTTTTTTCCCAGCGGAATTTCTAGGCATCTTATTAAACCCTAAGCCTGCTACAAGCAAATGAGCCGCGTCATGACAAAACCAACATAGTGCGTTTGCGACCAGCATGGATCCAGACCAGCCTGCGCATCCGCGCAGTCTGATCAGGATCCATGCTGTTCGCTTACAAACTCTATAACAATTATGTAAACTGATAGCGATGCTTTTTGTATGCACAGTTCACATTTAATGAAACAATACAAATATATGAGCCTTGTCACGACAAAACCAACATAGTGCGTTTGCGACCAGCATGGATCCAGACCAGCCTGCACATACGCGCAGTCTGATCAGGATCTATGCTGTTTGCTATCAGTTTCTCTACTTGTAATAGGGTTGGTAAGCGAACAGAATGAATCCTGATCAGACTGCGCAGATGCGCAGGCTGGTTTGGATCCATGCTGGTCGCAAACCCATTAAGTTGGTTTTGTCGTGACGCAGCTCAAATGTTTCTACCCTTGCAGCCAGTGCAGACCAAGATCAGCCAGCACTTCTATGCAGACTGATACTGGTATGCACTGTTTGCTATTTAGTCCGTCAGCACACATTCTGAATTTTTCTCTAAAAATGATAAATGGATTTGAGCAGACTGAAAGAAGGACAAGTCCAATGAAGATTTTTAGAGTGATAAAGGTAAAAAAAAAGAAACAACACATTAAAATATATCAACAAAAAGTACCTCAATAGTAAGAATTGGTTTGAGATCCTCATATTCTATTTTCACAAGATATGTTGCTTTTCTTGCAACTTCCCTATTCTCTGCTAATATAGCTCCTATTGGCTGGCCTATACACAACACCTGTAAAAAATAAAAAAATTTATTAACAGGGATTGTTAAATAAAGTTATCATTTAAGCTGGGTTACCAACACAGTAGAAGTCATAATTATGGCGACCCTCCAGGTGCCTCTCCATGCATTTGTTACTTTCTTCGTTCAGTTTTGTTAATATTTTACTTTTTAATTTTAAACATTTTCATGAAAATTAGCATGAATTTGGAAGAATGATGCTTTAAAGATTTTGATATTAAAATTGAGTTCTATTATATTGTAATCTTGTAAACATGTGACTCAATAAGCATTTATTTTTGTAATCATAAAATAAATTCAAATTTATATACGAATATGAGAATCTTTCAACGCTGCCGGTACAGACTGGAATGTCTGTTTCCGGTGGTAACATGGCTCTGCCGAATTTCAGTGAAGAGTTACACAGGAGCTAGACATTCCCATCTATTAGGACAGCGGGTATTTGATTCATACAGCAAAATGACGTCATCCTAAAAATGCACTTCCTTTATAAAAGGTCTTCAGGAATGGCATCATTTTTTAAAGCATGTGACTTTTCTTATACAAAATATGTAAGACAGGTTTTTCTAGCACCAGTTTAAACAGTAAATAATCCTGTCTAATATGCAAGAAAAAAAAATCTACCTCCTTAGATGCAAAGATTTCTTCAGTCTTTTTAATGGGTCCCCACAGATTTGAACCTGGGACATCTCTATGATCAATGTAACTGTGCACACCCTCCATCTTCAATGCCGCACTGGGATCCACACTCAGAATTTTAGCATGAGCTCTACGGCTTAAGACAAGGCTTAGAAACAACTCACCTAGGTTCAAGACCCAAAATCATCTTTTAAATTATCATTTTGTGCAATACCATCACTTTATCTTGAAAATTATAATAAATTAGTTATATTGATGATAAACTTCAAAACCTAATAATTTTCAACCTGGCTTTCAACATGAACAACACTGGGCTTTAATGTTGAAAGTTTTATTGTTTTGTTGTTTTTTTAAATAAAGTAATCTGAAACAATGCTTATGATTTTAAGAACAGTTAAACATGCACTTACAACTATATCCATACTAAATACATGTATATGAATAAAAAAAAACGTTAAAATATGCTTTTATTTCAGTTTTCCTCTTATTCAATTGTACAGCAAACTAACTTTTAGAAAACTCTCCTAGAGAAATCTTATGCCTTCATTGAATACCACTCTTCCTTGTTCAAGGACTTAGGTGATTTTTTTTACATATTGTAAGAGGGAATCATTTTGTCTTATTCCCAAACAATTCAGAATTTCACTTGACAACAATCAAGTTTGAAAGCCACTCTAATTACATCTGCTATTGTCACAAAAATCTTATCTAGAACAATAAATTGATGACATAACAAATATTAACCTTTAATATATTATCTCAGTTTGAAAGCCACCCTAATTACATTTTAAGCTGTTGACACTAAAAAAATCATCAAAAAGTTAATAGATGAAATAATATTCATTACCCCTTATTATGATTTCAGTCAGAAACTGGTGTAAAAGATTACCTTCCATTCTGGGCATATCATCTGTATACACTGCCTCCCCTGACACCACAGCCTCTGATGATACATTTGGTATAGGTCGACCTAATGCATCGTCCTCTGATTGACCCGGCTCTGTACAGGCATCATAGAATTGTGTGGAGGAGCAGGGTTCAAGTGTGAGTGGATCAAGACATGCGGTACCTGGCCCAGATTGACCCTATAAGGGAAATGTTTGATTTAATACATTCATTATGGAAATGTTTGACTTACATAAATGGCCATTAAGAAGACCTCTCTATTCTTTAACATAACTAAAAACAGAAAAATAAGTATGTATGCAAGATGTAAGTATTTTCATGAAAGAGATTATTTTCAAATGAAATTACAATAGCTTAATAGGTTTTAAAAGATGTACACATATGTATTTGAATGTTCTTTCCATCCAAAAATAGATTTTATTGAGTTTCTTACATGTTCAATATTTTTCAACAAGGAAAACATATAAATTGTAATAACAGAATTATTTATATTTTCATTTTTACAATAGTGCCAATGCAATGCAGTGTATGAAAAGGACATCGGTAGAAACATTAACTAGGAAAATTTCTAGTTGCTAAAAAAAAATCAATTTCTTAAAATTCTTATGCAGCAATAGGTATAAAAACTAGAGGATGCTTTTGTAAAAAAGCGCATGTCTCCCCCACTGCACTGTGACCTTGACCTTTGACCTACTGACCCCAAAAACAATAGGGATCATCTGCTCTATAAGACCAATCATCCTATGAAGTTTGAGGGCTGTAGGTCAAAAGGAACTCTAGTTATCATCCGGAAACGAGAAATTGACCAACGGTCACTGTGACCTTGACCTTTGACCTACTGACCCCAAAAACAATAGGGATCATCTGCTCTATAAGACCAATCATCCTATGAAGTTTGAGGGCTGTAGGTCAAAAGGAACTCTAGTTATCATCCGAAAACGAGAAATTGACCAACGGTCACTGTGACCTTGACCTTGAACTACTGACCCCAAAAACTATAGGGATCATCTGCTCAATAAGACCAATCATCCTATGAAGTTTGAGGGCTGTAGGTCTAGAGGAACTCTAGTTATCATCCGGAAACGAGAAATTGACCAACGGTCAGTGTGACCTTGACCTTTGACCTACTGACCCCAAAAACAATAGGATCATCAGCTCTATAAGACCAATCATCCTATGAAGTTTGAGGGCTGTAGGTCAAAAGGAACTCTAGTTATCATCCGGAAACGAGAAATTGACCAACGGTCAGTGTGACCTTGACCTTGACCTACTGACCCCAAAAAACAATAGGGATCATCTGCTCTATAAGACCAATCATCCTATGAAGTTTGAGGTCTGTAGGTCAAAAGGAACTCTAGTTATCATCCGGAAACGAGAAATTGACCAACGGTCACTGTGACCTTGACCTTTGAACTACTGACCCCAAAAACAATAGGGATCATCTGCTCAATAAGACCAATCATCCTATGAAGTTTGAGGTCTGTAGGTCTAAAGGAACTCTAGTTATCATCCCGGAAACGAGAAAATTGACCAACGGTCAGTGTGACCTTGGACCTTTGACCTACTGACCCCAAAAAACATAGGGATCATCAGCTCTATAAGACCAATCATCCTATGAAGTTTGAGGGCTGTAGGTCAAAAGGAACTCTAGTTATCGTCCGGAAACGAAGAATGGACGGACGGACTGACGGACTGACGGACGGACGGACGGACGGACGGACTGACGGACAGGGCAAAAACAATATGTCTCCCCCCGAGGTGGGGGAGACATAATTAAATAAATCATTATCTACATTTGTAGGATATTAAAAAAGAAATATAATGTAGGATATACCAAATCTGTTTTGACTTGATTGTAGAATTTGAAGAAGAAAGCTGTTGCCACGGAGAGCTTGTAGTTGTCAACAGGCTTGCCATTGTCAGACGCAAAATCTTCTGACAAACTGACAATAACATCTTGAAGCAAGTCATCATCCCAAGTCCTGAAAGTTTTAAATACAACTGTATATTGCTCGGTTTTATCACATTTAGTCACAGTCTACAATCAGTGTCATTTAGTCACAGTCTACAATCAGTGTCATTTAGTCACAGTCTACAATCAGTGTCATTTAGTCACAGTCTACAATCAGTGTATCAGTGTGGCGGGAAATTTACAAGACTTTAAGTGTCGACTGTTCTCTGGAACTTCAGGCCAAACGAATCAGTTTAACTCTAAATCTGCTGGAACTGAGAGCGATTAGCCTTTGTAACCAGCATAGAGCCAGCTGGTTTGCACTTCCATGTAGTCTTAAGGCCAGCCTACACATCCATGCAGTCTGACCAGACTCTATACTGTTGGTAGCTCAATTTTGTATTTTGATACTGAAATCCTTTAATTTTTGTATGAACTGTTCCCAATTCAAACCAGGGAAAATCCATTACACAAATTCAGCTGGTTTAAAGTTAATGTGTAATTTTACTATTTCATCATTTGAAGCAGCAGAATGCTAAAGATGAATATGTCAATGTCTGCATGGTTTTGTATAATGTAAAAGATGTTATGTAATAAATCCTTATGAAATAATACCATGCTTACCTCCCCACTGCTAACTTCATTGTCTTTCTTGCCAAAACTGCTTTGTCGGCTATCCCTCCAAAACAAATCCTGAATTAGTAAAAGGGAAACAATTTAGACTGTACCTCATTTGTACATTTGAAGAGGGTGGTCAGTTTTAAACATAGTTTTCTTACATTTGAATGATTTGATTGTGAAACAATTTCTTGTAATTTATGAGCATGGAACTAATGATTGCTGGTGTCAAATAAAGAAATCTGGTTGTGACCCAATTAAGCTCTAACCCATAACCTCTGTTAAGAGGCAGAAACTTTAACCACTTGACCATCACTCCACCTCATGGAAGGTTGATTAACTTGTTTGGTTGTTCCTGTACTGATGACCATCAGATCTCAATGAATACAGATATAGAGACGTCAAAATTGATAATATATGCCAAGTTTTAATAGATGTTGAACAATTTAGTACATAGAACAAATTATTCTCGGTTGAGAGCATTTTACTGGATTTTTTTTTGCTTGCCTGAGTTGGCTTCATACAAGAAATGTTCAAATGTTACCTAAGTTTTTCCACCGTCCTTTTATCTGACAATGTCACAACAAGTCCACAGTTAATGATGGCCAATGAGAATGTCCTTCTCTGTGCTTGTTTGAAGAACTTACTCTTGGATATATTACCCTAAAAAGAAAACAAACAAGAGCTGTTAGAAGGACAGCATGCTCAACTATTCTCAGTGCTTGATAGTAAAACAAGAGCCTGGATAATGTAGAATTTTCTAATTTCAAAAAAGGGTTAAATTCTGTCAATATCCATGCTAGAGTTATGTGCTGTACATAGTGACCTCCTATTTTTCTCTCAAGTTGTGTTTAGATTTAACCCATTCTCTTTAGTAGTTTTGGAGATACCAACTTGCATTCAAAAACCTTAACTTTGTGTTTTAAGGGATTTCAATGACAAAATGGAAAATTGATCTGCCAACAGTAAAGAGTGTTGTCAGACTACATGGATGTGCAGGATGACCTGGCTCTATACTGGCCGCAAAGGCTAATCACTTTCATTTCCAGCAGGTTAAGGGTAAAATTTTACAACTATGTGTATGAACATTCAGAGGGAAGCATAAAGATGGGTGTTTTAATTTTTGTTTTAATTTGTTGAAACTTGTGTAGAAATGAAACAAATATTCTGTACCTGACCACTGTTTGGGATGCACACTGATTTAATGACCTCATTTTCCTGCACACAAAGTCCTTCAATTCCGACTATTCTCTCACCATTAGCTGAAATATCAATAAGATGCCTGACATACTAAATTTTTAATATCATTAATAATAGGTTCACAGCGCATATAGTTTTCATATTCTCTTAGGCTTTGGTTGTATATATGTTTATAAATCATTTTCTACAAAAAAAGGATAAAATACATAAAAATAAAATATTCATGCAACAATAGTCTATTGAAACAAGCATTTGATAGTATTGCGGGCAATACAGTAGTCCCCTACCGGTCCCTCAAAAAGTTCTTTAATTGTCATACACTCCTGTGTATTGCCATTTATAATGAATTTGAGGATGAAGTCTGTATTTGAAAATATCAACCACAAAACATAATAAAATAAGTTTGTCTATATCACAGTAATGTGTTAAGTTTCCATGCTTAGTAAGGAAATTAGTTTATACAACCTTGTCATATTATTACGATGTGGGATTTTTAAGTAAATCCTATAAGGAATGAAGAAGTTGGAGTAATAAATACCAGTTTCTCGAAAAAAAATCTAAGTTCAAGGGGGACATAATTCTGGAAATAGTCTTGCTAGAGTATTTAACCTTCTCAAAAATGTCGAGTGATAATAAGAAACATATATATGAAGTTTGAAGTAGATACATTAGGAAATAAAGAAGTTATTTAAAAAGACAACATTTTTTCCCCTAAAAAATCTAAGTTCAAGGGAGGTAATTCTGAAAAAATTTGTGCTAGAGTTGTAAACCTTGTCACATATGATGTGGTTGATGACAAGCAACTTATATTTAAAGTTTGAAGAAAATACCTTAAGAAACAAGCAATTATCATAGTATTGCAAGCAATCCATAAGTCCCCTACCGGTAAGAGCCCAAGCAAAATTCTGAAGGTTCACTTATGTTCCTATTTTAAGTAAATTTGTTGAAAAAGTTCTTTAAAAGTGATCACAGGAAACAGTTTTTATGTACAGACAGACGGACTGAAGGACACTCTAAAGTTATTTTTTAAACATCCCTGTTATCAAAATATAACATTTTTAAAATCCTATCATGATTGAAGAAGTTGGAGTAAAAATTACCAATTTCTCAAAAAAAAGTCTAAGTTCAAAAGGGGCATAATTCTGGAAATAGCCTTGCTAGAGTATTGAACACTCACAAATGTTGAGTGACAATAACAAACATTTATACGAAGTTTGAAGTAGATACATTCAGAAAAAGAAGTTATTAAAAAAAACAATGTTTTTTTCATGAAAATTTTAAGTTCAAGGGAGGTAATTCTGATAAATTTTGTGCTAGAGTTGTAAACCTTGTCACATATGATGTGGTTGATGACAAGCAACTTATATTTAAAGTTTGAAGAAAATACCTTAAGAAATAAAGAACTTAGAGTGAAAAAACTTAAAAACTAGAATCAGAAATCTTGAAATTCAGCCTATTTGTTGCCATAGCAACCAGAATTTTCAACATAGGAAGATAAAAAAGGATGTGCATAATTTCCATACTGCCATCTACCCATATGTCAAGTTTCATAAACATATTTTCAGTACTTTTTGTGTTATGACTGGATCCAGGTTATGTGTAAAATTTGCCATATTTTCAGTCTATTTGTTGCCATAGCAACCAGAATTTTCAACACAGGAAGAAAAGAAAAAGACGTGCATAATCTCCATACTGCCATCTATCCATATATCAAGTTTCATAAAAATATTTTCAGTACTTTTTGCGTTATCGCGGGATCCAGGTTATGTGTAAAATTTGCCATATTTTCAGCCTATTTGTTGCCATAGCAACCAGAATTTTCAACATAGGAAGAAAAGAAAAAGACGTGCATAATCTCCATACTGCCATCTATGCATATATCAAGTTTCATTAAAATATTTTCAGTACTTTTTGCGTTATCGCGGGATCCAGTTTTGTGGACTGACGGACGGACAGACGGACGGACTGACGGACGGTAAACCTAAAGTCCCCACCGGTAAACCGGTAGGGGACTAATAAAGATTTTTAAAATAATTTTTTATCATTCCACAGAAATTCAGCAGATTACCTGAAATCAGACACACACTGGCATCCAACGCTGTAAACAGTGTGATAATATCTGAGTTGGACCTTCCTGACAGTATACTTCCACTCAATGTCTGAAATATATAATACATGATAAATACATGTACAATGTTTAATAACATTAACCTATACAACTCCTGGATGAAAGGTGTCCCGGGAAGCAGTCTAGAGCTTATGGCATGTTTGCCTTACAACATACAGTGTTGACTATACCAGCAGTACATAGCTATAAATTACTCCCTGAATTTCTGTCTATATACTACTGCCTGATCAATCTTATAAAGCTGATATTGGAATCGCTAAAACTTACAATGGAGAGTTTGGAATTCAATGTTTGTCAAGTCCATTTCACAAATAGACAAGTTAATGGGAAACAAGTAATCAAAGCTTATTATTAAAGCAATGTATTCAACAACAATGTGATATTTTTTGAATTCTAACATGCTCAAAAATACAAAAGATAAAGTCATACAAGAATAAACTCTGTCACACCAACTCAATTCATCATCAAGCATGTAAATGACTTTGATTGTCCCCTTTCACATACGTGCCATGTCCCCGATGTCCGGGACTATCCTGAAAATCAGGTGACTGTCAAGGAGGCGTCCCGGAGATGATTTAGCTCCTAGTAAAAATTTTATACAATCTCCTTTGCAGTGAGAAATAATATATTTGTATGCAAATTTACCTAGAAATCATGGCATATGCGCCTTTCACTATGAAATAAATCACACTAATAGAATGTACGATTTATCTAAATCTTACAGCCACATTCCTAATTTGATCTGCTCCATATCTCCCTACCATCTCCTCTAGTGCTGTAAAATATTCTCTTTTATTTTCTAGAAAAAAAATTACAGTAAAACAGGTTAAAATCTAAATATTATTTTGAAAGCTTTCTTCTTCATATAAGATATACAATACAGTATTCATAACGCTCATCTTTGGGTAATATACTTTTATTTCAAATATTTATTGAAATCTGGCAAATGCTTACTGGATAATTCTAATTTGAATATGTGAATGTATCAAATTTCAGCATAATATATCGTTAAACCACTCTTGAATTCACTTCCTGGAATGATCCCTGGGATGAGAAAATTAATAAACACCTAAACAACTTAAGGCTACAACCACCACTTTTTTATTTCCAAGTCTTTTTCTCCATAATACAAATTTAAAGTGGTATAAGATTAAAAATCTTAACCTATTGGTAAACAATAAAATAAAGAAAAACTCATAAACATGCAGAAAAATTCAATTTACCTGGAATTTCATTCTTCATTCGTTGTAAATGTTGGCCTAATTCAGTCACTGTCACAGCGGCACCAAAGCTGACGCCATCATCTGTTACACTGACCTGCTTTAACTCTTCTATATTACCCCCATATAGTAATATAGGTGACTTGTTGAATTTCCCTAGCTTAATTGATAAAGCTGAAATAATTGAATATACCTAAATCAATTAACTAATCAATTACTTATAATTGATTTTTTAAAATTCATCTTTGTATAATTAACGGTAAATCATATCATTGCTCAATAAGCTAGTTTTCTTGTAATTGTTTTCAGACATGATACCTCCAACAGCTTTCTCATATGTACACACAACCAAGCTGTTAGTTGTTTTTATAAATATTTCATTAATGTTAAATTAACCAATTGCATATAATACAAGAGCAACAAGCAAGCAGGAGCCACATTTGACTTTTTCTTATTTCACAAGGCAAACACATCAGAGGAAGAACATAATTTTGTCTACTGTATTGGAGTAAAATTTCATTTTTGACCCATTTACAGATCAAGGTCATTCTTGAATATCTTAATCTGGAGATTGTACAGGAAAACTTCCATACCTGCTGTTGTATTTCCCATGATTACAGGGGCTTGTGGGTATTTTGTCTTCAAGGCAAGAAGTTCTGACAAACTAGATGGAGAGGCCCAACTCCAACTTGGACCCTCAAAATATACAGACTTTGTGTACTCAGAACTAGTCTGTAAAAAAAAGACTTACAAGGGAAATCAAGATTTACACATAAAACTTATGTGGTTATTTTGATTTGTTCTCATTAATTTCACTATATGGAGAAAAAAGACCTTGAAGGTCAAGGTCATAAAGAGGTTAAGGTCATATTGATTTTTGCTTTTGAAGGCTCTAGTTAACAGAATGAAGCTGCTATGACAAGGTTTAGTGGTATATTGTTATAAGCAAAATTGTTGTCAGCAAAATCATTATTTATATGTGCCAGGTATTTTGTTATAAGCAAAATTTTTATACATAGTATATCGCATTAAGCGAAATCATTACAAGTGGTATATCGTAATAAGCGAAATCATTATAAGTGGAGTTTACTGTATGCAAATTACCTGCAGTTCTGGTGGGAATATTGGTACTTGAGAAGAGCTGCATGCTGGATTCTCAACCTCTGCTTCCTAAAATAAACATACAAGATTAACCAATATTGGCTTGAATCTCAGCAATACAATACAATACAATATTTTTACTGGTAACATATAATGTGCTGGTCAAAAGAACAAATAATACAAGAAATATTGTATAAATCTGAAACTATCTAATTTTATTACTTTTCTTTACAGTTATGTACGTAATTAACAATGCTATGTAAGTTGGTTTGAAATATCTTAATATCTCTCTCTCTGAGACTGTATTAAGAGACTCACTGTCATATGTGACCTTATTCTTAAGGTTTCTTGGAAAAGCACATATCGCCACCTTAGTGCAGTAACGGGTTAACTCCTTATATAATTTCATGGGAGTCAACCCGTTACTGCACTGGTTGAGGATTTGTCAGTCTCTACTGTATTAAGATGATTATTAAGTTAACCAACCTGTAACCCCATGTAACACAGTGTGGATGTACTGGCTAGCAGTCTAGTAACTATTTCTAACAATAAAATAAGGAAAACATTCAACATAGAACAATTTGGAAAAATCAAAAAAATCAAGAAAATGAACTCTTTTACCTGAGTATCTGTCTGATTCTGATTCTTACAACAATTTTCTCCCATAGGGCAACATTCCTGTAAATATATAAATTGTTTATGTATTGTTCATGGTAATTAATTCAATCAAATAGTAGTTTTATGGAAAGCAAGAAAAGCAAAAACTATGTTTGTTGTGCTATGCCCAGATTGTGACCATGACCCTTGACCCTATGACCTTTAAGTGGATCTAGCAGGTAGAGGTAATTAAAGTATGTGCACATGTGAAGTTTGAAGGCTGTATGTGGAAAAACTTTTAAAAAATGCTATATTCAGGGTAAAATTTTTGTGAAAAACAAACAAACCAAATAGAACATAATATGTTCTTCTGACGATTCACAAATCATGAATCAAATAAAAGATAACCTAATCGTTATATGGAAAAAGAAATTACAATGTTGTTTTCAACTTTCAGCTGAAAATAAATATTATCACACATATTATTCAAAAGTTATTTAGCTTAAAATGCCTTTGTCTTTTAGACTAAATTTTTAGATTTTGCATATACATGTGCAATTCCAGAAGCTTTTCCTCAGGTTCTTTAGTGTGCCAAGTGTTTAAGCACTCATATATGAAACCTTGATTTAAGTCTTATCCAAAAGACTGATAAGTAATTTGATAATATGTACTGATCACGATCCAGCGATCGTGAGTTTAACAATTTCATGAACCATATTGTCAAGGTCTGGAATAGCAAATATCTGAGTATCTGAGCAATCATAACAGTCATACTGTTTGGAGAGATAACCAGTAAACACTCAATCACAGATTTTTTGAAATATCTTAATTATCTTTATGGATATGTATAAGTTTGACACACCTAAACAAACTTTGGTTTAAAGATTTTATGCAACACTACAAAAAATACATGTACATGTATTTGAAAGAGGTATACAAAACATGGTATGATAAAGCCACCACTTTAAGTTTTCTTTGATAAAACAAGAGCCATGTCAACATGGCCATCCCCCGCCGAATGTGTTTGCTCATTGGAAGAATGTATATGTAGTAGAGCAGAATAATTCCATTTTAAGAGGTCTTTTGGTAATGAAAACTGATGGCTATAGTGATTACAGATTTGAAACCTATGTGAATACTGATGACTGAAAATAACAAAGGGCAATAACTGAAAAATAATGCAGGGTAGGTTATCATTCTTGTGTGCTGCATCCCTCCTCAGTAAAATCTATCCACCTATGAAGTTTCAAGTTGATACCTCAAATACTTTTTGAGAAAAAAATTGAATTGAAAAATTAAGTATGAAAAATAACAAAGGGCAATAACTCAAAAATTATAAAAGGTACAGTTATCATTCTTGTGCACTGCACACCTCCTGAGTGAGATCTATGCACCTATGAAGTTTCATTTTGATATCTCAAAGGCTTTTTGAGTTATGCTCTGGACAAAAATTAATTTTGAAAAATAACAAAGGGCAATAACTCAAAAATAATGCAGGGTAGAGTTATCATTCTTTAGCACTGCACTCCTCCTCAATGAGATCCATCCACCTATGAAGTTTCAAGTTGATACCTCAAATACTTTTTGAGATAAGCTCTGGACAAAATAGCATGAAAAAAACAACAAAGGGCAATAACTCAAAAAATGTATAGGGAAGAGTTATCATTCTTGCGCACAACATTCCTCCTCAATAAGATCTATCCTTCTATGACATTTGATGTTGATATCTCACACTTTTTGAGTTATGCTCCACTCAGGTGAAAAATTAGGTATGAAAAATAACAAAGGGCAATAACTCAAAAATTATGAAAGGAAGAGTTATCATTCTTGTGCACTGCACACCTCCTGAGTGAGATCTATGCACCTATGAAGTTTCATGTTAATATCTCATAGGCTTTTGGAGTTATGCTCTGGACAAAAATCAATTTTGAAAAATAACAAAGGGCAATAACTCAAAAATCATGCAAGGTAGAGTTATCATTCTTGTCCACTGCACTCCTCCTCAATGAGGTCTATCCACCTATGAAGTTTCAAGTTGATAACTCAAATACTTTTAGAGATATGCTCCGGACAAAAATTTCGGACGGAAGGACGGACGGAAGGACGGAAGGCCGGACGGACGGAGACTATTTCTATATCCTCCGCCGAAAAATTCCTCCGCCGAAAATTTTCGGCGGGGGATAAATAAATAACTGAAAAATCAAACATTAATTTCTACATTTCATATTTTAAGATATTCTTTATTGGTATCTTAATATTTGGTCTAATAAAAGAATGTTTTAAGCAGTTTTTAGAAAACAAAAAGTTAATTCAGGTCCACATAATTACATTAAAAATTTATAAAATTTGAAAAGACCATCAGAGTCGGTCCTGCTCTTATATTTATAAGTCACCTTGAAAGAAAGTTTAAACATAATCTTGTTAACCAAAAGTCTGGGATATCTATGTGTTAAGGTTATCCCCCCAACAAGTATAAAGTAATCAGGACATACACTTTATTATAGTCTCTTTATCTCTTACAAGGAGTGAACAATAAAATAAGTACTAAAATAAGTATTTGAAATTCTATATCTACGACTAGATTTGAAACTTAGAATGTTAAAGCAGCATGCTGCCAGGTTTACGATAAAATTTTAGCACTTTGAAACCCAAGAAAAAATATGCAAAAACAATCCTGTGCAAGCTAGCCTGGTGACAAAATTGTATTGCCTGTCTAAATCTACATCCGCTTTCATTTAATAGTATCAGAATGATTACCTTAGTAAATGGCTCTAGAGCTTGAAGGATAGGTCTGTAACCTGTACAACGGCAGAGATTACCTGAAATACATAAAACAATGGCAGAAATTCATCACCAAAGTTTCTCAATGAAAATCTATCAATACCACTACAAAGGTGTGTCTATTTATAAAATAAAAACCCACCTTGATGCAAAAATATATTAAAAGTGTTTATCATGATGAAATTTCAAGAATTTTGAAAAAATAACCTTGAAAGTCAATGTCATTTAGGGGTCAAGGTTGTAGTTTAAAAACTACAAATTCATGGTTGAGAATATTAATATGTAAACATGTATATTGTTTCTATGTTTGACAGCTCTATTTTACAAAATTAAGATATGCTGCCCAATTTAAAGACAGAAAAGAACAAAATGCCCTTTCCAATTTGTCCCCTTTCAATCTATCATAATGCTACTTTTAACCACTATTGTGTTTCTGTGTAATCACTATTGTCCATCTGTGAAAATACTATTGTCTATCTGTAACTTCATTACATTAATCTTACCTTCGAGGGCTCTCTCAACTTCATCTTTGGAGGGACAGGGATTGTTCCTGAGGAGTGCAAATGCAGACATAACAAACCCAGGTGTACAAAATCCACATTGTAATGCATGAGACTCTATCATCCTTTTCTGTAACAAGAAACAAACATTTACACCAAATTAAGAACCATATCCTTCATAATATACAATTAACAATATACTTTTTAGCTTCATTTTTGAAGAATTGGGACAGCTGTTGTAGTCTCACCCAGGCAATGGCATGGGCACCACACTTTGGTTTAAAATTTTTAAATGTAATTTGGTATCTCTAGAACTACTGAATGGAATGGGTTGAAGCTTCACACTTATATGAGAGCATAAAAGTAGGTATCAGTAACTTTAATGTGGATTTTGACAGAATTTCTTAAAAAATTCTACCTTATCAAGGCTCTTGTCTTACTATCAAGCACTAAGAATAATCAAGTACGCTTTATTTTTAAGGACAGACAGGTCTTGTTTATGTAAGCACTGGTATATTTAGATCATATATGAAACGTGTATACAACAGTTACATATAGACAAAAACAAGACATGCCTTAACGGGCAGAATGTCAGGACTATATTTATAGAATATAGTCTGTGAGACTGTCACCTTACTTACTTGTCCACAAAGGCAACCAACGACTGATGGGAAAGAGCCAAAATCTAAGTGCATTATTTGTCCTCATAAAATATAAGTGCATCAAATATAATAAAATCTTCCTGTATCATTTGAGTTGTATTAATGTACCTGAATCATTTGAGTTGTATTAAAGTACCTGAATCATTTGAGTTGTATTAAAGTACCTGAATCATTTGAGTTGTATTAAAGTACCTGTATCATTTGAGTTGTATTAAAGTACCTGTATCATTTGAGTTGTATTAAAGTACCTGAATCATTTGAGTTGTATTAAAGTACCTGAATCATTTGAGTTGTATTAAAGTACCTGAATCATTTGAGTTGTATTAAAGTACCTGTATCATTTGAGTTGTATTAAAGTACCTGAATCATTTGAGTTGTATTAAAGTACCTGAATCATTTGAGTTGTATTAAAGTACCTGAATCATTTGAGTTGTATAAAAGTACCTGCATCATTTGAGTTGTATTAAAGTACCTGAATCATTTGAGTTGTATAAAAGTACCTGTATCATTTGAGTTGTATTAATGTACCTGCATCATTTGAGTTGTATTTAAGTACCTGTATCATTTGAGTTGTATTAATGTACCTGAATCATTTGAGTTGTATTAAAGTACCTGTATCATTTGAGTTGTATTAAAGTACCTGAATCATTTGAGTTGTATAAAAGTACCTGCATCATTTGAGTTGTATTAAAGTTCATACAAACCTGTATCTCATGTAATCCAGTGTTGGGTTTGCCAACTCCCTCAACTGTTGTAATAGCCAGACCGTGAGCTGCACATAATGGAAACAAGCAAGCATTCATTGTATAGTGTCTACCGAATGTCAAGGCCATTCATAACAAGAACATCATAAAGTTTCAATGAAATATACCTTTATTAGTATTAAAGTAAAGGACCATAAATGAAAACTTAACCTTAAAAGAGCTTCAACAACTCTGACACTGACATATACGATTGGGTGACGACAATTGTCAAGTGAGATTAAAAAAGTGTTGAAGCACCACAGCAAATACTATATTTCGGTATATATCAGGAAAGGCTCTTCAATGATTTCTTCAATGATTAAATGCTTAAATGCTAAAATTTCGCCTTTTTACCTGCCGAAATGCACTTTAAAGATGTCTAATTCATCTCCTTACACTTGTTTATATACGATCATGAATGCAAAAATGTAAGGATCGGCAAAAAGTAGTACTTTTCTACTTTGTGATCATGATTTCTGCTAGAGGTACTGCTGCAACAGTGACTTAAATCGCACATTATCACCCATATTATCACCCCATACTGTCCTGGAGGAAAGGTGAGGTTGCCAGGGTTACAACTCCTTAGTACAATACACAGATTTGGTAAAAGTAAAGGTAAAATGATTCAAACATGTTAAAAAATCCTTGCAAAAACTGTTGAATACTAAACAGTAAAAGATACACTATCTTTCCAGATTTGCCCTGAAACTTGGACACCATGACAGTGCAGGAGCCACACCCTCCATGACCACACCCTTCTTTCGTCCCCGGGAGCAGCACTGATTATCTAGTCAAGGATATGTAATACAGAAGCAAGGATACATGTATATTGCACAATTATACATTGAATTAAATCACCATGTTCCAGATCAATCAAATGAGTTTTTAAAATATCTGACTTATTTAACATCAAAGGAAATATACAGCATAAATATTCACAAAATTGATATTTTTGTTTTGTTTGGTTTTATTGAGCATTAACACAATTAAGGTTATATGGTTCTGAAACAGGAAAGAAGATTTTGACTCAGGTGTTATAAACTTAAAGAAACACTGGGGTCAAAACCACCTTGAACCCATTTAGTCCTCTTACTATCATAAGAGGAAAACAGTGGCTGTAATTCTGACGCCTCATGAGACCTTTAAAGGCAACTCCTCAACCATAGGGGGAGAGTGAAATTTTGAATGTAAATTTGTACTAGACCTGTCATTGATTTTGTTTAAAGCTTAGCAATGATTTATATATCTTCATAATTTCTAGACATTCAATTAATTAATCAAAATTATGGATTTTTTCAAATGTATATCTATTATTGATCAACAGAAAAATATTGATGATACATCGATATTGTTTATATTGATGATAGCTCTAATTTGTACTATAATGCACAATATGACAGCATTTTCTAATACCAAATTCTACTCTGTTACTAATGGAGTTATAAAAATTTCTGAAAAGTCTTCCTGATAAGTTACATACATATATTCTTACAAGATGTACAAAGTTGGTGCAACAGAAATATATACATGTAACTGAATTCTATGAAAGACAAAAGATAAAATGAAAAAATACATCATCAGGAGTTAAAAAATGTTTGTTACACTTATGAACAAGTTATCTGCCCTTTAAAAGACCTAAAACCTCAAATTCAAGAGCAGATAACCCTAATTTTTTATGGCTTAATATGTTCCTATTATAATTATTCTAAGATCATGCAAAGTTTTCATAAATTCTTATACACATTTTGTATTCTTTTTATTATCATAATGTACCTGTAATTTTTCACCTTTTAAACACCTTATTTGTACATCATGCAGCCTTTTTACTCTTGAGGCCAATTAAACACAAATAGAGGAGGAATGGTGCTCTGCCTTGAGGTTTTAAGATAAACTCTTACACTGTTGGAAACAAAAGTGATTTGCCAGCAGTATAGAGCCAGGCCAGCCTGCACTGATTCATCCAGCCTGACCATTTTCTACAGTTGTATACTGTTGGCACTTGTTTAATTTTTATATCTTGATATTGAAATCCCTTAAAATTTGAATGGACTGTTCCATGTTTAACTAGAACTGCCACTGTCATGGCATGAATACCCCCGCATACCACTTTGTCAGAAGCTTTTTTTAAGTCAAGGCCCCTGTGACCTTGAACTTTGACCCAGTGACCTCAAAATCAAAAGGGGTCATCTACTAATCACGACTAACCTCCATGCCAAATTGAAATCCCTTAAAATTTGAATGGACTGTTCCATGTTTAACTAGAACTGCCACTGTCATGGCATGAATACCCCCGCATACCACTTTGTCAGAAGCTTTTTTTAAGTCAAGGCCCCTGTGACCTTGAACTTTGACCCTGTGACCTCAAAATCAATAGGGGTCATCTATAAATCACAACTAACCTCCATGCCAAATATGAAGACTGTGGGTCAAAGGAATCTCAAGTTATTGGGGGGACAAGCTTTTTTTAGTCAAGGCCCCTGTGACCTTTGACCCAGTGACCTCAAAATCAAATGGGGTCATCTACTAATCACGACTAACCTCCATGCCAAATATGAAGACTGTGGGTCAAAGGAATCTCAAGTTATTGGGTGGACAAGCTTTTTAAAGTCAAGGCCCTGTGACCTTGACCTTTGACCCAGTGATCCCAAAATCGTAAGGGGTCATCTACTAATGACTAACCTCCATTCCAAATATGAAGACTGTGGGCCAAAGGAATCTCAAGTTAATTGGGCGGACAAGGAAAAACCGACAGACGGACGGGGAGACGGACGGACGGCCGAACCGCCGGACAAGCTGATTCCAGTATATCCCCCTTACAATTTTTTTTTTTACTTCGTTGTGCGGGGGTATAAAGACAGGCAAATCCATTACACAAATTCCGCAGGTTAAATGTTTATTCAAATCATGTCAAATCAGTATGACTATCACTCATCTATATATATGCTCATAAAAATGTTTTTCACTAAAAGTATAATCTTAAATTCATTATGTAGGGCATGACGGAATACTTTAAATATACAATCATGCATGCATGTAATTTTTCATATAATTTCATCATTTTATTGGTAAATCTCATTATCTATATATATGCTCATAAAAATGTTTTTCACTAAAAGTATAATCTTAAATTCATTATGTAGGGCATGACGGAATACTTTAAATATACAATCATGCATGCATGTAACTTTTCATATAATTTCATCATTTTATTGGTAAATCTCATTTCTCAACCAGTCTCCCATTCCCCCATCCCTCTTAACACACTTTGATGAACTGTTGATAAATTTGTTTTAAAAAAAAATGAAATGCTACAATTTAGTTACATGTAATAGGTTCTAAACATCTTGCCCACATAGGAATTATTACAATCCAGGTTAAGTAAATACTCAAGTTCTTCATCTTATCTAAACAAATTCTGTTACGAGCGTTTTTATGCATTCATATTATGCAGTTTCCTAAAATTAGTTATCAAATATGTCACCTCATGATAGCAAATTGCATGTTGCAGCTATTGTGTAGTAGGAGACACAAAAATAGTAAACAAGCTAAAAAACATTTTCTATTCAAGGGCCATAACTCATTCAACTGGTAACCTATGTAATATGAGCAAGTAGTCTTGAGGTACCAATCAATCCTGTAAAGTTTCATTGAAACTGCATTGGTGGTAAAAGAGAAGTAAGTCCAAACAAACCTTATTAATACCTTTTTCATTCAAGGGCCATAACTCGGCCGAAAATCATTTAAGCCAAAAACCTGTGTAATAAGTGCAAGCACTTACTTACCAATCAATCCTGTAAAGCTTCATTGAAATTGCAATAGTGGTATCCACACAAACTTTAAAAATAACAAGATATGTTTGTAAAATATGTATGCCCCCTATCAGCAGCGATTTAGTCATGTGATCAGGTTATTATGCACAACTTCTGACCCAGTGAACAAAATATGACACTGACTCCTTGACCCCAAAATCAATAGGGGTCATTTACTGGTCATGACCAATCACCATACCAAGTTTGAAGTTCCTAGGCCTAAGCGTTCTTTAGTTATTGATCGGACACCGTTTTTACTTACAAGGTCAATGTGACCTTGACCTTTGACCCCTTGACCCCAAAATCAATAGGGGTCATCTGCTGGTCATGACCAATCACCATACAAAGTTTGAAGTTCCTAGGCCTAAGCATTCTTTAGTTATTGATCGGGAACCGTTTTATTTACAAGGTCAATGTGACCTTGACCTTTGACCCCTTGACCCAAAAACAATAGGGGTCATCTGCTGGTCATGGCCAATCACCATAGCAAGTTTGAAGTTCCTAGGCCAAAGCGTTCTTTAGTTATTGATCGGAAACTGTTTTTACTTACAAGGTCAATGTGACCTTGACCTTTGACCCCTTGACCCAAAAATCAACAGGGGTCATCTGCTGGTCATGACCAATCACCATACAAAGTTTGAAGTGCCTAGGCCTAAGCATTCTTTAGTTATTGATCGGGAACCGTTTTACTTACAAGGTCAATGTGACCTTGACCTTTGACCCCTTGACCCAAAAATCAATAGGGGTCATGGCCAATCCCCATACCAAGTTTGAAGTTCCTAGGCCTAAGGGTTCTTTAGTTATCACTCGGAAATCATTTGGTCTACGGACTGACAGACAGACAAATGCAAAGCAATATACCCCCTCTTCCTTGAAGTGGGGGCATAAAAATCATTACAGGGCCATTACTCTGACAAAAATCATTGAACCACAAAATACCGATGATATGCACAATAAGACTTGGTACTGATCGCTCCTGTGAAGTCTGGATGAAACTGCACCAATAATGTTTGAGATGTAATCCAGACAAGTTTTGTAACAAATTTTATTCATTTTTAGTCACATAAAGTCCCCCAAAAAAACCACAAATAAAAATGGAGTGAATTAAACAAAATGTACTGTTTACCTATTGTTCTCCAAGTCACACAGTCAGTGTTCGTACAGACAGACAGACAGGCAGACAGAAAGATGATAGAGAAGTAATCCCTATATGCTGCCACTTTTCTGTAGAAGAGGCACAAAATTATTTGAAAGGATTTTGAGAGAGTAAAAAAAAAAATTTTTTAATCTTTTTCACAAAAAAAAACTGTGTGCATCTCATTTTGGCAAAAAACTGAGGACACTTAAACTTTTTGAGGATTTAAATGTAAAACAGTCTGATATAATCTTTTCAAGCTTATGTAACTTTGCACAAAAAACAGTGTTCTACATAATTATATCTCTGTTTACATAACATAATATATTTTACTATCACTATCTTACAGTGCATTTAACTAGCTTATTCATCATAATATATCCTGGTTCGAAGACTGCAATTCATTGCCCAGTTTCTGTGACCTTTTGAAAACTATAAAAAGATATTTTAAAGCAGCACGCCTCCAGATTCATGCTAATATACACATAATCAATTGCACTTACAACCCACGTAAATTACTAAAAAGAAGACAAACATGCAAAAATAGCCCTCACTGCATTAGTCACGCAGTAGAAATATAGTTATAAATACTGTAATCAGTCATTAATCACACATAATATGTAAATTATTACTTGAATTTTAAATATTTTTACTTTTCCTAAAATCTTAGTGCATAAAAATTTTCTCAAGTTTGATTTTATTGAAATATTTTCGCTCATCTGGAAGCATGCAGCTTTAAAGGGTATAAAGCTATATGTAATGAAATATTTCTTTTAAATAAATGGTGAAATTGTGTTGTTCAAATCAGCTAAAGATGTTTTTTGGAGTTTTTATATAGACATGTAGGCAAAATTAAAACTGTTCCATAGATACAGATAACTCACAAATGAGAACAATGACCCCAATTTTTTTCTGCTTAAAATGTTTCTGTTATCAAATTCTAACAACATGGCAAGTTTAAAGAAATTCTAATCAACTGTTTTTATTTTGCCTATATGTCTATATGAAATTAACTCTCGAAAATGTCTTTCAGGGTCATTCTCAAAAAAGGTCTTAGCATAGAATGTCTCTTTTATTTAACAAACATGGATATTGTATGTAAACAGATTACTGTGTTTCGCAATAAAATAATTTAGTAATGCTGTGATTCAAATTAAGTATAGGGTAAATTAATTTTAACTGTTAAGCAATGCTTTTTGCATGCACAGTTCACTTTTAATGAAACAATACAAACAATAAATGAGCCAAGTCATGACAAAACCAACATAATGGGTTTGCGACCAGCATGGATCCAGACCAGCCTGCCCATCTGTGCTGGTATGGATCCATGCTGGGCGCAAACACACAATGTTGGTTTTGTCATGACACAGCTCAATTATTTCTTTCATACAGGTATTTTGAAATTATTCTTTGTCAGAACCAAGCAATAAAATTTGTAAACTACAGGCAGCAGGCATACAGCTTAGCTATGTTTCAAACTGTTTATTTTATAGGGACTGAAACAGTTGATGAAAGCATAAGGAAATGGCCAGCAAATACTGATACTGTGTAACTGCATAACACTCCTCCCAGAAACCCAACTTTGAAAGCATTTTCTTACATACTGCTTTTTACAGTAACAGTGAGGATACCAGTATATGATCTTGCATTCAAACAATTGAATTAATTTTATGCATGAATAACAACAACAATTTTCTCCTTCTTTAAATAACCATTACATCATAAAATGACTTGTCTTTGTCTTATCTGGACAAAATCATATTTAGGGAAATTTTCAAAATGTATACCAACAAAAATTATACAAAATGTATACATGCATCATGCAAACAACAAGGGCATAAAAGGATACATTTTCTTCGAAGATACTGAAGAAGGGTTGCTTCTCCATCTGGTTTTGGCTCAACCACCTGAAAGGATAAATTTATCCTTGGTACAGAAGAATCCAGGTCTATTAAAGGGACTCCACTGAGGTTTTTTGACATGACAGGACTGGAAATAATTCTTTGAGATTATTACTCCATTTGATGAAGATCTACAATAATAACTTATGTGCAAAATTTCAGATCATTAGCTCGCTCCGTTTTTCCAGGATAATTATTATAGTGAAAAATGACCCAAAAATTGAAAAGCGTTTAAACGTTTTTCACTCACATAGGACTTAGAATAGCACGACATACAATTTTTAATGTATTTCTTGTATATTTCTTAGTTATTTATTATTTATATTGCTGTTTTAAGTGCTCATGTTGATCTATGTGAAAAATTAAACTTTTATATTTTTAGCGTTAAAAACCTCAGTTGAGTTCCTTTAACAGTGACAATATTCAACGAGCTGTTAGATGCAGGACACACACTGGACTAATAAATGCTAATTCATTTACAGTTAAGAAAACAAGCAACTTAAAAAAACAAAACAAAATACTTAAGTTTTTTCAGATTTGTACATCATTCTATTACATCAAGAAAATAAAAAGCTCTCAAAAAAGTTCATTTTTTTTTTTGGCACCACAATGTAACATAACATGCATGTCAATTGAAATGGCAAACAGAAAATATCAACAGTAATTTCTGTGCTGTATAGGATAAGAGGGCCAAGATGGCCCTTGATCGCTCACCTGACCCATCCAACTCATCTGAGCAATTACTTAAACAAGCATTCTGACCAAGGTTTGATGACAGTTGAGTGAAAAATGTGACAACTAGAGTGTTAACAAGGTTATTCCTATTTGGGCAGAGTGACCTAGTTTTTGACCCAAGGTGACCCATATTTGAACTTAAAAACAAACTCGCAGACCAATTTCCAGGATATTTGGATGACATTAGTAGCCACTTAATAAAGGTAACAAGAATTTTCTATTTTTAGCTCCTGTGACCTTGTTTTTCATCAGAGATGACCCATGTTTGAGTCATCCAAGTAATTTTCTTAGACAAGCATCTTGACCAAATTTGATGACAAATGAGTCAAAAATGTGACCACTAGAGTGTTAACAATGATTTTTCCTATTTGGGCAGTGTGACCAAGTTTTTGACCCGATGTGACCAATATTTGAACTTGACCTAGAAATCATCAAAACAAATTTTCTGACCATTTTCCAGGATATATGGATCAAATCAGTAGTCACAGGAGTGTTAACAAGGTATCCAAGATAAACCCATGTTCGAACTCATCTGAGCAATTACTTACACAAGCAAGTTTCATGCCTGCTAGTCATAATCAGAATTGATTGTTAAGCAGTATGATGTAGATGTAGATATAATTGAGTAAAAAATGTGACCACTAGAGTGTTAACAAACAATTTATGTGGAAGGACAACAGACGTACGACAGACAATGTATATGATGGACATTCAACAATCCTAAAAGCGCAACTTGAGCTTGCTCTGGTATGCTAAAAGACAACAATGAAATCTGAAGTAAACCCCTTCAGTGACAAACATGATATTTATAAGAAAAAATAACTTATTAAAGCAAAGTCATAGTAGAAATTACTTTCTTTTTTTTTACTATTAATGACTAGCCTATTTAATTAAGCGTGAACAGTTTGACCCATGTTACAGACTGTTTTTTTATACTGTCAAACTGTTGGTAAAAGTAATAAACCTAACAAAAAAATATCTTGATGTCTTTTTGGCAAGTCTAATTAGTTTGACTTTAACTAATAATGACAATATTTTACGTAAATTTTCATGAAAATTAGCATAAATGCTGCTTTTTAAAGTATCTGGGGTGATAAACAATATCATAAAACAATTAATGATACGCTCTAAATACAAATCTTTTATAAAGACTCTATCATGCATACATACTATATTGATACATATGTAATATTTCATTCAAATATACAAATTATATGTACACATGTAATCATTATTAAATAAAGGACATAATATATTATGATAAAATGTAGTCAGTAACAAGCTTAAGGCAACTTTTGAAATTATCATTTTAGATCTATTCTTTACACAATTATATCAACTTTTGAAATTATCATTTTAGATCTACATGTATAATAGGCCTAGATTTCTTTACACAATTATGTAAGACATTTAATCAATAATTCTTATTAAACTGTTTAATTAATAAATTTAGCAAATTCATAAGAAACAAATGTTAGGGGTATACCTTACTCCCGTTCACGAAAAAAATCAAGTCATTTGGTTGTGCACACATTGTTAAACCATCTGTCACTTAGTAGGCCTTGTCAGTGGTAGAATCAGGGTCAGTATCATTTTCCTGCAGTGGTTACTTCCCCTAACTTGTGTCTACGTATCAATTTCATTTATGAATTTAATATTTTCTGTCTATTGTACTTTAGTTTTTTTTAAGCATACGATCATAATTTTACTTCGATGGATTAGAACTAATATACAAAGGTTGTTATTTTGTTGAATTCTATCTGTTTGATGCCTCCATCCATATTGAAGTGTGATGACAGCGATAAATAAACTAAACAGTGGTAAATAGATTATACGGACCAAACAAATATGGCGGAGAAGAGAGGCAGTTCGAAATCGAGGAATTATTTTGTATGAAAATTTCCCCTATGCATGCACTTACAGGATTATCTTCTTGTTTTATATAATCAGTAGTAAATTCATAGCATTTCTGTTAATTATACCATTCTTGTTCGTTTTGTCAAATGCTTGTTTTCTTCTCTTAAACGTCAAAACGAGTCCAGTTTAGACATGTCAACAAAGATGGTTATCACTGGCCGGGTAGCATGCATTAGATTAAAATCGTTAATGATTTGTGGTTCAGGTTTTAATGATGTTTAAGGTCAGTGTCAGATAATTTCAGTTCAAAAATGATTGCAAGTCATAAACATGTGACATTATATTGCGATTAATAAGATTAATAAGAACTTTAAAAATCAGCAAATAACCATTATTTTATAATTAAGAAGATAAAAATATATGCAGGTAAAATCACAAGTTAACTATAGCAGTAACGGTCTTTCGGTATTTTAATGTTTTAGTCTCTAGACTTTTACATAGCAGTAAAATATTTTCATATTGAATATATTACAAAATATTGAATCTAGTTAAGCAGACCCCCATACTATGGAAGTTGGAACATTTTTTTCCCAGAATTCCCTTTTTGTCATAAAACCAGGAATTTTAATTCCCTTGATTTAAAATGATTTCACAGTAATTCATGATTTAACTTAAATCTACCACTAATTTTTGATTTATGTGTCCCACTAATATTTGCTGCTAGCATAATTACCGGTATAATCAAAAGCTAAAGCAAATGATATTTAGAAATTAGATAGTTAAGCCTGTTATGTATACACTTTAACGCATATAGTGTAGCTGTGTAATAAAGACTGCAATGATTCTGCATTTTGGAGTTAGAATTTTGATTATTGGTTTGCTATGCAATTGATTTGAATTTGATTATTCAGGCTGAAAATACATTATTTTTCTCATAGAAAAACGTTTCCATACAATGAAAATTACTTTTAAAAATTTAATGTCAAATACAGACTATATAATACAGGCCAATATTTTGGGTAATTCACAGTCCTCCATGTCTAACAACAATCAACAGTGCTATAGACTGACATTACAAACATTTTGACTGGAGAACTGAGAACATATATCCAATAAAAGTAATGCTTGGTTATTAATTATAAAAAAAACAAACAAATTTATAAATTGCAGTTCGGCATGATTGGGAATAGGAATAAGTGTTCCACTCCTTAAGAGGAAACAAACTAGTTGTTTTTGTTTTACTTCATTACTTTCAATGTTTAATTCTGTAGCCCACAGATGACATAGACAGTATGGATGCAAATGCTGACTCTGTCTCCGACAATGAAGAATATACCAGTGTGCGATCAAGCAAGGTAACAAGAATGACATAATAAATTTCAAGATTAAGGTGGAGGTGTTTTGTTTATTGAATACTGACAGATGCTAGGGGCGTCCGTGGCCGAGTGGTTAAGGTCGTTGACTTCAAATCACTTGGTGGATGTGGGTTTGAATCCCTACAGGGACTTTGGATTCTTTTATGTGAGGAAGCTATCCAACTAGCTTACAGAACATTGGTGGTTCTACTAAGGTGCCCGTTTGTGCCTGAAATAATGCACAGAAGGGCACCTTAGGTCTTCCTCTACAGGCATTAAAGCTGGAACATTGCCACATGACCTAAATTGTGTTGGTGTGACGTAAAACCCAATCAAACAAACAAACTGACAGATCCTAACTGGTTACCATTGTAACTTAACTATGAGACATTTTTTCCCAATTCATAATCATTGTCTTATAAGCCAATCAAGAAAATCCAAGGAAAAATAACATAAGGGGTTATGTTAAATCAAGATAAAAAGATTATGCAATGTATAAACTTTATAAAGCTGTATTTGCCAGAATCTCTTAGGGTAATTAAGGGAACTCCACTGAGGTAAAAAACCTAAATACATAAATTTCTTACAAAATATGAACATATTATTATGCCGTTATTGAAAGAAGGTTTCTAACTGTTTAGCAATGATTTTTTGCATTTGCCATTGGTTTCTTCATGAAAATCCAACATTCTTTCAATGAGATAGTTTGGAATTATTTTCCGTCAAAAATAAAACAACAAAAATGTGGATATAAAGCTTTATACACTTTAACTTTTAGTAGGTGTAGCAATGTGTAATCTGTCTTAGAATTTTATGTACAGGTATATTATCATTCTTTCACTTTTTATTACCTTACTCTGTTATAAGTAATAGAAAGAGCACCGAAACACAAGGTTATCTGATTTGTATGAGGGGGCGTAGCCCCCGAGTATTAATCAGATTACCAAGTGTTTTGGTGTTCTTTCTCTTTTGTATCATAGTCAAACATAAAAACACATTCCCTGTTGTCACAATATGAAACCCCGGCAAAAATGAACCAATGAACGAACATCTGAATATGATATTTCTGTTGCTTTCCCTTTCTCTGCCGTCACAATATGTAAACCCCAGCAAAAATGAGCCAATCAATGGGCATGCTCTGGAGTGCGGGTAACTAATACCCGCACTCCAGTTAACGCACTGTGCATGTATATGTATACGATTTAACCCTGGCACATTTTCAACAGAAAGGTCTCCAAACTATGATACAACTATTTTTGTCAAGGTACAAATAAATATTCCACCTGACCAAAAACAAACAGTATGGTTTTATACTTTTAAAATAATAGATATAAGATTTATCAGTATTTCAAAACATTTTATTTGCAGACAGGTTATTAGATTTATTTAGATATTTAAAGTTACTTTGGTATTGCGCTGCTTTCATAGTATCCATCATGCATTACAAAATTTCGTTAGCCATAGATTGCTTTTAATAGTTTATTAGAAAAATTTAATACTTTGCTTTATACTGTTGTTAAGTAGTCTCAGTCTTATAGGTAAACTTCTTAAATTGTGCATGACTTATTTTTGTGTATACATTATATTTTGTTATATTTTACTTTACAAAAAGTGAGGTAGTGGAGGCAATACACTGTACAGTCAAATTTGATTAAAGCTGCACGCCTCCAGATGAGCCAAAATATTTCAATAAATTCAAACCTGAAAAAAATGTACTAAAATTTTAGGAAAAGTAAAAAGATTGAAAACTGTAGTAATAATTTACATGTTATATGCGATTAGTGACCGATTTTTCAGTATTTATAACTATATTTCTACTGTGTTACTAATGCAGTTAGGGCTTTTTTTTGCATATATTTTGATCTCTTTTTTGGTAACTTACATGGGTTGTAAGTGCCATTGATAATGTGTTAATTGCATTCTTTTGGTAACTTAAGAATATTATACTGTTAAAAAACATTTTCAAATTTTCATGAAAATTAGCATGAATCTGGAGGCATGCTGCTTTAAGGGTTCACACCTGAATAGCAGCCTATCTGTCCAAGTCCGCCATCTTTACAGAGTTCTTAATGTGTTTCTGTTTTTGCCATTTTGGGAATGGGCTAGGGTTAATTTTATTTGAGATTTTTGAGTCAGTAAATAAGATAAACTGAGAAAATAACTAACAAACAAGCAAGATTTCCGTATATAATGTAAACAATTTAGTTTTTATATTGTGAATAAAGGGTCTTTCCAGCTCTATATGTACCTACAACACTGGAAAACAGCATACAACGTCAGCAAGCTTGTAAAAAGCTGTGACTTTCTGAACTCTTGTTTCCTAGGTTTTTTTCTTCATATAATGCAATTCAAGTTACCTTGAAATTCAGTTGTCATCATGTTTATTTTCTAGGACAAGAAATCTGATGATTGGTCAACTGTAAATAAGAAGCTGAGAGAGCATGGACTACAGCCACTCAAGTTTCAACACCCAGCTGATATTCATCATACCTCAGGTAACCTCAGTGCTGTCAGATTAGGCCTGGACACTTTTTATAATACCATGAAAAAAAACAGTGAATTTATCCCATACCCTGCTACATATTTAGGTAGACTATTTCAAGCATATGGAGAGCTGTTTTACTCTACATTTTTGCATGCTAGTTGGTATTTCCACAACTACTGAAGGAAATGGGTTGAAACTTCATACAATAATTGTCAATTATTTGAGAGCATAATAGCAGGTCACTGTCTATAGCCTATTACTGTAACATGGATTTTGACACGACTATGGCCATATAAGCTTAAAAAAATTCTACATTATCCAGGCTCATGTGCAGCCACTGTGAATAGTCAAGCACACTGCCTTGCCTACAGCTGTTGTTATAATGGGCTATCTCTATTTTTGTTAAACCTTTATACTGCTTGTTGGCAATAGGTTCTGTTTATGTGACCAGTGCATACTAAGAACAGCTAGCACAACTGTTCTGTCTGATCATGGTCCAAACTGTTGGCTATTCAGTCTGTACGTATTTTGCCTAAATTTTCCCTAATAACAAGGAATGGTTTTGTCCAAAGCCTATAAATTTAACAAGGAGTTGACAGAATTTTTAATTTTTTTTATACCCCGCCGAAAATTTTCGGCGGAGGATATAGAAATAGTCTCCGTCCGTCCGACCTTCCGTCCGTCCATCCGTCCGTCCTTCCGTCCGACATTTTTGTCCGCAGCATATCTCTAAAAGTATTTGAGTTATCAAATTGAAACTTCATAGGTTGATAGACCTCATTGAGGAGGAGTGCAGTGCACAAGAATGATAACTCTACCTTGCATGATTTTTGAGTTATTGCCCTTTGTTATTTTTCAAAATTGATTTTTGTCCAGAGCATAACTCCAAAAGCCTATGAGATATTAACATGAAACTTCATAGATGCATAGATCTCACTCAGGAGGTGTGCAGTGCACAAGAATGATAACTCTACCTTTCATAATTTTTGAGTTATTGCCCTTTGTTATTTTTCATACCTAATTTTTCACCTGAGTGGAGCATAACTTAAAAAGTGTTTGAGATATCAATATGAAATGTCATAGGTGGATAGATCTTATTGAGGAGGAATGTTGTGTGCAAGAATGATAACTCTTCCCTTTACAATTTTTGAGTTATTGCCCTTTGTTTTTTTTCATGCTATTTTGTCCAGAGCTTATCTCAAAAAGTATTTAAGGTATCAACTTGAAACTTCAAAGGTGGATGGATCTCATTGAGGAGGAGTGCAGTGCTTAAGAATGATAACTCTACTCTGCATTATTTTGAGTTATTGCCCTTTGTTATTTTTCAAAATTAATTTTTGTCCAGAGCATAACTCAAAAAGCCTTTGAGATATAAAAATGAAACTTCATAGGTGCATAGATCTCACTCAGGAGGTGTGCACTGCACAAGAATGATAACTCTACCTTTTATAATTTTTGAGTTATTGCCCTTTGTTCTTTTTCATACTTAATTTTTCAATTCAATTTTTTTCTCAAAAAGTATTTGAAGGTATCAACTTGAAACTTCATAGGTGGATAGATTTTACTGAGGAGGGATGCAGCACACAAGAATGATAACCTACCCTGCATTATTTTTCAGTAATTGCCCTTTGTTATTTTCAGCCATCAGTATTCATATAGGTTTCAAATCTGTAATCACTATAGCCATCAGTTTTCATTACCAAAAGACCTCTTAAAATGGAATTATTCCGCTCTACTACATATACATTCTTCCAATGAGCAAACACATTCGGCGGGGGATGGCCATGTTGACATGGCTCTTGTTAACTTAGCAAATTCTGCATTATCCAGGATCTTGTTATACTTTTAAGCACTAAGAATAGTCAAGACGGCTGTGCTTCTGACAGCTCTTGTTTGAAACTTAACAACTTCTAAAAGGTTACTATAATTTTATCTCAATGAATGGCTTAACATGACACCTTTCTTTTTAGGTTCAATGACATGCCTGGATAGCAATAATAACAAGATGGCGAGAGAGAACTTCTTGTCACTGATGTCAGACTGTGATCACAGACAAACACTTGTACAGGACCTCATTACTAAAAATAACCAGCTTAAGTAAGTTGAATAGAAATCATTTTGCATGTATCTTTTTGGTTTCTCTAACTTATCGATAAAAAGTTCAGCATATAAATATCTAGCAAGGACTCTTTTTTTGTTGAAACATGATTTTTTTTTTTAAACTGAAATGTACTACCTCATCTTAAAGTGACATTATGCTCTCATTTTTTCACTGTCAACCTTAGATAAATTAGTTGTATATTTCAAAAGATTGACTATTTTAATTTATTTAAAGATGATTGAACACTGATTGATTATCACAAATGTTAAGAGTAAAATATGAAATCTGACTGATATATAAAAGACGGTCCTGCTTTTTTTTTTATAAATCGAACAATACCAGTAATTTTCAAAGGATATTCCTTTATTTAAATGTGAGGGTGAGGTTTATTATAAAATTGAAAACAAATATGACAAAATGTCAATTTTTTTTTAACTTTACCTGAACACTCATCATTTACTGTGGGACAGAAATAATGTCACTTTAAATAGATAAATTAAATATTCGGTTATGTCTACAGTCAAATGAATTGTGCACTATTACTTTTATCATTGCAGAGAAGATTTGGACAGGCAAACAGAACTCACAGAAAAATACTTCAGTAAAATGAAGGATCTGAAAATCATGCTGGAAAGTTCAAGAGCAAGGGTCAAGGTCAGTGTCATTGTAATTTCATGACCTTTTGTAAAATGGAGTCCAGGACACAATTAGATTTTTTTGCTATATTCACACAAGTAAATGATTTATTCTTCTGTATTTAGCATGGATCAGTCCAGATTCATGCAGATTACATGAAAATTACGTAAACTTTTCTACATAGCCATAACTAATGTTTACAGTTTAGAAAAACAAAGTGAGTGTTTTAAGCTAGCCTTGTGACTCTAAAAAAGTCTTTTCATTTAGTATTGACTTCCATTGTGAATTTGCTTGACATTCTTATTGTCTTGTACATTTAATGGTTTACAATTAAATATTTGCAGGAATTAGAGTCTGACGAACCTGGAAGGTCACAGACAGATGATATCTGGGACAGTACCGAGCGTGTAAAGAACACAAGGTCAGCTGTCGTGGCCAAGAATAAGGATCTGGAATATAAATGCAAACAACAAGAGAGAGAACTGGAAAGATTAAAAGAAAAACTGCATAACATGTCTCAACAGGTAATATATGTAGTACCGTATTTGTATGAAAATCATGAAAAAGATACTTGGTGATATTTTCTAAAGTGTAATGTTTATAATACATGTATGTCTACCGTAAAGCTTGTGAAAAATGCGAAGCAGCATACACACTTAAATGAGTTTGGTTCTTCTTTCAATGGCTAGTGAATTAGACAGTTGTCTAGTGGTAGGCGGGGACATCTGTGGCGGAATGGTTAAGGGGGTACTTGAAGTCTTCCTCATCAATAATGCTGAAAAGTTGCCTGATGACCTTTTTTATGTCATTATATGGATGCGAAGTTAAACCAAACCGAACAAAAGAAAATGGATTTGACCTTTACTAGGGTTATGTCCACACTTTTTAATAAAACTTTGGTAAAACTTAGTCCTGCAAGGGAGTAAAAACTATTTGCATTACAACCAAACATTGATTAATATGTTTAATCATTGTATGAGGAGACTTTACTCTAAAATTAATTTTGTATAGAATTAAATGTTGAAATATTTTACATTAAAAAGATTAATGGAATCTATGTTTTTTTCCTATGTAGGATGAAAGACGCAATAAGAGAGTAGCAGAAGTATTTCAGGAATTTCGACGTAGAACGGCTCGCGCTCATCATACTATGGATGACAAACTTTTGGATGTGATTGATACATATGAGCGACAGTTACAAAATTTGCAGAGAGATTTAGAAATGTACAGGTACTCCTTTTACATGGTGCTTTTTAATAGGCAATACATGCCTTGAACTTGATGAATTACCATAACTTTTATTAAACGAATCTACATCTACATCAGTTTAAATCTTTCAATCACTAGGTAACTAATGTATATACATTTAGGACAAATTAAAATATCATGGTTTGGAGTGGCTTTACTGAGATTAGCGTTATAACGGAGAGCGATATATCGAGGCTACAGTTTATGTGAAAAGTATCGATTATAATATATTACTATATTACAGATCTGGTGGAGATATGGAAAGATCTGAAGGTTCTGGAGATGAGGGTTCATCATTCTATTCTGTATCCAAGGAACAAGACACCACTGGCAACTTTAAAAAACTAGTCAGGGTAAGCTGGCTGATTCATGATGATAAAATTTGGTCAACTTATTACCACTATATCTACAATATCTACCACTGTTAATTCTTCATTGACTGATAATTTATTAAAGGAAATGCTTTAAATCGTTTAAAATTGATTGTTTTCAAAAATCTTTACTGCTCAACCCACACCCCAGTTGAATCCTGCCAGACTTAGGATTCTTTAGGATTCTTTCATGTGATTCTTTCATATCCAGCTAGCTGAAGGAATTTTGGTGGTTCTATTCAGGTGTCTGCTCATGCCTAAAATTATGCACAGAGGAACACCTAAGGTCTTCCTCCTCCAGTAAAGCTAGAAAGTCACCATATGATTAGTTACAATAAACCCAACTTAAACAATAAAAAAATCTTTGAATGTAATGCTGTCTATTGTAAGAGGAATTGATATATGAATTTATTAATTAAGAAGCTCTCAGACTTATTAAATCCCTTGGTCTGCAGGCTCAAACTTTAATTTGTCTTTATGTTTCAGCAGATATTAAAGCACAATAATGAAAGTCACATTTATCCTTTGTTTTCAACTACCAAGTGTCGTGTTTCATGTTATGATATGTTTACAGGCCTATGAGAAGCAAATAAAGGAATTGAATAAACAAGTGAAAAAACTGGAAGAGGAGAAAGAGCTCATTAAACTTGATGTTGGTGCTAGGTAATTTTGTCTTCTTTATTCTAAGATAGAAAGTACACTTTTATGGGGGGAAAGATGAAGAAAGTTGAGATTAAAAATGCCGTAATCAATAATCTGATATCATATCTCAAAGGTGGCTTGCAGGCAGATACTTTGTACTTTGAGTAGGTGGAGTGTACCTGTCTTGAATGCAGCAAATGGGTTAAGGAAAACAAATTGGCTTGAAAACAGTAGATATATAAAGCTCAAAAATACAAAATAAACACAAATTTTAATCAAGCACTGTATAAACATGTGGATAAAATAGGTATTAATTCTTCAGTATTGAGAACTATATTGTACACCTCGTCTTATAAGATCACAAAAGTTAGAAAAAATTCAAATCTTTTCTGAGAGAGTCAAAGTTAAATACAGATGGTTTGAATGTAAATTGAAACCTAGACCTATAGGCAATCTGTCATATAAGAAAGTAGATACAGTATAAACATGTTTATAATTACAAACAGTTCAGAGAATGTTATTTAAAAAAAGAACATCTTTGAATATATGACTTTATTGTATTTTCAGACCTGAGGTAAAAGATTACAGAGTTGCACAGTTACGAATGAAGAAGTTAGAGAAATTACTTGCATTACACAACATCAGGTAATTCAACACAGCACGTTTTCTAATTTCTTTGTAGAAAAGAGGCCTGACAGGGGTGACAAAGTCAATTATTTTCTGTATTGCCCAGGTTGTCCCACAGACTGAAATAGATTTATAAAGTTTTCTCAAATTTATTTTATAAATATCATATAGACAAGTAAAGAATTGATTTCAAGTCAAAATCAGATCTTACCCATGTCATGAAGTGAAATCTTCAACATTGAGGTTGGGCGGGTTTATGAAATGACTTTCATTTACTCGAAAAAGATTATTCTTCAAATGCTATAAATCTTTTGACTCATATGGCTAGAACTTTTGGATAGCAATACGGGCCTTCATGGCTGACCACTGTCTATATATTTGGAATCACCCTCAAAATGGCAGCCAGGTGAGGTGAAAATTGTTATGTGAAACGCATCTATTAAAATGTATCTCCAAAACTACATGTGTATATGATAAAAGATTTAATACTTTTCTGCTTTGTATAGCATACCTGGTGAGAAGTTAAAAACAGACCCCTACAGATTGAAAAGGAAGTTCAGCACCAGACTAGAAGATCTTGATTACATCCCTTTAGATCTATGTCATCAATATCTCAAGGTATAGTTGTCTCCCTTAAAATACAAATAACTTCAATCATTAAATACTTATGAGAACATATAAAACTTATCCTTTTATCTGAAGTGAGGATTTAAACAAATATAGAAATGTTAGATATTACAGATTACTTTGATTTCATGAATGTTCGATCGGAAACAAGTGATTGATGGTGAACATGAGAAATTTACCCTATTAACTGATAAATGTCTGTGAGGTGAACTCTGAAATACGCCCATACTTGAATACATAGAAGGGGCACCTTAGTTGACCATGACTCGTAAAAAAATTTAAGTTTAAAGTGTATCCTCCTGAAAGATATCCTTTCACAAGTCCACTCATAACATTACCTATTAAAACTATGTACTAAAAATGTGCTGTGTAACAATATTAATTAAAATAGTAGAGTTACAGATTTGAAATAATTATTGGTTTATATTATGTATAATAATTTCTTTTGTTTTGGCAGGACATTGGTACTGAGTTAAAGGTGAAAGATTTAGAGACAGTTATCCCTAGAATACAAAGGGTAACAAAAGAATTGGAAGAAGTTCATAAATATGAACAGGTGAGCAAAATTTATATAGGCTATTTTTATGCCCCCGGGCATATAGTAATTGAAGGGCATATAGTAATTGAACCGTCCGTCCATCCGTCTGTCTGTCTGTACATACGAGGTTAACCTAGAACAGCAAGTTCTACCTGTACCAATGGCTTCTAAGTTTACACACTTACTAATTAGTACAAAGTACATGATCTGGGCAAGTTACATAACTCTGGCTTTCATATTTACCAAGTTATTGCCCTTTTCAGCACTTAGAAAATGAATAATGGTTAACCTAAAACGGCAAGTTGGAAATATCTTAAGTTCTATCTATACTAATGGCTTTATAATTTCCACACTTACTTATCAATACAAAGTACATGATATTGCCAAGTTATATAACTGTGTCATCCATATTTCTCAATTATTTCCCTTTTTTCACCTTGAAAAATTTTAATAGGGCCTTGTCTGGTTAACCTATTTCGGCAAGTTGGATTTATCTTAAATTTCTCCTACTTGCTTTATTTCTTTAATGATATCTTTCATATTTAGTAGGTGGATAACTTTGATGGTCCTCTAATTTTTTGTGGAGTAAGCGGTCTCTAGGGTCAAGGTCAAGGTCACTGGTTTAAAAAATAAATATAAACATTTTTGCTCATACAGCCTTTATTTTTTAGTTGATGTCTTAGTTAAATACAAACATGCCAAGGGAAGTCCTCCTTCTTTGGGTGTAGTAAGGGGCCATTTGGGTCAAGGTTAAAGTTACCAATGTCAAAGTCACCAATGTTAAAAATAGATTTTTATGCCCCCACAATGTGGGAGCATATAGCGTTGCACTTGTCCGTCTGTCAGTCCGTCCGTACGTCCAGAAATCTTGTGAACGCAACTCCTCTTAAACCGGATGGCAGATTTTGCTTAAACTTACAGGGATGAACAACCTTAATGTGTAGATGGTAGTAAAGGAAGGAATTTTCGCTGCGACCAAATTTAACAGAATTATGGCCCTTTGTTGATTTTTTTCACTATATACTATGTAGAAATTTTGTGAACGCAACTCCTCTTAAACCGCATGGCAGATTTTGCTTAAACTTACAGGGATGAACAACCTTAATGTGTAGATGGTAGTAAAGGAAGGAATTTTTGCTGCGACCAAATTTAACAGAATTATGGCCCTTTGTTGATTTTTTCACTATATATTATGTAGAAATTTTGTGAACGCAACTCCTCTTAAACCGCATGGCAGATTTTGCTTAAACTTACAGGGATGAACAACCTTAAGGTGAAGATGGTAGTAAAGGAAGGAATTTTCGCTGCGACCAAATTTTACAGAATTATGGCCCTTTGTTGATTTTTTCACTATATACTATGTAGAAATTTTGTGAATGCAACTCCTCTTAAACCGGATGGCAGATTTTGCTTAAACTTCCAAGGATGAACAACCTTTATGTGTAGATGGCAGTAAAGGAAGGAATTTTTGCTGCAACCAAATTTAACAGAATTATGGCCCTTTGTTGTTTTTTTCATTATATACTATGTAGAAATTTTGTGAATGCAACTCCTGTTAAACCGGATGGCAGATTTTGCTTAAACTTTCAGGGATTAACAACCTTAATTTGTAGATGGTAGTAAAGGTAGGAATTTTTGCTGCGACCAAATTTAACAGAATTATGGCCCTTTGTTGATTTTTAGTTTTCAACTTGTGGCACATGTAGTCCAAAAAATATTTGACCTAGAGTCATAAGATTGACAGAACAGTGGCGTGTGGGGGCATCCGTGTCCTATGGACACATTTCTAGTTACAGGTGTATTGACCTTATTCTATAGACAGATGTTAATTATAATTGATAGAAACATAAACTTTGATGGAGTTAGTGGTCAGTTGGGTCAAGGTCACCAGTGCTAAAAATAGATTTTTATACATTTGCTCATACAGCCTTTATTAAGTGACAGATATATTTTATATTTGGTAGGAAGATAACTTGCATAGTATTCATCCTTTTGATTGGGGTAGGGATCAGTGGGTCAAGGTCACTTGTGCTATAAATAGATTTTTACACTTTTGCCCATACAGCTTTTATTTATTGACAGATGTATTTCATATTTGGTAGGAAGATAACTTGCATGGTATTCTTCCTTTGGATGGAGTAAGGGGTCAATTGGGTCAAGGTCACTAGTGCTAAAAATAGATTTTTACACTTTTGCCCATACAGCCTTTATTTATTGACAGATGTATTTCATATTTGGTAGGAAGATAACTTACATGGTATTCTTCTTTTGGATAGAGTTAGGGGTCAGTTTGGGCAAGGTCACCAGTGCTCAAAATAGATTTTTACACTTTTGCCCATACAGCCTTTATTTGATGACAGATGTATTTCATATTTGGTACTAGGAAGATAACTTGCATGAAATGAATATTTTTCAACTTTCAAGTCAGAGCAATGACTTGGCAACTTATATTTTTCACAATTACAAAATGCCATGACTTTGTCAAGCTATATAACTTGTGTTTACAATTTTTTGGCAATTTTTCTGTCCATAACTGAGTGAATGGGTAAACATTTTTTGAAATATTGCTACTGACAAGAATCTGAGCCGGGGGCATTTGTGTTTAACAAACACGTTCTTGTTTCTTTTGTACTTGCTATGCTATGCATTGATGTAAAATTAATTATCAAAGTAAGCATTAAAAGTAATTAATGAAAATAGCTTAAAAATTGTTCTTCAAAACCTTTTTCTAGCTCACCTATTCAAAGAATAGGGAAAGTTCTTGTATTCCTCTAGGCATTGGCGTTTGCGTCACACTTTGGTAAAGTTTTTACATGCAGGTTGGTATCTTCAAAACTAAGGAAAGAATGTGTTGAAACTTTACACACTTATTTGAGAGCATAATAAGAGGTCTCTATCCAAGGCCCTTAACTCTAACGTTGATTTTGAAAGAATTATGGCCCTTTTAGAACTTAGGAAATTCTACATTAATTGCTCTTGTTTTAGTATCGAGCACTTGTGTCCTTTTGACAGCTCTTTTTATGAATGAAAAATAAAGTGGTAGCATCAGTTGTTTAGTCACATAATACTTCTAGTAATATACTGTTACTAGAAAAAACCCAATCATTTCTATATTTAAACATGATCGCCTTTGTTATCTTTTACCAGGAATGCTTGAATATTTTTTCCTCACTAACCAGATAGAAAAATCCATAAATGTTACTAAAAATAGCAGTGTTCTCAATGGAATTAATCACCATCAGGTTGGATTTTCCTATCCTCTAACTCAATGATAGATTCTATTATTCACATATTTGAACTTGTAAATAAAACGTATTTGAAACAGAAGTATGTTAACATGGTATATTTCAGTTCTGTCGTACAGTACAGGAGGTTGTGAATAGCTTAGCAGATAACAAGCGTAAGGAGAAACTAGGTGGCACTAAACGCAGTCACCTGTCCTCGGATACCCTCAACCATCTTGTTACTGTCATAGAAAACTGGAAAGAAGATGAAGAAGGCCTGCAGGCAAGTAAATGATACAGCATTTTAGTGACAAATTTTCAATACTATCGTAGAAAAAAAGTGGAGCAATTTCCATGACCCTCTTACCAGCTTCGGTGTTACCCTATTTGTTAAGGTCCTTTTTCTCAGAAACTAAAAAAGCTGTGACTTCAAACTTGGTATACATTTCAATTGTCATAAAAGGATGCCATTTTAAAAGGTAGTTAATTCAAAAATTATTTTTGGCAAAGTAATGCCCTATTTTGATTTCACTTAACTATCCAGCACTGTGAAAAGTGGAGCATGCTGTCTGCAGACTGGTTTTGTTTTTTTATGTCTATTGAGATGTCATTCTGCAAAAAGAATCATAGGATTTCATTTCTTTTCGATAACATAGTATATTTTGTGTACTGGCAAATTTCCATTAACATAGTGGAGAAACAAATTTCATAGAGGAGAAACAGGTAGAAATAGAGTGTAAACAATTTGAAATTAAATAATTGCATAGGGTGTTGGGGCATCTCCACCTGTTAAGCACATATGACCGCTTTAATGTCTCAGTGTGAATTAAAACCTAAACCAAAAAAAAAGAAGAAATTAAAAAGGTAAATATAAAAAAAGGATTATTATTATTTAACACAGAGGTTATACCAGTCAAAAATGTTTACAACAAATTTATAAAACTGTAAAAAAATCTTGACTTATATAAAAATGACTTCAAAAATATCCACCAGTCTTGTACGCTGTCTGACTGCTTTTTTTTTTAAACAATTGAATTTAATTAGAAAAATCTGATGAGAAATTTGAGTATGTTATTATATCAATTTTTGCATACAGGAGCTACAGATGTCTATAAACAGGCTAGGAGATAGATGCGCCCCCTGGTTGAAGATACGTCTAGTAGGGGAGCCAACTATGTCACAGATTACCTCAGCAGTTGATAAAATTGTATATGATGATGGTGTAGAGGAACAGGTTTGTATTTTTTTTTCACTGTATAGTCAAACCTGTGTAAAAGACCACCTCTGAATAAAGACCACCTTGTAAATAAAGACCAATCTTTAACAAAACTTTATTCATAAAAGTACAACAGAGTAAACTCTGAATAAAATTCTTTGGGCTGTGAAGGTCATTTCTGGTCTCTCATTTGGTTGGCTTTTATTCACAGGAGTTGACTGTATCATATCCACTTTATAGCCATAATATTGATAAGTTTAGCTGGTAACCTGCAAGGATCAACTGATTCCACTCATGCAGCCAGTGCAGACCAATATCAGGGTGCACATCTGTGACTTCCAGTTATAGTCTGAAGTCGTGCTTAGTCTGTATATATTTTGATTTTTTTTTTTAAACTGTTGAATGTTTTTGTCTAGACTGAAAAATGGACAAGTCTATTTAAGATATTTAACTAGGTATGGTTAAATTGTTATATTTAAATTTGTTTTTACAGGATGATCTCTATTAAATATTCTTTTCAGTTTGCCTCATTGTCGTGTTTAAGGGAAACTGTGATTAAATGGATACCTTAAGTGTTTATTCACCCTGATTTTATGCCATCACTTAGGGGTGGGGGCATAAAGATTTGCACTTGTCTGACTGTCGCGCTTTTTGTTCATTGACTGACAAACAATTGGAATGTGGCAGTATCCGTGCTATGTGGACACATTTCGACTTTCTACGTAGATTCTATATGCAATGATAATATCGATAAATAATTTAAAGAAAACATATTGTTTGTCTAACTTCAGTTTTTTTCCAGCCTTGCAAAGACTTCAACATGCATTTCTTGTGCTTACAATGTAGATCTTAATATCATTATTTCATGGAAGTTGGCACTACCAAATAGGTTAGAATTTTTAAAAAATCATTAGCTATTTTGTGTTGAAAAAAAAATTAATAGAACTTTTGTTCTCTTTGCCACTAATCATCTAAATCATATACATTCATTTTTCCAGGCTGGTCAGGAGCACCCCAATAGGTCAGTGTTAGAGAACATTGTCTCGCATTTCCAGACGTTATTTGATGTACCTAACATCTCTGGAGTGTTCCCTAGAATGAACCAGATCTTTACAAAGCTAGGAGAGGTGCATAATGTCCTCAATACACTCAAAAATCTTCTTGGACTAGGTAAACGATTTTTCTATGCTAGCACTTTCTACTAGAAAACTTATGTTTTAATTTTTAAGTCTTCCCACTCTATCAATATGATTGCTTTTGGTCTGTCTGTCTGTCTGTCTGTCTGTTTGTTTGTCAGTGCTCACAGTTTGTCACAAAACTTTTTTGTTCTTGGCCATGACATGAAAGTCCTTCACCTTACTTCCTCCAATGTTTACTCAGTGACCAGGGATCTATGCATAATTTATCCTCTTTAGTTGATTGTGGAACAAAACACAGTGGTGTCTTTAAGAATCAATACAGTACAAACTTTAATGAAACATGAGCCTGACCTCTTTTGCAATTGTGCAACTAAAGCTTTCAGTTAGAATAAATATGACACAATATTATTTATTTGATCACTTCTAGGTAAAGATGTGAAGTCCTCGGCTATTGTAGACAGTGTTGGACGTCTGGTCCAGCAACACAACACAACTACCGTACAACATCTAAAAAACCTACTCCAAACTGAAGACCTTGATGGGTAAGTTGATTCTTAAATTGTTCTGCAATAAAAAGAAGATACTGTTTTCTTACTACAGTAGGGGGTCAATTCTTTGGGATGAGAGGCCCTCACATTTACCACCAGGTCACCTCTCACATTAAATTCTTGAAGTCAATTATGATGTCAATTACCTAATCTACTGAATTTTGTTCAGCACATTTTGGTTATCAGTTTTTAGAATGAATTTACATATATATGAAAATTATGATCGATTCTGTCTCAAGTATTGTAGAATATATCAATTGATGGACATATATGAGCCACGTCATGACAAAACCAACATAATGGGTTTGCGACCAGCATGGATCCAGACCAGCCTGCGCATGCGCGCAGTCTGATCAGGATCCATGCTGTTCGCTATCAGTTTCTCTACTTGTAATAGGGTTTGTAAGCGAACAGCATGGATCCTGATCAGACTGCGCGGTGGGCACAGGCTGGTCTGGATCCATGCTGGTCGCAAACCCATTATGTTGGTTTTGTCATGACGCGTCTCATATTATTATTTATGTATTCTATCTGTTTACAGTGTAATTAGAAGGTTACAGGAGCATCAAGAATTTTTCCCAGCCTTCTATGAAATTATGAATAAATTGATAGAAATTTTAGGTATGTTTCCTTGTATCTTTAAATTGTCTTTATAACTATTCTGTATATATTTGTGTCTGAGAATTTTCACTTAACTTTTATATATTTGATATACAAAAAAATAAGAATAATAGATATTGGTTAGTGATAACTTGATAATCTATTAACAGAAAAATGCTCTTGGTTTAAACATAGTGAAAAAATCCACAATAATTATGACATTATGTTTTTTCTGAATGTCGTTTGTATTAATTTGATAAATAATTTTACAAAAATGATCTGCCAGTTACTTAAATCTAGTAGCTATGTTTGAATTTTTGAATTACTAAAAACACCTCAAAAGCAGGGCCAATATTTTGTTATCAGTAGTCAATTAGTTTGAAGAAATTGACATACAATATTGTCTTAGCTTATTAACTTATTAATGTTTGATGATTGTTGTCACTTATTTTCCAGATGTAAGAAGAATGGACCAAGTTATCCCAGCAGTAAGAGCGCTCAAACTCCTTGCCAATTAAGGACAGTAACTCAGGACATCAGACTTATTATCTCCCTTTAGCTATTATATACAATTTTATCAAAGGGGAGTAACTTTGGATTTTACTATTTATAACCCCTAAGAGAGTTGTCTCCCACACACTGCAGCAACTAAAGGCATTTATATTGTGAAGAGAACATTTTTTTTCATTTTTAAACATTAAAAGTGTTCCTTGTCAGTGATATTTTATATATCCCAGGCCTTATTCTTTACTCTTCCACGCCTAAAATGTAGGCCAGAAAAATTCTATGTTAATGAAATCAATTCTTCATGAATATTAGTTTTGTACTATGACTATTGTATACAAAAAGATCTGAGTATTCTTTTGGCATTTTGGCATAGTTTTATAGTTGTAAAAAGGTTTAAAGTGACATTATGCCCATTCAAGCGAAAATGGTGGGTGAAGGTCAAAGTGAAAATAACTTTTGATTTTAACATAATTATCTTAAATTTTTAAGTCTAGGTCATATGTGTGTAAGAAAGAATCTACATGACTCGCAGAAATTTTTAAAAATATCCCTCGAAATAATTATATCTGTAATTTTCAATTGATAACAAGAGTGGGGAAGACTTTTTACATTTAATGCAGTTGTTAAATTTTATCCTAAACATTTTTCATTAGCAATTATTTGCCAATGACTGTTATAATAGTCAATTCTTTTTAATATATAGCCAACTCAGCTCAACTCTACAACAGAAAAATGTGCATAATGTCACTTAAAGATTACAAAAAATGAGCATAATGTCACTTTAATAATACCATGTCACTTTAAGATTATGAGTCTTAACAAAATATCAAATGTGCTGTGGAAACTTGTCTTTTTTGACATATTTTCTGTGATATTTTTAATGGCAGCAAGTCATTCATTTATGTATGTATATTTATTGTTTTTTCTTCATGTTATATGTATGCTTTTAATTAATAAGTTTTGAATATTTTTTCTTGTTTTAACAGATAAGTTTGTTTTTAGATTACTCTGTGTTAGTAGTAAGATATCTGTATTGTTTTGCAGAGGTGTTTGTGAACATAATTTGATGTAAATGTTTTCATAGATTGATTGTCAAATACAAAGAAATAGTTTAATTTCAACAAAAATACCGCAATAAAAAGGAATAGTTTTAATTCAACAAAAATATTGTTAAAAAAAGAAAGAAATAGTTTTAATTGAACAAAAATACAGTTAACAACAAACAAATATTTTAGTTCAACAAAAAGTACTGTAAAATACAAAGAACTGCTTTGAATACAACAAAAATACTGTAAAATACAAAGAAATAGTTTTTATTCAACAAATATAGTGTAAAATACAAAGAAATAGTTTTTATTCAACAAATATAGTGTAAAATACAAAGAAATAGTTTTAATTAAACAAAAAAAATTGTAAGATGGACTATAGTATTTCTTCTTTTAAATCAAGATATATGGTTCAAATATTATTATCATAAGCTGCCCAAATTTATCAAGAGCCATGCCTCTTAGTGTGCCTCAATTTAATTACAACTGTGGAACCTGGAAATTCTACTAATGTGCTTATTTAATAGATAGAATATAATTATAGAGATGCTAGACAAACATTACTGCCTTATTTATTTTGTAAATAAAAAAAACTCATTATTATTAAAACGATATTTTGCAATAATTTACTTAAAACTGAACAGCTAGATTATTTTGAAAATAGTAGAGTATTTTACAAGAAGATTAATTTTTGTGAATTATTTCTTCCTTTTTATTAAGCAATTTTGCTTAGAATTTTGATATTCGTCCAGTAGGGACAACCTTTATTTGCAATTTGAACAGAGATTTCTTTTTTCTTCTTTTTTTTTTTTTTTGAAGCTTAACCCTTAACCTGCGGGAACCAAAAGTGGTTAGCCTTACCCATTAGTACACAGCCAGGTCATTGTCGAATACCCATGGTTGATTAACATATAATATATAATATAAGTAATGTACATAAATATGTTAATTGATAAATGTTAATGATTCGGTCTTGGTCATCCGACGATGACAAGCCAGGTAAGCTTGCACAACTGTGCAGTCTGGCTGGGCTCTATACTGTGTTGTTAGGTCAATTTTTCTATTTTGATATTGAAACCCCTTATACTGAACTGTTCCAAATTCAAAGCTGGATAAGTCTATTATACAATTTCCGTGGGTTTAGGATTAACTTTTGCAATTATTGTTTTGATCTCCTTGTATTTCTATAGTTTGTTTTGACTTCTTTATAAATTGAGCCGCGTCACGACAAAACCAACATAGTGCCTTTGCGACCAGCATGGATCCAGACCAGCCTGCACCTCCGCACAGTCTGATCAGGATCCATGCTGTTCGCTTACAAACCCTATAACAAGTAGTGAAACTGATAGCGAACAGCATGGATCCTGATCAGACTGCGCGGATGCGCAGGCTGGTCTAGATCCGTGCTGGTCACAAACGCACTATGTTTGTTTTGACTTCTTTATAAATTTTTCTCCTGTTATAAGCCCATAAAGAATGAAGTTTGTATAACTTCAGCAATTTGTAATGCAAAATTAGTTTAAACTATTACAGTTTATGTATGTAAAGTTGATATTATTTTAGTATGTCAGTAAAAAAGTCAAAGGTCATTTCTATTAATAGGTTGATGTAAATTTAAGTCAAGGCATTTTGTATAGAAACAGGTCTTGGACAGTAGTTTAAGACCATAATAAATGTAACTACACTGACAAGCAAAAAAAAGTATGCACAATCAAATTGAAATATATTCTGCATTAACTAGTTGTACAGAAAAAAAATATGATCCCTTTTTTGAGTGCATGCTTTCTTTTACATGTAAATGCAACATATGCAATTTAATTCTAACTAATCACTAAATCATCCAGCCTTGAAATTAGCAGCATTTTTGTATGTTTTTATGATAATAATAAAGATATAAAAAAACTAGTTTGTTTGTTTTAAAACCATAAGCAAATGAGTCGCAGAACTGGCAAAGATTAATATTTCCTGATTAAACTTTTCAGTTACAATTTGATTATATGTGAACCCTAAGTATGCTTCATATCTTAAATGGACTTGTCTGTATTTCAATCTGGACAAAACCATGAATCATATTAAGGGAGAATTTCAAATTAGTAATCACTTCATAATAGGAGTACAGACCTTATTCAGACCGCACTGATGTGCTGGCAGATCTTAGTTTGCATGCACTGGTCACATGTGTAGATTCAGTCATCTCCAGTATATGTTAAAATTGCTTACAATCAAAGTTTAATCTAGGACACGGGTGCCCCCCACTCCACCGATTTGTCAATCTTATGTCTCTAGGTCAAATTTTTTTTTTTGGCTACATGTGCCCAAGTTGAAAACTAAAATCTTTTATTAAGTAAAGGGCAAATACTGAATAAATCCACAAGAAAACCCCAAGGTGCATAAGTACACATGCTGACCAACATTCCTGTAAGGTTTCATGACTATAGGTCAAATACTTTTTTAATGTCTTGCGACACAAGTTGAAAATTGGAAATTTTTATTAATTCAAGGGCAATAACTCTAAAAATACTAAATATATCCACACAAAAATACCCATGTGCACAACTACACATGTTGATCAACATTCCTGTAAGGTTTCATGACTAGGTCAAATATTTTTTGAGTTACATGCGACACAAGATGAAAATTGTAAACTTTTACTAAGTTAAGGCCAATAACTCTAAAAATACTGTCCACAATAAAATACCAAGGTGCACAACTACACATGCTGAGCAACATTCTTGTAAGGTTTCATGACTCTATGTCAAATACATTTTTAGTTATGTGCGACACAAGTTGAAAATTGGAAATTTTTACTAAGTCAAGCACAATAAGTCTAAAAATACTAAAAATATCCACATGAAAACCCAAGTGCACAACTACACATGCTGAGCAACATTCTTGTAAGGTTTCATGACTCTAGGTCAAATACTTTTTCAGTTATGTGCGACACTAGTTGAAAATTGGAATTTTTACAGAGTCAAGGGCAATAACTCTAAAAATACTAAAAATATCCACACAAAATTACCAAGGTGCACAAATACACATGCTGAGCAACATTCTTGTAAGGTTTCAAGACTCTAGGTCAAATACTTTTTAGTTACATGCGATACAAGTTGAAAATTGCAATTTTTTACTAAGTCAAGGGCAATAACTCTAAAAATACTTAATATATCCACATGAAAATACCCAGGTGCACAACTTCACATGCTGATCAACATTCCTGTAAGGTTTCATGACTAGGTAAAATATTTTTTGAGTTACATGTGACACAAGTTGAAAATTGCAAATTTTTACTTATTCAAGGGCAATAACTCTAAAAAAACTACATATATCCACATTAAAATACCAAGGTGTACAACTTCACAGGCTGGTCAACATTCCTGTAAGGTTTCATGACTAGGTCAATCACTTTTTGAGCTACGTGTGACACAAAAAGGAACGGATGGCTGGAAGGACGGACGGACATACTCACAAAATGGTACTTATAAATGCCCCCTATAGTGGAGGCACATAAAGAAAAATCTAGAAAAACACAGTTGAAAATATTTGACACATTTTAAGGTTGTTAATTTAGATCACATGTTCCCCTATGTATTGTTTCATGTTCAAGGCAGGGCACATGTAACATGAACACTGCAGGTTATGGGTTAATGCCAGTGGTTCTATCCAAATTTTTGTTGTTGTTTTTTTCTCTTTCTTTTTTTTTTCTCCACATGTGAAGTATTAGAGTAGCAATATTATCACATCGCTTTAGATTGACGTAAATACCAAATTGGAAAATAGTAATGACAAAGCCATCTTAGCTTCCAAGAACTTTAATAAACACCATTATCAGTTTTAAGGAATAATAGGGGGTAATATGTTTTAAAAAGGATGTATCTAAATTCTGGAACTATATTTTTCAAAATTTTATTCTGATTAATAAACTAACTAATGAGACATTGAACATAACAGAGGTACATTCTGTTAAATGCAAACATTAGATATACAACCTTATGTCTAACAATACAAATAGGAATCTTATTCCGAGACTTTAGATTTGGCACAAAAATAGGTATGTTATTTTATACAACAAAATGTAAACCGATGATAAAACAATGAAATGGTGATAAACAATGTAAATTTTAAAAATTATTCTTAAGCCTGTAAGCTTTCCTACATTTAAGCATTACATATTAGAATATATATTCTATTTATGCAAGAAAAAAAAACATGTCATGAAAAAATATTAGGTATGAAAACTGACAATCTGAACACAATACTGCAATACAGAAAAAATTCAAAATCGAAGATTATTTTCAGTAAAAAATATCACATGTGATAAGAGGTCATGTTTCCATAGAAACAAGGTCACTATATATAGAGGGAGAATAACATTTAAACAAGATATGTTTTTAAAACATGTATGCCCCCTATCGGCAGCCAATAAGTCATGTGACCAGGTTATTATGCATGACTAGTGAACAAAAAATTAATAAGGGTTATCTACTGGTAATGACTAGTCACAAGGTAATAATTATTGTGACTGCAGCAATTTAAGTAATTACAAATTTGTTTTTTTTTTGGTTTATGTCACATTGATACAGTATAGGTCATATAATGACATCAGCTTTACTGGTGGAGGAAGACCTCAGGTGCCCGTGCATTATTTCAGGCACAAACGGGCACCTGAGTAGAACCACGGACGTTCCGTAAGCTAGCTGGATAGCTTCCTCCCATGAAAGAAACCAAAGTCCCTGTCAGGATTCGAACCCACAGTGGTTGTTGAGTCAGTTGTTGAGTCAGAAACTGATTTAAGTACAAGGTCAATATGATACTGACCCCTTGACCCCAAAATCAATAGGGGTCATCTACTGGTCATGACCAATCATTATATAAAGTTTGAAGTTCCTAGTCCTAAGCGTTCTTAGTTATTGTGGGGAAACTGTTTTTACCAACAAGGTCAATGTGACCTTGACCTTTCACCCCTTGAACCCAAAATCAATAGGGGTCAGCTGCTGGTCATGACCAATCATCATACCAAGTTTGAAGTTCCTAGGGCTGAGCGTTCTTTAGTTATTGATCGGAAACCGTTTTTACTTACAAGGTCAATGTGACCTTGACCTTTGACCCCAAAATCAATAGGGGTCAGCTGCTGGTCATGACCAATCATCATACCAAGTTTGAAGTTCCTAGGCCTAAGCGTTCTTAGTTATAGAGCGGAAACCGTTTTTACTTACAAGGTCAATGTGACCTTGACCCCTTGACCCCATAATCAATAGGGATCAGCTGCTGGTCATGACCAATCACCATACCAAGTTATAAGTTCCTAGGCCTAACAGTTCTTAAGTTAGCACTCGGAAACCATTTGGTCTATGGACCGACAGACAGACAAATGCAAAGCAATAATTACCCCCTCTTCTTTGAAGTGGGGGTATAACAAACACAATTAGAATTCAAGACCATACATATGAACAGGTATTAAAAAAAAATCGTTTTTTATGTTACCAAATAAATACAGTAAACCCTTTTTTGTTACTTTATCAAAGTTCTTCTATAACCAAATACAGTTACACCTGTAACTGAATTTATCAATGTAACAAAAGTTAATCTAGAACTGAATACAGTAACACCTGTTATTGAATTTTATTAAAGAAACCAAAGTTAATCTATAACTGAAAACAGTTACTCCTTATCCTGAATTTTATCAATGTTACTAAAGATTTGCTTCAAATAAATACAGTTAAACCTGTTATTGAAATTTATCAAAGTTATCAAAGTTCTTCTAGAAATGAATACAGTAACACATGTTAATGAATTTTATCAAAGTTATCAAGTTCTTCTAACACTGAATACAGTTACACAAATTATTCAATTTCATCACTCAATACATTTAAACCTGTCTATAATGACCAGTGTTGGATAAATTCAAACTGTTGTTCAGAATGGGAATGTCAAAACAGCTAATTTTGTAGCTGTGAGTATAAATGGAGAAAAGAAATCAAATGTTGACCTTAAATGTAAGGTTTTCTATATGTGATCTTTATTCACAGGTGATCTTTTTGCACAGGTTTCACTATGAAATTAAAACAATCTGCTATGAAAATAAATCTAAATCATCATCACCACCTTGCGTATTTTCTTGAATATATTTCATTATATCATCTTCAGTGATATCAACTACAGCACTTGTGTCTTTTTTACTCTCATTTGCATTGGCTGTTGAGTCAGTTATATCATTATCTGATTTAGTGGCAATACTTGGTTTATTTGGCATTCCTGGTTTACTTGGAATTCCTGGTTTATTTGGAATTCCTGGTTTACTTGGAATTCCTGGTTTATTTGGAATTCCTGGTTTACTTGGAACTCCTGGTTTACTTGGGAGTCCTGGTTTATTAGGAAGTCCCGGTTTATTAGGAAGTCCCGGTTTATTTGGAATTCCTGGTTTAGTAGGAGTGTCTGGTTTTGTTGGACTTGCACCAGGTTTAGGTTTCAGTCCTGGTTTGGGGTTTAAATCAGGTTTACTTCCAATATCCGGCTTTTTTCTCAAAGCAGGTTTAGGTCTTACTTTCTCCTTTGCTGTAGTATCAGTCAATAATTCTGTTTCTGCTGTAACACTGTCAAAATCACTAACTATTGTACTGTCATTTTCTTTAGTTTTAATTGGTTCTTCTCCCTTTGGAATGGATGGTTTATCTTCTGTTTCAGGTTTGGATTGTACTGGTTCAGCTTTCTCTTCTTCTTCTTCTTCAGCCTTTGGTTCTGAATCTGTAACATCTAGTTTAGGATCGTCATTAACTTGCTCCACTGATTCACTATCTTCTGGTTTAAGTGACATCTTCATAATTTTGTCTAAATCATCATCAACACTGAAATAGACAAATGCATGCAATGATTTTCTAACCCTTATTGTGAGCATGGACAAGTCCAGTTTTGTATTGGAACAGTTCATTGTAAATATATAAGGTCAAATATCAATTTGCAAAATGCTGGCAAGCCAATATCTCAATCAGCATTCAAAGTTTTAACAAGAGCTGTCAGCAGGACAGCATGCTCAACTATTCTCTTACTTGATTCTCAACTTAATATTTAGTGAAAACAAGAGCCTGGATAATGTAGAATTTCATGTAGAAAAGTTCAAAAAGGGTCATAATTCTGCCAAACCCTTGTTAGAGTAATAAGCCTTGGACAGTAACCTCTTATTGTATTTTAAAATAAGTCTGTGAAGTTTCAACCTATTCCCTTTAATTAACCAACTTACACGCAAAAACTTCACCAAAGAATAGTCATGTTTAAAATGCTGTTACACTGTTTTTGGTTTTTTATTTTACATTCTTGCAGATTAAATAACCAACAAATACCGGTAACTGGGAATTTCAATAAAATCCTACCTGCCAGGTATTAGAATCATTTAACAAGGAGCTTATTAATACAATGTTAAAAATACTTATTCACTTATTCTAATTTAAAACACAAAATACGGACAAGTAAAAAAAACTACCAGTAAATAACATTGGTCTTTTTTAACTTGCTGTATATTTAATATCATTTTACCTGAAAAGGTCATCATTGCTTTCCTCATTATCTTCATCTGGCTGCATGGATGTGACCTTGACCTCTGACCTTGACCCAGTTATAAATAGGTCATCTCCTTCACCATCCTCCAATGCTCCACTTAAGTCTGGCTCATCAAATATCTTTAAATCACCTACATAATAATTATAATTCTTGTCTATTAAAACATTTAAGACAAACTTGTGTGAGTAACCCTTACAATACTGGAACCATAAGTTAACAGTTATTTTTACTTGTGAAAGCCTTAATTTATTCTAAACCCTTACCACCCTAAATATCATAAAAGGTCATGTCCATCTTTCAATCTGGATGAAACCAATCGTCATTTTTAGGGGTAATTTCTGAAAATATGTACTGACTGAATAGGAAACAGTGCAGACCATGATCATTGCACATATCAGTCCTAGCTTCACATCCATGCCATTTGACCTTGGCCTGCACTAGTAGCATGAGTAGAATTGATTGCCATCATCAGACGAAGAGTTAGTAACAATAAAATATCATGTTAATTAATAAACCATAATTAAGAGTGTTTGTGATGAAATAAGACACCTGCTTTGACGGTTTTCGTTTTTATCTAAGGCAACAGATGTGCCAACAAAAACAACTAATTTAGCTAAGATGTAATAGTCAAGGGGGATGTTTTAATCTACATGTTAAAAATACAACCAATTTTAACAGCATTTTAATGAATAATACGGATCGCCATTATCTATAAACTAGAGGATGCTTTTGTAAAAAAGCGCATGTCTCCCCCACTGCTGAGAATAATTGTGAATGGAAACAGGAATGGAAATGGAGATAAGATAATGTAAATACCCGGTAGTCACTTCAATGAAGGCTGTCTATGGATGGTTTCTATTGTTAAGGTTGTATGAGAAGATGCTTCCTAAACTGTTTGTTTTTAACCAGGTATTCAATTTTGAAAATCCTGGTTATTCAATCAGCGTATGGCAGGCGGGCGTCAAACGAAATTGCACTTGATGGTCATATCATATATAGTTTCACAAATGAAATTAAATGAAATTGTGTCTGCTCCATAATTCTTCAAACCTTTAAAGGATTTTGATGATACTTGAAACAAACGTTCATATTGTCAGATTTTTTTACACTATTGAAAGACAACTCAAATTACAATGTATGTATCATCCGGAAAGGAGAAATTAACCAACGGTCGCTGTGACCTTTGACCTACTGACCATTAAAACAATAGGGATCATTTGATTAATAAGACCAATCATCCTATGAAGTTTGAGGGTTGTAGGTCAAAAGGAACTCTAGTTATCATCCGGAAATGAGAAATTGACCAACGGTCACTGTGACCTTGACCTTTGACCTACTGACCCCAAAAACAATAGGGATCATCTGCTCTATAAGACCAATCATCCTATGAAGTTTGAGGGCTGTAGGTCAAAAGGAACTCTAGTTATCATCCGGAAACGAGAAATTGACCAACGGTCACTGTGACCTTGACCTTTGAACTACTGACCCCAAAAACAATAGGGATCATCTGCTCAATAAGACCAATCATTCTATGAAGTTTGAGGTCTGTAGATCTAAAGGAACTCTAGTTATCATCCGGAAACGAGAAATTGACCAACGGTCAGTGTGACCTTGACCTTTGACCTACTGACCCCAAAAACAATAGGGATCATCAGCTCTATAAGACCAATCATCCTATGAAGTTTGAGGGCTGTAGGTCAAAAGGAACTCTAGTTATCATCCGGAAACGAGAAATTGACCAACGGTCACTGTGACCTTGACCTTTGAACTACTGACCCCAAAAACAATAGGGATCATCTGCTCAATAAGACCATTCATCCTATGAAGTTTGAGAGCTGTAGGTCAAAAGGAACTCTAGTTATCGTCCGGAAACGAAGAATGGACGGATGGACTGACCGACTGACAGACGGACGGACTGACGGACGGACAGGGCAAAAACAATATGTCTCCCCCCGAGGTGGGGGAGACATAATAATGTAAACCTTGTGTTTTACCATTTAAATTAGTGTCGGTTGAAATATCCTCAGTACCAAACAAATCATTATCATCATCATCAGCGTTTTTGTCATAATCTTCATCATCAAATAAATTTCTGCAATCATAAATGTAGAAACTTAAATATATAAAAATTTAGATATAGGAATTTGATACCATACATGATCAGATGATATTCTTTTGCTGATATTTCTTTGTTAATATTTTTCACTGATATTTCTTTGCAGGTATCTCTACTTATTTTTACTTGCATTTATAAAAAAAATATTGTACTTTATCTTTACTATTTTTTTTCCCGGCAAACCCTGTTACATTCGGTTATGCTTCCTTTCAAATCGGACACTTTTATCTAAAACAAATTCCCAGACCAAAATAAGGAAAAAGAGGCATAATAATGTGAAAATCCCCGAAATGAAAAAAATTGATGTTAGTTAACAACATTATGCAAAATATGTAATTCTAAACAAGGATGTCAATCAGTCTTCTTCATTTCATGACATGTAGATGTAAGGGGATGCACTTATGCATATTGTTACAATAGGAAATACTACTTTATTACATTAAATCAATTAAGAACTTAATGTTTCAAGTGCTTTAATAGGTTCAAGTATCTGTAATTAAAGTGTTAAACACTTGAAAGTGGTAAATCAACTAATTACACTCAAGAGTGATTTCAATTCTCAGAAGACCTATGATTAATGGATGTATTACTTTTCTTTGTTTTTAGTAATTTTAAGTCCTTTAGTATTTCCCATTAAATGTACTTGTTTTTATAGCAAAATGGTGATGTGACTCCTCTTATTGTTTCAACTTATTTCAATTTTCAAAAGTTCTCAGAGGTAGATCTGTACCAATTTCCAAAAGGTTGAGAAAAAAACAACATATAGCTTATTGTCTATGATGGATTTCCCTCGTTTTGACTTAAAACTACTCCACTGGAACAAAACTTACTTTCTCCACAAGAAATTGTCAACTACCCCACTGAATGACTGCACATCAGGAGTGGTGGAATACTATACTATAACAAGCTCTTTTAAAACAAAATCATGCCAGAAATACATGTATTATAATGTGCTACACCTGTGAATCTACAAGTCCTCCAAGCTTCCCAGACTGAGATAAATGCCACAAACCAGATTTGCTGCTTAATAATGACCTTCACATTAGGTAAACTTACTCATCATCTTCATTGTTATCTTTATTTGATGCATCCCCAGCTTCTGGTTTATCTGTTACTTCATCAGAGTTATCATCTTTGTTGACCTTTGATTCTGAGACCTCCATCTTTCTCAACTTCCCTGCCTTCATGGCACTCACACCTAAAATAAAACTTAATATGTGAGTCTCCATGTCATTTTAAATAATTTTGAAAAAAAAGCGTTGTTTCACTTTTCTGCATTAAAAAAAATCATATAAGAATCTTAAACCTGCTGCAGCTACAGACCACTGGGTTGCGTTTCATGGCAAGTCCTAAGTCTCTTATATGTCTTAAGACCAAAACTGAGACAAATTTCATTTCAAAGAAAATGTCACTACTTATGACTCCTATGTTCAGACTCTTCAATTTTTGAATAACCATGCAGACAAACATTTAGTTATTCACACATTGCGGATTAAAGGGTGATATATTGTATTTTGTAATTTTCCTCAGAAGAATATGAATTAAATAAAAGTCTAAAACTTTTACTGAAGATGAATATTTTTTAAAGAAACAAGCTTAAGTTAGTCTTAACTTTGTCATATGTCCTAAGACTTTGGATATACTTAAGACTTTCTATGAAACACAGTCCAGAATATCTGCTTGAGGGTCACTGTTCTTCAGAGTTTTCACAAAACATTTACCAAGGGCTAGAAATTCCCATCTGTGAATTGACAGCCGGTGTTATATTAACTTTTACTTGCATATTGCATATACATATAAATCATAGTTAAGAAAGAAATCATGAGACCAAAAAATTTCATGCCACATTTTTTTCTAATAGTCATTTAAAACAATTGTGACTAAATGTCTTACATGGGGATGTAAGATTTTTACTAGCATTTAACATGTCAGCATTTAATGGTTTAAAGACTTATTCATGAATCAACTAAAACTCAACAACACACCCTAGATTTTTATAATGGACTTAACTTACTTTGAATTTAGAACAGTCCACTATTAACATATGGGATTCTGAAATTACTTAATCTGACAGCACAGACATGAGTCTAAACTAATAGCATAGGCATTTAAGCTGCAAAAATTCAAAGAAGTAAATAATTTAAAAAATGTATGCTATACACCGAGTGGGAGAAGTTATGTTGCTCACAATGGAACAAAGGTTAAAGGTAAGTATTTTGTTTTAAATATTTCATTTAAAACTCTATCAATAAATATTTACAATTCAGTGACTGATAAGCATTATATTCAAGCAGATTATAACCATGTGACCTGCATGCAAACCGAGATCAGCTGGCATATCCTTGCTGTTTGACCTTGGTCAGTGCACTGTTTGCTTTTCAGTCAGTATATATATTCTTAAACTTTTCCTAAAATGGATGAATGGTTTTGTCAAGATTGAAAGATGTCTTATGAATATTTTTAGTTGATAACAGTTGCGTGACCTCCTGCTTACAAGCTAAACTGACAACTCTCTTCAACACTGGGCCAAAGAATTTATTCCCTGAGGTTGTACTTTTAATTATGAAGGTAAGTTTACACTCAACCATATCACATCCTCTCTTCAGAAAGTCATTATTGATAACACCAAAATGACTTATTTTCAAGTCAGGAACCATTTCCAAAACCATTCGTTTTAAACAAGAAGCCATTTCAGTTTTTCAAACAAACTCCAGGAGTATGCGCTAACCCCCTCTTATGAACATTTTTAGCGTGTAACAGAAAAGATCCTGCTGTGACTGAGATTCGCTGTAGCTGGCACTTAAAGTCTCAACCTGCCATTTACCAGCTTAAGTAACAAACCTCTAGACCATTGAAACACAGAGTTTATTCCCTAAATCACTTGTCAGAGGTAGTACTTACAGTTATGAAGATAAGTGTGAACTCAACTGTAACAGATGGCGAAATATTTACTATGGTAAAGGACTTATGTCATAAGCATGACTCAATATTGTTTTCAGCATTAAAAAGATAAACAAATTACCTAGGAATTCCAAAAGAATTGGATCTGTACAAAGTTTAGGTGTCGAAGCCAAATATCTCAGAAAATGATCCAAATTATTTCTCCGCTCTTTAGCAATACTGTCATTCATCATTAACACTTTCTTCGGAAGCTGAGGAAAAGCAGTCCCACTGTATTTTGTGTTAAATTTACTGTGAATTTCTTCAAAGTCATTAAGCTTTTTCATTACCTAGAAAACAAATGAAATATAAAACTCTTTTTTCAGAAGAAATAATCTGTATTTCCTTTCTTATAATATAAAAAGAAATTAGCAACCGAATTGCCTGAGACCAAATTCCCTTATTCTGCTCAAATGAGATGTAAATTAAAAAAAAAAAAACTTTATTGACGAAACCATTAAGTGCATTAAACAAATTAAAAATCAATTCATCACTTCCAACATTTTCATAAATTTTTGAAATCTGCAAAAACATATCAAACTGGGTTTCTATGGCTGTTGAAGTATTCCTTAAAGACGGGCTTGAATATGATTTCTTAGTAGTTTACTGTAAATACAACATTTCGTAATCACTTGTATTGTTTTACATTTTAAACCTTTAACCTGATGTACACAAAAGTGATCAAACTTTGCCATAAGTATAGAGCCACACCAGCCATCACATCCCTGCAGTCTGATCAGGGTCTATACCATTGGCAGATGGACTTTAACTTTGAATCTCGATATCCCCAATATTAAAGTGCAAAAAATATATCTTGGATAATTTATTAAAAAAACACTTTCAATGGGTTTAAAGGGTTCAATGCAAGGATTGCATTATTTTATACTACATGTATAACTTACTGTAAACTGGACATTATCTGCTTCCTTGTGTTTTGCTGACTTAAAGTATGACAGATTTGATACAACCATCACTTGGTATTCATAGGAAGATCCCAGCATCCCTTTTGTCTCCTTGTATGATGTCACTGATAAATCTATCCCAGTGTCCTTATTCTTCAGTTCTCTACAAAACATAGAAATGTCTTTTGCTTTTAACATGTATCATTTAATATATTTTGAAATTTTTGATACTTAAGATCATCTATATGTGTTTTACAGATATCAATGTATGTTTTGAATATTAACCCATATGCGATCAGTGCAAACCTAGATCAGCCAGCACATCCTGTACTTCAATTATTGTTACATGATCTGATTAATTTGCTACTTAAATATGCTCACAGATTTATACAAATTTAATAAGTAAAACAGTGATTATTGAAAAAATGGATGCTTAATCAGTAGAGGACTTCATAAAGCTAGAGGAGCATTAAGTGAAGGGAGCTTTAAGTTAAAAAAAGCATTATAATAAGGAGCATTAATTAAGTTAAAAGAGCATTTAGTTTGAAAAGTATTAATAATTAGAGCAGCATAAAGCAATAAGTTAGAGGAGCATTAAGTTAGAAGAGTTTTAAATTAAAAGCATTAAGTTAGAAAGACATTAAATTACAGGAGCATTTATAATAATAAGTTAAGAAAGTTAAAGAACCATTAATTCCAGCATACAGACATAAAAATTACACTTGATGCAAGTATTTGATAACTTTGTTCACAACAAACATGCACAGTTAAAGATCATTTAGACAAACCAGGTTTGCAAATTTAAGTCCTTAATTGAAAGACTTCGCATTTTCTTTTTTTCCGGTTTTACATTATGATAAAATGCAGAGTTGATTACTGCTAACATACATGTAGCTTTAAATAGCTCTAAATCTATTTATATCTGAATACTGCCAACCGCACAATATCTATAATCATATGCAGGAAAAATCAATAATTCCAATCGTCCATGCAGACCAATTCAGTGTCTAAAATCAACAGATCAATTAATATCCCAGATACAGTATTAATTTATATATGAGTGTTTTGACTGTCTACACATGCTGTCACAACATACAGCGCCTTTAAGAATATAATGTTTTACCTGACTGTGACAGTGGCACGTGCCATGATTAAAGTTGCTTCTGTTATAACTCTTTTTTTATATGTTGCAAACACGCCCACTCGAAATTCAGTTTCAGTTTAACATGGTTGGTCACATGACAGATCACATGACTTATTTACAGACGCTTTAAAATAAGAATCAAGCCTTTTAGGAAAGAGGCAAACAACGAATCAAAAAGACTTTTACAAAGCATTGTCCAATCAAATCTACCGTTACAACTAGGTTGGCGACTTGTTTACATCATGGCCGCCGATATGTAACTTTAAAGATATCGAAATTTACATATTAAAACAGTTTTAAAAAAATCGGTATTTTCAGGATAAAAAGGTATTGATTAAATAAAATGACTACAATTGCCTTTTCATTATCCTTCTTTAAGGTTGTAGAACATTTGTTTTGTTTTTACCGACATCTTACAAATTGTCAGGGTGTCAAGAATCCGGACGATAATCATCATGATCTGATGATAATGACATGAATAAGTGGTTACCCCTCCACATATTTTTCAAAAATAAAAACCAAAAGCATAAATTATCTCATCAAAGATATAGAGTACATACATTAAATTAGCAATCAATATCGGTGTTAGCTTTTAAATTATATGAAATTATAGGCAATATACTACTCCCCGCGGGTACCGCGTCCTTGCCTATTCCGATGTAATAGGAAATTTGTTTCTTTACACATTGAGTGCCACCAAATACTGTTTCCAACATTATAGTGAAAGTGGAAGTGCTGCTTTTTGTGAATTTGGATAGAAATTGTTAGAAATTTCTTCATTTCAAATAAATTCTGTCATTGATAGGAAAATCCAAAGCTGCCAGTGTGTGCTGAAAAAACTTCTTTATTTTACCCCATATTTAACGGTTAAACTTATTATTTCATATTCCGACACGTGAAGGTGGTCTGCTGAAACTGTAGTGACAGCATATTCTGTTACAAAAAATTATACTGAAGCCAAAAAGGGCCATCAATTAACATACCTATGAATGGGAAAGTCGTTTAAAATGTTAAAATAATTGTTCATTTTGTGTTTTAAAAGTGTTATTCGGTATTTCATGCACCGCTTCCATTTTTGGATCAACACCTCAACAATTATTATTGAGCCGAAAAGTTGTGACAAGGATTTACATTACAAGGATCGGACACTCTCGTTTAGCTTAAAGTTAAAGTCTCGTCGCGCGCATGCGCGGAATCGCACATCGGATAAAGGTGGACAGAATGACAGATGGCGGAACGCGCGGAGTGCGAAATTTGACAGATGTTCACAAGAGTATGTGGTGTTATTGCAGCTTAGATTGTGAAAAATTATACACATATGAATGTATTGATACAGTATTATTTTGTGTCGCTAAAGTATTAATATATGAAAATATGTCGATAGAACGATGCAACGCTTAGTTATAAAAGTACCTAATTTAAAAAATATTCGCCTATTGTTTAGGCATACTCTCTACACTTTGACACCCTTTTACTTCAAGCACAAATTATTACCGCGATTCAGATTAAGATAATTCTTTTTTACATGGTTTAATGGGTGCATTGCAAAAAAAAATGTTTCTTGATTGCTTAAAAACTTTTAAAGAAATTCATGTTTGAAATTTGTCTTTAATATTTCTGTGAATTATTTTCAAATGATTTGTACATTTTTTATTCAATTACCTGTATATTAGTATAAATGTAGTAAATATTCTACTAATTAGTGTATTAAATATGTTTTTCAGATCATTCTAGACAAGCGTTCATAATTATAGATGAATTCATTAGATTGGCAAGGAAGAAACTTTTATTGGCATACAGAACAGCTGTTTTTATAATTTATTTTTTATTTTGAAACAGATTTTTTTCATAGTTATCCATTACAATTCATGTCAAATGATATATTTGTCATATGTTTATTTTCATTATTTTTCAAAGAAAGGGCTAAACAAATTTAGGCCATCCTTAAAAAAATGTTTGTTTGCAGTAACCCGACCCAGAATTTCCAAGGTGGGTCTGAGGTAGGTCAATTGTTTTTGTTTTTTTATTCAACTGTACTCCCAAATAAACATGGAATTTCAAAATGCTGGACAATTATATGCTTTGATAATCTGGTAACAATTAATAAATTGATAACTGAATTCTAATTTAATAAGACCTACATTTTATTTCTTCTATTAACCTTTAAAAGAACGAAAACAAAGCACAAGGCATATTTTCTGATTCAAAAAAAATTTTTTTTTATCCAGACCATGAAAAAAAAATTTGAGTAGGGGCAAATTTTGTGAGTCGGTCGCGTTACTGCAAACAAACATTTTTTTAAGGATGGCCTTAGTTGTATATTTTCTATTTCATTTATAAATGTTAATAAAGAAAATAGATTTACATTGTATTTAATATATAAAGACCGCGCACATACAAAATATACATTGGAATTCTATTTGTTTTTGAAGATTGAGTGTTGCAATTATCACATGTAACCTGGTAATGAAAGTTTGAAAATAAAGTTTTTCAATTATCACTTGTTACCTTGTGATCAACCTCCTTCAAAAGTACAAAACTTCAAAGAAATTTAAGCGATGTGTAAAAAATAATCAAAAGTTACTTTTATTCTCAAACTGTAAAGATTTTTATTGTTTTTCTAGCGTTACATTAAAAAGTATCAGAAATATCTTTCTACGGGCATTCAAATAAAAAGAATAATTAAAGTATACGAGTGACATTAAAAACTGGCAGGAATCGAGACAGCCACACGAGAGTACTTTTAAAACTGTTACGATGATTGTCTACTTCACTGCATCGACTTTTGAAAACTGATTTACAAAAAATAATAATGATATAAATGATGAATGAAATTTAAATATTCTATGAAAATGGCAATATTAAAATCTCGGCAATATTTTGTGATAAAAAAAATGAATAAATTTTCTTCACGTGTTGAGCGAATTGTAAAGCCCGCAATACATTACCCGTAAAACAATTGTGCGTTAATAAATTTGACTGCATAACCCAATAAATCTTTAATATTGCGTCATTGATCATCTGTGAATAACTTACATCGGCTTCTTTTTATACGCCCGTTTGAAAAACGGGACGTATTATGGGAACGCCCCGGGCGGGCGGGCGGCGTCCAATTTTGTCCGGAGCATATCTCCTACATGTATGGAGGGATTTTAATGAAACTTCATAGAAATGCTCACCACTATGAGGAGCAGTGTCGCGCACATGAACCAGGTCTCTAGGTCAAAGGTCAAGGTCACACTTAGAGCTCTTTGAAAAATGCTTGTCCGGAGCAAAACTTCCACATGTATAGAGGGATTTCAATATTACTTGGCACAAATGTTCACCATTGTGAGGTGGAGTGTCGCGCGCAAGATTCAGGTCCTTGTGGCCAAGGTCAAGGTCACACATAGAGGTCAAAGTTCAGATAAAAATATGAAGATGTGTATATGGACCATTTAGTCATCATTTATTGAGGGATTGTAACACAAATGGTCATTATCAAGACTATGGCTGTGATACATATAATTTAGGTCAATATATACAAGGTCAAGGTCACTAAAGATGATGAAATATCCAGATTTTGTCCGGAGCATATCTCCTACACGCATGGAGGGATTTTAATGAAATTTCATAGAAATGTTCACCATTATGAGAAGCCATGTCACGCACATGAACTAGGTCTCTAGGTCAAAGGTCAAGGTCACACTTAGAGCTCATTGAAAAACGCTTGTCCGGAGCAAAACTTCCACATGCATAGAGGGATTTCAATATAACTTGGCACAAATGTTCACCATTGTGAGGCGGAGTGTCGCGCACAAAATTCAGGTCCCTGCAGCCAAGGTCAAGGTCACACATAGAGGTCAAAGTTTAGATAAAAATATGAAGATGTGTATAGGGACGATTTAATCATCATTTATTGAGGGATTGTAACACAAATGGTCATTATCATGACTACGGCTGTGACACATGTACTTTAGGTCAATATATGCAAGGTCAAGGTCACTAAAGATGATGAAATATCCAGATTTTGTCTGGAGCATATCTCCTACATGTATGGAAGAATTTTTTTAATACTTTATGGAAATGTTCACCACCATGATATGTATTGCTCCATGCATGATCCAGGTCTCCAGGTCAAAGGTCAAGGTCACACTTAGAGCTCATTGAAAAACGCTTGTCCGGAGCAAAACTTCTACATTCATAGGGGGATTTCTATATAACTTGGCACAAATGTTCACCATTGTGAGGCTGAGTGTCGCACGCAAAATTCAGATCCCTGCGACCAAAGTCAAGGTTACACATAGAGGTCAAAGTTCAGATAAAAATTTGAAGATGTGTATAGGGACCATTTAGTCATCATTTATTGATGGATTGTAGCACAAATGGTAACTATCATGACTACAGGTGTGACACATTTAATTTAGGTTAATATTTGCAAGGTCAAGGTCACTGGAGATGATTAAATATCCAGATGTTGTTCGGAGCATATTTTCTACATGCATGGAGGAATTTTAATGTTACTTTATAGAATTGTTCACCACCATGAGACGTAGTGCCCTGCACATGAACCAAGTCTCTAGGTCAAAGGTGAAGGTCACAGTTAGAGCTCATAGAAAAACGCTTGTCTGGAGCAAAACTTCTACATGCATAGAGGGATTTCAATATAACTTGGCACAAATGTTCATCATTGTGAGGCTGAGTGCCGTGCATAAAATTCAGGTCCCTGCGACCAAGGTCAAGGTCACACATCCTGTGCATGTCTTCCCTACTGATTTGTTTTAAGGTTCATTTAACAACACAGTGCCAAGAATAAAAACTTGCTTGCTAGATAACACTTATCCATAATGCCCCCATCTCCATCTAAAGCTTTCGTAAACGGGCGTATTTTGTGACTATGGCACCCTTGTTTATTTTGAAATTGAATTTATTATGTTACCATAATAATAAATTTCAAATACCTGCTTTTTTATATAAAAAATGTAAATTTACCGCGAATTTCGTCAAGTTAATTTTTTAATCGTCGTTGCGGACAGATAAACTGTACCTTTAAAAAATAAATTAGATATTTGAATTAAACAAGGATTTTTCTTCAAAATAAATTTTAAATTTCCAAAATCGGATAACAAATGGAAAAGCTATATGGTATTTTGTAAAGTAGGTGTCCGTTGCGAACGGGCATTTACGCATAGCGCCGGTAAATTATCGATCAATGTACCTTTATCAGGTGCACGACAAGATATTTAAGCATTTATATAGGGTTAACTGGGAGTGTCCGATCCCTGTAATATAAATCCGTGGTTGTGATTGCTTCATTTGCCTTTGACTTCCCCGTATTAGTTTTGGCTTCCTTAACTAAATTATGCGTCGCTTTTGGCTAGATTTTAGAATTTGTCTGCAGCTATTTTAACATTTCACCCAGTTTCATTTTTTCAGTATTTATTTTCTCTACAAAATCTTATTCCAATGTTAGGGTTTATATGGGTCAGGGTTATATATAATACATCAAGTGTTATGGGCTAGGGTTAGGATTTTAAAACATAGATTTTGCTGCAGACAGATCCTAAAAGTGCTCCATCACTTTTATTTTGACGCTCATTATGCAAACAACAGGTCTAGCATGTACTATAAAACCTGTTTGCTGAAGTCTCTCTAGCTAAGCCTTTATAAGATACATTCAGTGTATCCCATTTTTATACAGTGACACGAAGGGTACACTTAAGACAAAGCCATAGGGAAAGTCCACCAATAATTACATTCAGTCATCAATCTATCTTTCATTATTGTCAAAAATCTCGCGGGGACGTTGACATGTCAATCGCAGCATGCCATAGAGTAAAACTGAAGCAATTAGCCCTACAAAAGTATATATGATTATAATAATAATCATTAATTCATGTAATATCTATCAACATATTAAAAACTGATTTTAAACATAAAGTACCAAATAATTTCTGATAGGTAAAAACTTAAGCACTTTGCCCTGCATCTTGCTGAAATGATTACATTATTCAGATCTTTACAGTCTTTTGGCTGTGAGAAATTCTTTTCTTCCTAAAGGTAATTTTTTGACTTTCATGTTTTTATGTTTTATATCATTTAAGTCTAAAAAGGTTAAAGAAAAGAAATTTAATTATGTGTATGAAATCATGTCTTAAAAGATGTACCAATATGTACATGTCTGCACTGTGACAGGCTAAAATGTGTGTTACACTGGTATTTTCCTAAACTTAAACACAGCAACAAATAAAATTGTTAAAAAACAGCATAGAAAGTTTTGGAAGCCATTATACCTATACCTAAATGTTGTAGAACACTATGCACTGGATTGTTGGTAAAAAAAAATGGCCTGAGGAAAAGTAAACTTTAGGTATAGTGAAACAAAAAATAAAGAATCAAGTCAATGTAAGGTATAGTTATTACACATACTGACCTGATAACTATTGAACCTTAGATTTAAAGTATAACTAAAACATGGTATTCTGTGAATTTATCTTAGTAGCTAGCCTGTAACTAAGTCAGGATCCCACTTCTTGAATCTAGCTTGTGAAAAGTAAGCAGTCAATTTACCTCATTTTCTAAAAATGAAATTATTGAATTTCAAATGGAACATTTTTTTTATTCCGTCACACTGGGGATAAAGAATTGCCTACATATTAATAATTTTTTTTTATTTTACTTTTAAAAAGTTCTATCAATTGGGTTTGTAAAAGCTAATTTAGACTAGCAGATATTGCCAGCCTCTAGCTCAAAATGCTTGTAGTTAGATATGGCCCTGAAATATTTTATTATGACTTGGCATTTACCACAGTTTACTGCCACTTTAAAAGTGAAGTTTTATGGCAAAGTAAAGGAATGTAAAATAACATCAAAGTCTTAACAACACTCATATATAAATGATAAGAAAACTAGTTATTTGATAAGAATCAGGGAAATAATATTATGATTGACTAAATTAGTAACTTTACAAGTTAAAATCTAAAATAAAACAAAACAAAATAAGTGTCTCCTTTAGATCATCTTATATAGATCACAATATCAAGTGAAAAAAGTTTGAAGACCTGCCAACAAGTTTGTTGCAATTCTTCTTTAAAAAAAAATTAACTGGTCAACATATTTGGTATTTGATCTAGTCAAGACCTTTGCTTCAGTCATTTTGCCAGAAGCTCTGAATACATGTGTCTCATTTCTGACTGTCTTAATATTAATTTGCCAAACCAAAAGTGAAACTTCAACATAACTTTATTTTATTCAGATGGGTAGCAGCTCTGGTAAACCAAAGGTTGAGGATAACCAAACCAGCAACAGTGGGAGACAGGATGACCCAAAGTCTTCTAACCAATCAACAAGTAACAAGCAGCAGGGAGGACCAGTGGAGGACAAATCATCATCAGACAAAAAAGTTACTGCAACAGCAACCAATGAAAAACAAGTCAAAACCTCCACAGATAAAAAGGACACTTTGACCGGAAGCAATACAGAGAAAGTCGATACTGTTGTTGACAAAAGGATTGTTGAAGAAGAAAAACCCAAAGAGACAGAGAAGAAAGTAGAAACAGGTAATTCACAGGGAAAAGAGGAACCAAAAGACAATGCAGCAGATGGTCTTAAGAATGGAAAGGAAGTTGGAAACATAAAGTATGAACCCAAGTCAGAAAATTTGATTGAAGAAGTGTTGATTGATGAAGGTCCAAAGGAACAGTTGAAGTTTGACTGTGCTGTAAAGTCTGCTTGTCTTTTGGTATGTGATGCAAATGTCTACACTATGTCTTTTTTCAAACATTTATTAGCTCCACTATCAATGAATGAGGACAGTTAAATATTGTACTCACCCAGGTGTCAGCATCACACTTTAGTTACATTTTTGTGTGCAAGTTTGTATCTCCAAACCTGCTGAAGGGGATTGGTTGAAACTTTACACATTCATTTGAGAGCATAAAAGGACTGTCACTGTCAAAGGCCTTTAACAAAAACATTAATTTTGACATAATTATGGCCCTTTTTTAACTTCTTTAAATTCTACAACATCCAGGCTTATGTTAGCAGCTGTCCTGTCGACAGCTCTTCTTATTGATATGATTTATTTAGTATAAATTTAACTTACCTTAGTTGTATTTCTTTTTCAGATTTTAGATTTTTGTTAAGTTGCTTTAGCTAAGGCATATTAAAAAAGGTTTTCAATTTTGTATCAATTATGAATATCTTAATCTCTTTGAAAGTAATGCACATTCAGAAAATAAAATGGAGAATAATTTTTTTATCTTTATACCAGGTTAAGCCAGAAAGTGTTTACAAGTGTATCACAAAGAATGTGACAAAGTTACAGTTAATGAGAGCTCTACCTCAGCATTTCTCTCTACCAGACATGCTTAGCAAACTGGATAATCTGAAGGTAAGTAATACTATTGGAGCACTGCTCGACTGAATTTAATAGGGCATGGTTTGCAATACAAATTCTGCCCACTTCTTGTAATGCTTAAGCCATTAAAACAAATTAAAAAGAGGACATTTATTAGGCTTCCTGAAATACAGTTGAAGTCATTTATAAGAACAAATCTTTGGAAACAAAAAAGTAACATGTTGACAAGACAGTCACCTTAGTGCAATAAGTGATTAAATGCTATTAAATTTAGAAGCACTTATTGCGTTATTGCGTTAGTGTCAATAATTTAGTGGTGATACAAGAAGCAATGGTATAAAAAAAGTACTTTTGTCATACAACATTGATTTTACATGAAATTGACGAAGGTCATCCAAAAATGAATGAGAGTTAGTATGTAACTTTTGATTGAAAAAAACATAAAGCCATAAAACTTGACACATAACTAAATTAACTCTCTGCACGTAAGAGCACTTGATGGGAAGCATCACAACATTATGTCAGTTTTGATGATATCATCTCAAACAAGGGGCGTCCAAGGCCGAGTGGTTAAGGTCGTTGACTTCAAACCACTTGCCCCTCACCGCTGTGGGTTCGCATCCCAACAGGGACTTTGGATTCTTTCATGTGAGGGAGCTATCCAGCTAGCTTACGGAACGTCGGTGGTTCTACTCAGGTGCCCGTTCGTGCCTGAAATAATGCACGGAAGGGCACCTGAGGTCTTCCTTCATCAGTAAAGCTGGAACGTCGCGATATGACCTATACTGTGTCGATGTGACGTAAAACCCAAAACAAACAAAAACATCTCAAACAGTGTAATGGCGGACAATGCTGACAGTGCTGACGTGTGAAGAAATTTATGCATATATAAAGGTAGAGAGTAGGCGGAGAAATTATTTTATTGACAACAGTCATCAGTTAAAGTCATCAGAATGATTTCCTCATGTATTATTTAATGCAGTTTAAGATCATTATATGATATTCTATTGCAGGATTTGGATCTTTCATACAACAACATGGGACCTCAGTGTTTCAGGTCTGTTTGTCTGGCGATGTGCCGAAACTCTACGATATTAAGTTTAAATCTTGCTGATAATAAAGCAGACACAGATTCAGCTGTAAGTTGAAGTTTATATATTAATGACAGTCTTAACCAACTGTTAAAGTGTTGTAATGTTAAGTCTTTTTAAGTTCTGAATGTCAGTGGTGAAAAAATTCAGTGGGGTTTTTTATCTTCCATTCCATTCTTTACAATAATTATACAGTATTGTATAATTGAACCTGCATAACTGGTTATCATTAGTATTTATACTTGTAAATTATTAAAGAAATGTAGACTTGCCAATGTAAAGAAAAGCTGGACTTTAATACAATGTATGTAATTCACCTTAAGCTAAATGTGATTAAAACTTTAAGCTTGCTTGAACCATTCTGTAGTACACCTCCTAGAAATGAGTGTACTAATGTCATACCAGGAAATATGGTTGTGACCCCAGTAAGGCTTATACTTCTATGTTGAGAGACCAACAGCATAACCACTTGACCACCACGATTATAAGGCACCTTTGATTGTTATGATTTTATGATAATTTACTGATAAATTTTTATTTTGATACATTTACTTTTTGCTACTGATTTATTACATGCTTATGGCTGTAATAATACTAATCATGTGCTATAACTGTCATGGTAACTAATTATCTGTTTTAATATTGTTTTAACAACATACATGTACTTCAGGACTGTATAGGCAAGATGTTGGAGGAAAACAGCACTTTACAATACTTAGATGTATCCAGCAACTATCTCGGAAAAGATTACTTCTCTCGTAAAGTAGGACCTACTTTAAAAACAAATACTGCACTGAAAACTTTAAGGTAATTTGAGCCAAATCACGACAAAACCAACATAGTGGGTTTGTGACCATCATGGATCCAGACCAGCCTGCGCATCCGCGTAGTCTGATCAGGATCAATGCTGTTCGCTTACCAACTCTTTTACAAATAGAGAAATTGATAGCGAACAGCATGGATCCTGATCAGACTGCGCGGATGTGCAGGCTGGTCTGGATCCATGCTGGTAGCAAACCCATTATGTTGGTTTTGTCGTGACGCGGCTCAAATTTTTGCGGATGATATTATGGTAAAGCTTGTTTTGATTTTGATTTACCTGTTAATGTTTTTGGTAAATATCAATATAGGGTATAGAAGTAACGTTTAGATGGAGGATTTATCAAGTATCTATTAGTCTAAATTAGACTTGTCAAAGAGACATTAAGATAACTTTGGACTGTGATGTCTTTTTTCCTATTGTTTGACAGTAGGAAAAAACAGTCCGTAGAATGGCTCAAACCATTTACTCTGAATTATATAGGCTGTTTCAGTATGTACTCTTTAAGCCCATTACCTGCTGAATTTCTCAAATGGACTTGTCCAGTTTTCATTTTTGGAACTATCCATTATCAATTTTGGGGGTATCAAGATGAAAAATTTGAAGCAGGTCAGTCAACAGTATAGAGCCTAGTCAGACTGCAGGGATGTGTAGGATAGCCTGGTTTTTATATTGATGGCAAAGGCCAATCACTTTTGGTTCCAACAGTTGATAGGAGAATATATATAAAAAAAAAAACATATATAGTAAAAGTGCATTTTTTTCAGTCTTTGTAATGTTTAAAGCACATTCCTTTGAAAAATAAAACTGTAAAACATGTTCGTTCATTGTCATATTTAATATTATATATTTGATTTCATATACATGCATACAAATCTAGGTGTGATAGCATTGGATCGACTGATGTCCGGCTCCTAATTGATGGTTTACAGTCTAATACAAGTCTTACAGAGTTAGACATGAGTAATAATGACATATCTGACAAAGTTGGCTTTGGTAAAGGTCTGGGAGAATGTCTTAAGGTAAGTACAGGGTCCCTATTATAACATTGCTTTTATCCCCCATTCACCATAGTGCCGGGCTTTGAACTTTGTACTGCTAATGGCTGTTATGGATTTCCATATGAAAGTGTTAAAATTAATCAGAGATTCAGACTATGGTACAAAACACATGATCTGTTACTTTCTCTTTAAAGAACACATGATCTGTTACTTTCCCCTTACAGAACATATGATTTGTTACTTTCCCTTTACAAAACACATGATCTGTTACTTTCCCTTTACAGAACACATGATCTGTTACTTTCCCTTTACAGAACATATGATTTGTTATTTTTCCCATTACAAAACACATGATCTGTTACTTTCCCTTTACAGAACACATGATCTGTTACTTTTCCTTTACAGAACATATGATTTGTCACTTTCCCATTACAAAACACATGATCTGTTACTTTCCCTTTACAGAACATATGATTTGTTACTTTCCCTTTACAAAACACATGATCTGTTACTTTCCCTTTACAGAACACATGATCTGTTACTTTCACTCTACAGAACAAATGATCTGTTAAGTTCCCTTTACAAAACACATGATCTGTTACTTTCCCTTTACAGAACACATGATCTGTTACTTTCACTCTACAGAACATATGATCTGTTACTTTTTCTTTACAAGACATATGATCTGTTACTTTCCCTTTACAGAACACATGTTCTGTTACTTTCTCTTTACAGAACATATGATTTGTTACTTTCCCTTTATAAAACACATGATCTGTTACTTCCCCTTTACAGAACACATGATCTGTTACTTTCCCTTTACAGAACATATGATTTGTTACTTTCCCTTTACAAAACACATGATCTGTTTCTTTCCCTTTACAGAACATATGATTTGTTACTTTCCCTTTACAGAACACATGATCTGTCACTTTCCCTTTACAGAACACATGATCTGTTTCTTTCCCTTTACAGAACATATGATTTGTTACTTTCCCTTTACAGAACACATGATCTGTTTCTTTCCCTTTACAGAACATATGATTTGTTACTTTCCCTTTACAAAACACATGATCTGTTACTTTCCCTTTACAAACACATGGTCTGTTTCTTTCCCTTTACAGAACATATGATTTGTTATTTTTCCCTTTACAGAACACATGATCTGTTACTTTCCCTTTACAGAACACATGATCTGTTTCTTTCCCTTTACAGAACACATGATCTGTTACTTCCCCTTTACAGAACACATGATCTGTTACTTTCCCTTTACAGAACATATGACCTGTTACTTTCCCTTTACAAAACACATGATCTGTTACTTTCCCTTTACAGAACACATGATCTGTTACTTTCCCTTTACAGAACACATGATCTGTTACTTTCCCTTTACAAAACACATGATCTGTTACTTTCCCTTTACAGAACACATGATCTGTTACTTTCCCTTTACAGAACACATGATCTGTTACTTTCCCTGTACAGAACACATGATCTTTTACTTTTCCTTTACAGAACATATGATGTGTTACTTTCCCTTTAAAAAACACATGATCTGTTACTTTCCCTTTACAGAACACTGATCTGTTACATATAACGTCTCATTGTGTCTTGTAATTTCTAGAGATCTGACTGTGTTCTAACGACTATTTCACTGAGTCGGTGCAGCCTTAATGCAGCAGCCATCACTGAGATAGAGAAAGGGCTGCAGGAAAACAAATCTTTGTGTGAGCTTAATCTAACAGGAGCTGAGGTAATTACATTTTTTATTTGAGAGAAAGTTCAAAGAAAGTATACTAAACATGTGGAATGAATGTATACCCAATTGTGAGAGCTTAACCTAACAGGAGGTCAGGTTGAAATCTTCACAGATAAGATTTAGTTGAATAGGATGTGAGTCTTAAAACAGATTAGGCTTATTTGGTCAGGAATTGAGGATAATTCCCATATAGATAAGACTTTGTGTTACATTGTTGAATGTTTGGCATATATCCTCCAAGTTAGAGCTTAGTTGGCGAGGATGTCAGATAAATATCCAAGCAATTACACCATTGTTTACTAAGATGTGAGGCATTTGTATTTGACCAAAAACGAAAATTTTGTTGAAATGCATAGCATGTGTAAGCATATATTTATATTCACGATTTAGTCCTATGTTTTGGACTATTTTCAATTCACCAAAAAATCCAAAAAATGTCAAAACATAAGTAAAATAGTGCATGAATGAAAATTAAGGTAACATTTTTAGTGAATTGAGTGATTAAACATCTTCATGATACTTTCCATTATTTCAAGACTAAGCCCAACAACTATCCATGGCACGCCAAAACTGCTAAGTAAAAAACAACTCAATGTCAGATTTTCCTTTTTCTTGTTATTCCAAAATCAAAAATATAAATTTGTGTTTAATAATAAGTGGTAATATCAATATCAAATAAATGATGCATCCTCATTCACTAATAGAAATATAAACATGATTGGCAATAATTGGCCGCAATTAGGTAATTGACTTCCTTTGATCATCAATTATACAAGATAATTGTCATAAGGAAGTGAATAATCAAGGACAGAAAAACCCAGGCTGCCAGGGACCAGATGGTGTATAAGTGAAATGCATGTCATTAAAAATATTTGCCTATGAATTTAGGTTTCCAAATCTCCGCTCTATATATTAGAGCTCCTTTATTATTTTATTTCCATATCTCCGCTCTATCAATTAGAGCTCCTTAAAAAATTAAGTTTCCATGTCTCCGCTCTATTTATTAGAGCTCATGTATCCTTTTAATCCTATTTTCCAGTCTCCAGCTGGGTCTACCTGTTCCGAGCGGACCCAACATTTTTAAGTTTAGGCAGAAATAAGGCAGCCTCCCCCCAGAATTGGTCATCACCCAATAATACAATGTATTTTAAGTGCCATATTAAGGGGAGAAGCTCACCAATAACTGATTATAAGTTATGTTATGAAGTTTTAGCAAGTATATGTACAAATGTAGAGCCAGTTTTAGACACCATCCAATCCCCAGCAGCCCAGAATTTTCCACCTTGATAGAAAAACATTGCGACGCCTAAATATGAAGCTGTTTAAAAACACAGTGCTATCGGACTGGGCTGGAAAAATTGTAATTGATTGTCTCAGGGTTGTAATGTTACTTTAATTCTCTGATGGACTGTTCATTCTCACTCAGGTGTCATTCCCTATTGTTTATTTATTTTTATTCTGATTTCAACTGTGAAGGATGTTTGCACTAACAAAGTTACACATGATGATAAACTATGACATCTCTTGCTCAGATTCCAAAGTGTTTCAATCAAGCTGTTCTTTTCACTTCATCACGGCAGTAAACTGTCATGTCCATATATTGAAACATCTCATCAGTCTTTAAGCATTTCGCCAGCCCATTTGTGATAGCAAACTTCATCATTCTGAAAATGAAAACTAGACCAGCAGAAGAAAGAACAAACTTTCAAAAGAAAAATTGATATACACAAAGGGGCATAACAGTTAAGTACATGACAATATTTTTGTGGGTGTGGCGGGTGGGCGACTTTTTGTTTTAAAATAATTCAGAGTTGAAGCTGCTGCTAAGCATGGAATTGAGAAGGGGAGATAATCATAAATCTACTTCCTGTCAAAGATTACAAGAAAGACAACTGTGTTTCAATTCCCCAATATAGAAATACCTGATTATCCCCCTTTCCATTGGAACTTTGCTGAAATAAACAAGGCATTATTGCAAATATGCAATAAGCCCAATTATTTCAAGACTAAGCCCAACAACTATCCATGGCACGCCAAAACTGCTAAGTAAAAAACAACTCAATGTCAGATTTTCCTTTTTCTTGTTATTCCAAAATCAAAAATATAAATTTGTGTTTAATAATAAGTGGTAATATCAATATCAAATAAATGATGCATCCTCATTCACTAATAGAAATATAAACATGATTGGCAATAATTGGCCGCAATTAGGTAATTGACTTCCTTTGATCATCAATTATACAAGATAATTGTCATAAGGAAGTGAATAATCAAGGACAGAAAAACCCAGGCTGCCAGGGGACCAGATGGTGTATAAGTGAAATGCATGTCATTAAAAATATTTGCCTATGAATTTAGGTTTCCAAATCTCCGCTCTTATATATATTAGAGCTCCTTTATTATTTTTATTTCCATATCTCCGCTCTATCAATTAGAGCTCCTTAAAAATTAACTTTCCATGTCTCCGCTCTATTTATTAGAGCTCATGTATCCTTTTAATCCTATTTTCCAGTCTCCAGCTGGGTCTTACCTGTTCCGAGCGACCCAACATTTTTAAGTTTAGGCAGAAATAAGGCAGCCTCCCCCCAGAATTGGTCATCACCCAATAATACAATGTATTTTAAGTGCCATATTAAGGGGAGAAGCTCACCAATAACTGATTATAAGTTATGTTATGAAGTTTTAGCAAGTATTATGTACAAATGTAGAGCCAGTTTTAGACACCATCCAATCCCCAGCAGCCCAGAATTTTCCGCCACAACAAATTTGTTAAAAATTTGTCCCCCAAATTCTGAATAGACGAGCATATCTGCACTTAATAAAAAAAATTTTAATGTTCAATATATTTTAAGTTCGTATCCCCTAAGAATTTTTCTATTTGCTTCACCTATAGCCAAAAATATACATTTCTTTCCCTACAGTGGACAGGTGAACGTTGTCTGAATGGAAAAACCCTGGTGTTGCCATATCGATAGATTTCATGTTCAAAACACGTCCTTTTGGGTGCTGCAATGTAAACTTTGATAATGCCCTGTTAATGTTATTTCTTTTTTTGTTCATGGCTGCATTATCTTGAGACCGCCAAGACAAACGAGGTAAAATAAAAGTCCAGACAATAAAAAGGAATTTTGAAAAATTTGATAAATTAGAAAATTGTAATCTCTGCTTTAAGAAGTCGCACATTTTTGCACTGATTTGTGGGTTGCATATATTGTTTCCTCCAATGTTGATAAATATCAATTTAGGGGGTCTTGCCTTGATCATTCCATATTTGAATTTTTTTGATGCAGGCCCTCAAACCCCAAAAGGCCACTTGTTACCAACAACCAGTCTATGCGTCAAGTTGTGGGAAGCTTCTTCTATCATGCCTTCAATAAAACTGTTCACTGGTCCACCTTACAATTACTAGAGTCACCCACAATCCATATGTCTGCAAGTAATTCAAAATATCGTGTTTGAAAAATTTTTACAATCTTATATATTCTAGAGAAAGGCCTTTGATGACCCCACCGACCCAGTAATTTTATTTTTCTCATCAGAGTAACCCTGTACAGCTAAAATCTGTTGCACGACCTATGCGAAAACTATGGGTTTTAAACACAGAAATGTCTAACCCCAGCATGTTGACATGCTTTGGACAGAACCGCAGAAAACTGATACCTTGTAAGTGGGGATGCATTTTCGTGACAGAAAAACTGAACAGCTCTGGAAGGCATAACTTCCATAAAACGACGTAGTGAATCAATGCATTGCCTTGTGTCGGCACTATATGGAAGTCTTATGACCACAGGTCTCCCTGTTTGCCTAGTCTTAGTAACACGCAAGCGGATGGAAACAGCATTAGAACTTTCTAATGAAATGTCTGACCTGCTTAAGGCCCTTTGACTACCCATATGCTGACACACAACAACCTCGCTAACTCTCAATAAACAGAAATATGACAATGAGAAAAACAGCCGTGAACAGTAAAACCTCGAATTGCGAGGAGCAAACACTGTGAAGTGCCAAACAAATTTTGTCTAGCAATTTGCTAGTAATGGGAGCTCTATAATCCCTTGATTGCCTAAGGCGATTACACCCCTCAAGCATTTTTTTTGATAACAAAGTTTTGTGAAGGATCTATTAGACCATTAATCTTGTGAAGAAAAACTCACACCTGAAATATATAACCTAATTGTTGAGGGGAGTAACTCCTTTCGAAACAATACGAGATATAGAGAACCAAATGCTTGATTGGTACCGGCCATTATTTTAGGTAAATCGTAGTTAGATCTAAAATGACAAAAACTGTTCAAAGCTGTTTTGTAAGACAGTCTTGTATTTACTGAAAGACTACTTTGAATTAAACTAATAGCTCTTTTGTGAAGATCTGCCATAGTTGGCATGGAAACTTGCATGGGTCTGGATCTGCCTCTGGAGCAAGTTTTTGCGAAATCGTTCTTCATCTGCAAAACGAGATAAACATATCAGTGATTGAATTATGAATACCCCTCAACATGCTCTGCTTTTACCACAATGTTGAGCTGCAAACATTTTTTAAAGTTAAATTACGTAACAATACCCATCACCATGGTTGACCTTGATGTCATTTTTATTTTATGTGGATCATACAGACATATTGTCTGTTCTAAAATTTATCTTTTTTTTTTTAAAGTCTCACCCCAAAATAAAAATTGCCGCCACAATCGGGAAAAGTTTCTAGTACTGTAATGTCTGCCGTGTACCCTTGTGAGTGCCAGAAGTCTGGCCATTTTTCAAAGTGGCCCATTGACCCCCAAAATAGATGCCAAAAAACCTAAAAACCCTGGCCACCAGCAACTTATTCAGTAAAGAGTTGTACATCTTCATTGGTAGACCAAAATCTATCTTGAAATACTTTAACACCATTAAACCCCTGGAAAAATGTTTTCCACATTAACATGTCTAACCTCATTTTTCCTTTATTTATTCTAAGATGATTTATGTTTGGGGTTTTTTATTTAAACCACAGATTTAGTTTAACCAAACCTTTCAAAACAAAAGACGCCCCGGGGGAAAATAGCTCACATGGCCCAAAATTTTGACTGCCTATCAACTTGCATTTTTTTAGATGCACTTTTCTTTTATCAAAAAAAGAATTTAAAGGAATTTTCCCAAATATTATCATTTATTTTTTAAAACAGGCAATCGAAAAAAACCTTAAATTTTTGGGGGGTTTAAGTTCCCAGTCCTAAGAAAAATAAAATTTTTTGGGACCCTTTTTGTTTTCTTCCCCCGCAAGTGGTACATTTAAAATTTCCTCATGGATTCAATGAAATTTTCCATTAATGATTTGGTTCATTTGTTTTCCCATCTAAAACCCCACCCAAAAGTCTCACAGATAGTGTAAAATTTTTTTGATTTTTTTTCCCTTTTTTAACTACAAACTCTAGAAAAAACCCGGGAAAACTTTTTTAAAACATTAAAAACTTATAAGCCCCCCAAATGGGAAGACATTTTTTAAAAAAATACCATCCCCAAAATTTAAAACCCCGCTGATCAAAGTCTGCTTTGGGAATGCATTTTAAAAGAAAAAGCACTTTGATTCCCGGTTTTAAAAAGGTTTTTTCCCAAATTTGGGGCCTAAATTTTTAACCAGTTAACAGCTCAAAGCCTTTTTTATTTTCTGAAAAGAAACATTTTTTTGGAATTTTTAATAAAGTCCCTTTTAAGGGGCTTTTACCTCAGGGTATGATTTAAAAAGAAAGAAAAAACCACAAACCCTCCATTGAAATTTTTTGGGAGAAATTGGGTTTTTTGGGAGAGACCCAAATCGGAGATTAACTTAAAGTTTTAAAATAGGCTGGTACTTTAAAAAGGGCCTTCAAATGGTTTAAGGGGTTTTTTCTTTAAACAATTTTTTTCCCCGTACCAAAATTTCCCGGGAAAAATTTTTTCTGCCCGACCTTAAATTTTTTTGAATCCCCTAGCCCTTTTTTTGACCTTCATTTTCCAGTGAAAAAACCCTAAAGGGAATTTCCCTTTTTTTTTTTAAAGAAAAACTTTGGCCCCATTTTTTGTATCCAACTAATTTCCTTTCAAGCTGAAAATTTTTATTTGGGGGGGCCCAAATTTTAAAAATAGAAGGGGTATTAGTACGTTTTTACCTCTTTAATAAACCCTTGATGGGGTTTTCCCGTTTGACTGTGGTTTGGGCCTCGGGAAAAGAAACCACGAAAGGAGGGGTTTTAAGCTATTGGAAAATTTTTTGGTTCCCTTGTTTGCCTTACATTTTCCCAAAGACCCTCTGTTGAGTAAAGCATATAGAAAGAATGTGGGGGTATCGACAAATTTACCCCCTTTACAAATAGCCCCTTATTGAAGTCAATACATGGGGGCTTGGATTGATTTTGCTTTTGCTGGCATATTATCCGAGTGCTTTTATGTGTTCTAGCAGCGCCTGAAAAACACCGCAGCCAAAGGTCAGAATTTATTGATGACCAAAGGCATAAATTCTGTTGCCTGTCTTAGTCTCTGAATTGCTCGTCATATGTACGCCAAAAGGTACCACCAAAATTGCTTGCAGCCTCCCTAATGACATACATATAATGCAAAATGTCCTGGGTATGTTCTTGATGAGCACTTAGATTAGATGCTACTAAACACTAAAAGGCATCAGACCATTTTTCTATGGAACTGATCTTATCTGTTTTGTACCCTTGGCCTGTGTAACAAGATTCAAGGAATTATCCAAGCCTAAAGTTACACCAGCATCAAACATATCTAATTCAACTGGGCCTTTAATCAAACTGGAAAAATTAACATATTCATTTTGCTTTATTTTGTTTTTAAGGATTCAGGTACATGGGAGCCCAGTTTGTCCCGCCACACCTAATCTTTCTAGGCTTATCATCAAAAACTTCATTTATTGTTCCTTCATTTTCATGATACTCCCCTGTGTTTAGATTGTCATTTTCATTTGATAGAGGTAACATTAAGGACTTTGAAATAATTTCCTCAAAGTCAATAACCTTACCCTGTTGTGGAGCCTGCTCCTCAAGAATGTTCACTCTTTCCCCATCTCCTCTATCCTGAAGTGCCTCAGAGGCCTTCCTCTTCCTCCCTGCTCCCTTTCCTCTTCCAGGCATTTTTGGAATTTCTTAGATTTATTTCGATTTTTTGTTTTAAAACAATTCAGAGTGGAAGCTGCTGCTAAGCATGGAATTGAGAAGGGCAGATAATCATAAATCTACTTCCTGTCATAGATTACAAGAAAGACAACTGTGTTTCAATTCCCCAATATAGAAATACCTGATTATCCCCCTTTCCATTGGAACTTTGCTGAAATAAACAAGGCATTATTGCAAATATGCAATAAGCCCAATTATTATCTGTGTTGATCTAAGTTAAAAAATTAGAAAATAATTATTTAATGTATTTACAGTTAGACAGTTTGGGTCAGCTGGTCAGCCTGATAGTGACTGCAGCCAAACATCCGTGTATGAGAAATCTCAGTCTAGATAGTGTGACATCCAAATCTACAAACATAAATGCAGGTATTATTTTGACTTATGCATCATTTCTTAATATTGATTCTTTTTTATGTAGAACAGTGTTGCTGCAAAAGTATGGACCAATAGGTGTGCAAATTGTTTTTTTTCTTTTTTCTGCAGTAACTTGATAAACTAGCAATTGAAGCTGATGCTAACATTTTTATTGCCAATTTTTTTATACTTCAGGATATTTTTAACCAGGTTATCAAATGGAAAACTCAGGTTTTAAAAAGTATGAATGTCATTGAGCAGCTTGGCATGAATTTTTCTTCGGTGAGACACTTGCCACATATTCAAAAAATTTTAATCACATTTTCACAGAAACTTTGTTATCATGTGCCCTGTTGGGATTTTCTTTATCATATTAGCAGAATTATGATATTGGCAAAAAACCTGTTTAAATTTTTTAGCTTGACTATTTGAAAAGAAAAATAGGGCGAGCTATTGTATTCAGCAAGGCATTGGTGTCACACTTCATTTCTGTTTTTGCTTACAAGTAAGTACTTCCAAAAGGGAATGGGTTGAAATTTCACTCACTTACTTTAGAGTGTAATCCAAGGCTCATAACTCTAACATAAATTTTGACAGAGTTATAGCCAGTTTTGAACTTAGTAAATTCTAAATTTTCCAAGCTTATAGCCATTTTCATGTTTTTATGCTGATTTTTGCTTGTATTCAATTTTTTAGTTTCCTCCGTTTCAGAATATCCACAGTGTGAAACAACATCATCTCTACAAGTATTAAGTTTGAACACTTGCGGTCTTGTTGATGGTGTATTTACCTCCATTGAGAAGAGCTGTCAAGGGAAGTTACTCTGTCTAGTAGAGATTGACCTGACCAGTAATGAGAATCTCTCATTACAGAGTTTAGATAGTCTTGCTAAGATTACAACTGGTATGTGCTCCTGCTTTGTTTTTCTGCTGATTTGTCACATTTCAGAGTACAAATGTACAAAAATTTACATATGCTATGCATCAGTGTTGATGTTAAAGCATTTTTCAAGATTCATTAAGATAATTCAAACTTTATTTGTACTCAATTGTTGGGTCAAAATTTTTGTAACTGTTCTTTTCATAGAAACCTACAAAGAAACTTAACAATACTTGTTCACTCTAAAAATAAGTGATTTGGAAAGGAAAGGTAATTCTTCTGATTGGTGTTCCTCTGAGGTGAAAATCCTAAAAATATATACATGTACGGTAATTTGAATTTCTTGCATAGATCACTTAAAAATGGGAAATCTGAAAAAAAAAATTCTTGCATTGATAACTTAAAATGGAAAAATCTGCAAAAGTTATATACTTGGAGTTAAATTGAAAATAAAATTTTGCACTATTTTTTCCAGGTTTGAGTGAAATGACTGTTGCAAATCTTTTCAAATTTTGCTCATTTTACACAATGAAAAAAACACGCAAACAGAGTGAGGAAATGATCTGGAATTCTGGGTCCAGACCTTCATCAAATGATACCCAAAAGAAATATTTTAAGTCCTTCAAGTCAAAAAACCTTGACAGACAGTGTTTTACAACAGTAACATGTGGTACCAGAAACTTTACCAGGGCCCAGTAATTATTGTGAACCATGCAACATTACAAGATCCACTACCTTATAATACACACACTTTTTTCTGAATCTTATACACATTTCATTCAATATTCTAAGTATAATAATAATGTTCTATGATAAACTAGATGAAGACGGGCAGAGTCAATTAAGAAGACTTAGGTATGGAGCGAACAAAGGAGACAACTTGGTAGAGAAACTTACACAGTTCCCTAACTTGCATTATCTGAATCTCAGACTGTGTCATTTTTCTGATAAGGAAGTAGATATAAGACAATTAGGTAAGTCAAATAAAAGGATAAATAATCTTTAACCTATTGTCTACAACTGATTCTAACCATGCAACAAGTGCTGACCAAGATCGGCCTGCACACCCATAATTCTGAAAGCTATATTTTTAGATTTATGCCCCTTTGTAATTTAGAATTTTTGTCAAAAATGGTTATTTTAGCAAAAGGGGTTAATTTGGCATGCTGTCACTTTGCTGTGCTCTTGTTGTACCTTTTACTGAAACAAATATTAAGGAAATTTTTGAAGATAGTTGCTGTCAATCTAATCAGTGGACAGGATATATTTTAGCTACAGACAGTTGTGTAAAAACCTCTTTCTAAACTATATAATATATGAGCCGCGTCATGACAAAACCAACGTAATGGGGTTGCGACCAGCATGGATCCAGGCCAGCCTGCGCATCCGCGCAGTCTGATCAGGATCCATGCTGTTGTTATCAGTTTATTTACTTGCTATAGGGTCTGTAAGCAAACAGCATGGATCCTGATCAGACTGCACGGATGCGCAGACTGGTCTGGATCCATGCTGGTCGCAAACGCACTATGTTGGTTTTGTCGTGACGTGGCTCATATATACCTGAAGAAATGTATTAAGATTACTCATACAGTATAATTTGGACAATTTGTTTTTCCAGCTTCTAACAGTAGCATTCAGATTTGTAGGAATAGCCAAACCTTGCCAATTATAGAATTTGATATTACAGTACAAAATTAATGTATATATTTTAATGTTGCTAGGGAAACACTTATCAGAGCCATCATGCAGTGTGTCAACAGTTATTCTGGATGGATTGAAACTATCCAGTACAACTACAATCAAAGATCTACTTGGTAAGTAGATGTTAAAATTGAATGGTTTAATTTCTCTTATACAACATTATACAACACTTGCATAATTTAATGTCTAAGTCATTAAATAACTTGCTATGTATTTTTATTTGTATTTTACTACGAAAGAAAGAATAAGTTTATTATTTTACTATACGAAAGAAAAAAGAATACCAAATAAATTCAAATAGCAAATTTATTTTGTACGAGCATACGCTGCAATTCAGCTTGTATCATAGCTTTTATACAAGTCAAATAGATCAATAAAATATATAATGGAGGTAATGGCCGCTCTGAATAACCAGTCGAGGTATCTCGCCTGATTCCTATAAACATGTACCTAATGCAGCGAAATAGCAAGAAAGCCAGACGTGTCGCGCTAATATTTCATTTCAAGCTTATTAAATAAAAACACATGTGCCATACTGAAACCATTTAACATTGGCTACCGGGTAACCAGAACCGAATGCCAAATAGTTTACCGGCTAATGCAATTAATGAAAAACTTGCTAATTTTAATACAGGCAAATTACAGGCATATACATCACATGCGCATCTCTGTGTCACAACGACGGTGCCAGTAGCCAAGATAACAAACGGAAAAGCCATTCCTGGGTAACCAGACATGACTCCCATCCATCAAATTAACCACTGCATAGGGGAGAAGCAACTCATTGTTTAACACCAGGTCGAAAAGCAATAGCAACACACTACCACTGAACAAACTGCAATAACAAACGCAATGGGTGTCCAATCGCAACAAATTTCACCCAACTCTGGGTAAAAACATATAGCCGGAGTTGTTTATAACGCAATCTGGTGTATCATAGACAGTTCTACAGTGATGATCACAAACACGAGTGGGATATCCATTAATATTCATGACCACCATGGTAGCAAGTGTAATGGAAAAGCGTAACACCATAATGAACTCGGGCTAGCGAAGCAAAAACGCAAAGCAACTGTGGTTTCACCAAGTACTGTGGGCAAGACACACTTGACCCAGTCCATAACATGAACTAGATGTACTACAATGACGGTGCCAGTACCCAAAAATGGTAGTCTCAACAGAAACGATAGACATCTACCACCATAGACACTGCATAAGGATGGTGCAACATTGTAAAGTACATGGGTCGTTTTAGCAACATAGCAATATGCAATACCGATTCAACCCCGCAATCAGGGGAATCAACCCGACCTGAAAATGCGCTCATGTGATTATGTATAATTATATATATATAAATATAGATACACCGGCACCAGTGTCATTCCGTAACAGCGGCTTGTCACCGGGTACCCAGGAAAAACAGCTGCCACTTAATGAACCACTGAGTAAAAACAATATAACGCTGCCTGTTTCTACTAAATACCTTATGCCAAAAATTTCTCAAATTACTGCTGGTAACCGACAAGTCTGACTCCCTTATAACAATTACAAAAGAGCGACTAAAATGTAATATTAAAGAAAATTATTTGCACCTAATAAAATTCCTATTGTGTAACTTGTAGCACGCATACAATCGCGAATCACACAGTAATGTAAGTTTAATGTCAACAAAAACTTAGCGAATGTAAAGGAAATAGACACTGAGGCACGGAAATATAAATTCAACTGTTTTTCAAAAATGGAGAAAAGTCACTACATCAAGTCCATCAAGCGCTGAACACAAACGCAAAGCTATTTACAAGTCCATGATAAAACGCCAAATCCTTGGTCACATCTGGTAAATGTGTATGCTGTATATGATGTAGTGTAGTTGAAACATGATGGAGCATACTCCCATCTACGTGCAGCATCCGTACCAACAGTGTCCACAACATATCTACAACATAAAACTACGAAGAAACAGTCAATGTGCTCTTTAAAGGTTAACTGTACTACAAGAATGATGTGAATAAACATTCAAAATATCTTATAAAAGTCCTGGCTATTAGGAACTTAGAAACAATGGGGTGTGGTGGGTGGGTAGAATTCTCGTAAAGGTACTACTATAAGTCTGAATGCGTTGTCGAAAGCAAGTGGGAGAATTGCGCGATTTTCACGTATTTATAGCAATGTAACTGTAAACGACTGTAGCTCAGTTTATGTACGTATGTGTAATGACATACTTAATAGAAACGGGTACCAATATTAATGTAATACACGGACTATTTCTTTCTCGAAAATAAATTGAATTATTTTGAATGAAAATAATTATTATTATTTTACTATACGAAAGAAAAAAGAATACCAAATAAATTCAAATAGCAAATTTATTTTGTACGAGCATACGCTGCAATTCAGCTTGTATCATAGCTTTTATACAAGTCAAATAGATCAATAAAATATATAATGGAGGTAATGGCCGCTCTGAATAACCAGTCGAGGTATCTCGCCTGATTCCTATAAACATGTACCTAATGCAGCGAAACAGCAAGAAAGCCAGACGTGTCGCGCTAATATTTAATTTCAAGCTTATTAAATAAAAACACATGTGCCATACTGAAACCATTTAACATTGGCTACCGGGTAACCAGAACCGAATGCCAAATAGTTTACCGGCTAATGCAAAAAAATGTGACACATCTGACTTCTTCCATGAATAAATTTTCGCCACAATAAATTGATTAATTTTACTTCTCCTAAAATAAATTTTCGCCACAATAAATTGATTAATTTATCCCCCAAATTTATTCATACTATTTTTTTTTTATTAAAGAGGCCGGTAACAACTTCCCAGGTCTATACATGGCGTGATCCTAAATGCTTGACAATAGCATCCTTAATATAATCTAGATAGAATTCCAAACCTACTGTATTGAGATGTACGCCATCATCTCGAAAAAAGGCCGTGGCTGCATCAATATCAGGTATAATGATATCACTTAAGCCTGATGACGTAACAATTTTTCTGGCTAGACGATTAAGGCGTTTTCTTTTCATTTCGATAGGTCGATATCCCCTAATAGCACCTGACCAATTTTGACGTTGTAAGATATCAACCCAGATTATCACAGTATGAGGAAAGGCTTCCCTTAAATATGCAATTTCTTGTTCAATTAAAAGTCGTAGTTGTACTGTATTGACCGACACAAGGTCGTTACCACCTAAATGAATAAAAATAATAGAAGGTGGAGAAGAAAACAACACCTGCATTTCTATTAGGCGTCTAAAACCACCCCATCTGAGGCCTCTCTCTGCCCACCAGGCAATGGACACATCCTTCAAGCCCAAATTCTCCTTAGCCGCATTCTTTGCATAATTCCCGGCCCAGTATGGGATTGAATCCCCCAGAATCCAAACATCTAAATATAAATAGACCAGAAAAAATAAATAATTTGACATGAACAGTGTTAAAAAGTGCCTTTGAGATACAGCTAATTATGTCTTATTAAAAAGGCTTAAGCTCGAATGTAGTTATTGAAACACCCAGAATTCCAGCGTCCTAACTGTTTAATTGTTTCCGCTGAATAACCCAATGATGCAAGATCAGTAGCTCTACCAATTCTAAAACTATGACTTTTATATGGTGCCACGAGCGTAGAATTAAAACGGATGGATTTTGATAAGACTGATGAAAACTGAGACCTAGTTACGACCGTACCATTTTTGTGACAAAACAATGAACCTTGGACATTCGGTCTACATACTAAGTAATTCTCTAGCGCCTCTACAGGGCAAGGTAGTGAAGTCTGTCTCGGTAATTTTAAGCAAACTGGTTTACCTCTCTGATTAGTTTTAAAATGCCTAAGACGAACCATTAAATAATTGTTGTTATGTGTAAAAGACACATCATTTTCTTGTAAAGAATTCTCACAATGGTTAATACTAGTCGCCACCAATTCACTCACACGGAAAAGACCAAAATATGCAAGAACAAAAATCGATGTAAAAAGTTTCACCTCAAAATTATCGTAACAAACCATAGGTAAAGAATTGCAGATGTTAACTAAAACTGATAGAGTTATAGGAGCACGGTTGTCAAGCGAGATTCTACTTCTATGGCAGCCTTCTAATAATTTTCTGATGATAAAAACTTCCTTTATGTCGTAAAAACCATTAAGTTTATGGTAATAATTGATCCCTGCCAAGTACGTTGTGATTGACTTAGGTGACAGACCTTTCTCAAAGCAAAATGATAAAAACAAAATAATATGTTTTACAGGAATCGGTGATTGCTTTTCCATCCCATATTGTGACCGAAATTTCTCAAAGGCTGATAAAGAAGTATTGTATGTTGACCTTGAGTTGGCCGCTATTCCAGAGTGAATAAGCTTTCCGGCTCTAAACTGAAGATGTGCCAAAGGAAGGGTGGGACCAAGCAAGGTATTTCGTCGGCGTTTGGAGCTAACTCTCGAAACCTGGTCAACTGAAACCGAGATAAAGCGTCACATATATTGTTTTGGCAACCGGGGACATGCGAAGCCTTAATCAAAATATTGAGCTTTAAACAACGTAATGTTAACACTCTAACAATACACATTACCATTTCAGATTTAGAAGTTAATTTATTCAATATATGCACCACTGCAAAATTATCACAGTTGAACCGTATCTTTTTATTTTTAAGCTCATAACCCCATATATATAGTGCCGCTAAGATGGGAAAAAGCTCCAAAACCGTTATATCCTCTGTTATGCCCAATTCATGCCATACTTCCTGCCACTTAGCATGACACCAATGACCTTGAAAATATACCCCAAAACCTAAGTTTTTGCCACCCGCACTATCAGAAAACAACTGAACATCATCGTTTGACACCCAAAATCGGTCATGAAAAACGGAAACCCCATTAAATTGTTTCAGAAAATATAGCCACATAGTTAAATCTAAACAAATATCTTTTTTTACTCTGATATGGTGATGTGGTTTATTTAAGCCACAAATTGAATTGATTAAACGACGAATGAAGGGTCGTCCTACTATGACTGCTCTACAGCAAAAATTTAACGAGCCTATTAACGATTGCATTTTCTTAAGTGTTGTTTTCTTATTTGACAGACATTCCTGAATTTTCTTTGTTACTTCTAGAACTTTAAGCTCAGGTATACGCACGCACATTTGGTTTGTATCTAATTCTAAGCCTAAAAAAGTCAACACTTCCGTCGGACCCTCCGTTTTGTCTTCGGCCAAAGGTACGCCAAGCTCAGACATTGTATCTTTAAAAGTTTTAAGCGCATGCGCACATGTTTCCTTAGATCTGTCCCCTCCTAAAAAATCATCTAAATAATGCAACAATTTCGCAGAAGTTAGATTTCTCTTAACAGAAAACTCTAAAAACCGTGCAAATCTTTCAAATGTGATACAACTTATAGAAGCCCCAAAAGGTAGGGCCTTATCAAAGTAATAATTCTCGTCAAAATAAAAACCTAACAATTCAAAATCACCCGGCTTAATAGGAATAATACGGTATGCACTTTTGATGTCCGTCTTGAATAATTGACAGTTATGACCTAGATCTTGAACCATTTTGACTGCGTCATCAAAGCTTGTGTATTGCACAGTGCATAACGCTGGATCAATATGGTCATTAACCGATTCGCCTGGCGGGAATGACAAATGATGAATCATTCTGTATTCACCAGGCACTTTTTTCGGCACTAAACCAATTGGTGATACAATTAAATTTTTGATTGGTCTTTCCTTAAATGGGCCAGCGATGCGGCCTGCGGAAAGCTCTTTACTTATTTGAGACTTTATTATCTCTGGATTAAGTGAAGTAGAACGCAAGTTTTTTGAGTCACGTGGAGCACGTGGACCTGAATACTGAATAGAAAAGCCGTTTTTAAACCCACTTAATAAAAACGAAGCTTCAACTTGATCGTAATATTTTAATAATTTCCGTAAAACTGAAAGTTTGACAGGTGATTTTGCTAAACAAAAAATATCAGAATTAACTTCATCTAACGAACTAAGGCCGGATTTTTTTGTGCTATCAATTTTTTCTCCCATTTTTAGAGTCGCCTCTTCTGTAGAATGGACTGGCACGAAAGGATTTTTGCGGGGGCGTTACAGACTCGCTTGACAGCTTATTCTTAAACTGATTAAAACTGCCACTTGTTGATGACTGATTTTTAGTGCACGCAAATTCTGGATGAGGAGCCGCGCACGTGTTACACACGTGGGCAAATTTACAATTTCGCCATGAGCAACTACCTCTATTGAAGTCATTACACGGGTATCTAACGGAACTTGATGGAGCTTTGGAAGGGGGGCGCAATTGCATGCAGCGCCACCACAAATCATTATTAATTTTTGACCATGAGGCGGGTGAAATAGCTTGACGGAGGCGAAACTGTTCGTCGTAGGTCCGCCATGCGACGCCTCCCTGACGTAAAGCGCATTCTCTTATGTTGAACATATAGTGCAACATTTCATACATTTTATCTGCGTGTGCCGACAGATAAACAGACATGTATATTATAAAGGCGTTTGTCCATTTTTCTATGTCAAATATCGATTCCTTACATTCTTTCTGGGCAGTTTCAATTTGACCATTTGCATTTAAGCGAAATACACTGCCTGAACAAAACTCGGACAGCTCAACAGCCCCTTTGAGCAAAAGGGCTAGGTTAATATATTCACCCTTGCAAATTTGTTGCTTAAGGGAGCTTGGAACATGTGCCGCAATATCATCGTCTGCTATGCGGACCATGGTTAACGGTGGCGTAGTTACCACATTGTTTGCCGAATTTAAACCCGTGCTGGCCTTTCGCGGGCCTGAAAGCGGGAGTTCTAAAATATTTTGCGCACCACACCCCTCATTACTATTACTTAAATTTGAGCTTGGAATAATCTGAGACTCTTTAAGAATTTGTTCAAAGTCTATAATGTTTGACCTACCGGCTTCGTTCTGCAACATGCGCTCATCAACGGAGTCCTCCAACGTTAACGCTGTAGAAGCTGGTCTCTTTCGGCCTCTCGTTGTTCTAGCATTACTATCCTCTTCCTGAGGAGAAGGCAATGTTACAGCTCTCCTGCGACCACGTGGCATAGCGTTACACAGCAAATTAGAATTCTCGTAAAGGTACTACTATAAGTCTGAATGCGTTGTCGAAAGCAAGTGGGAGAATTGCGCGATTTTCACGTATTTATAGCAATGTAACTGTAAACGACTGTAGCTCAGTTTATGTACGTATGTGTAATGACATACTTAATAGAAACGGGTACCAATATTAATGTAATACACGGACTATTTCTTTCTCGAAAATAAATTGAATTATTTTGAATGAAAATAATTATTATTATTTAAGACTAGAATATTAATTTTAATTGATATTGTGTTATGAATTATGTCTGGAAAAAAATTGTGTGTATTGTGTTCTTGACAAAGTAGATATCATGTTATTGCCACACATGACTGTAATACTATATGAGCCGCGTCATGACAAAACCAACATAGTGGGTTTGCGACCAGCATGGATCCAGACCAGCCTGCGCGACTGCGCAGTCTGAACAGGATCCATGCTGTTCGCTATCAGTTTCTCTACTTGTAATAGAGTTGGTAAGTGAACAGCATGGATCCTGATTAGACTGCGCGGATGCGCAGGCTGGTCTGGATCCATGCTGGTCGCAAACCTATTATGTTGGTTTTGTCTTGACACGGCTCATATATATCATGTTTTATGTGTATGGGTTGGTCGCCTTACTATACAATTAATTTTTTTAATGAATTTGAATTTCATGTTGCTCACAGTATAGGCTGACTTAGTATTGACTTGTCTTTGAGACATAGAAAAGTCATTCTAACTGCCTGCTAACCTTCCAAGGGTTTGATAAGAATATACCATTTTGAGAAAAAAATATTCATTTATCACTAATTCTAGTCCAACTTATTAGATTATTTAAAGAGACATGGAGATAATTTTTTGCATGGGCAGTGTCTTTTTTCGAAAGTTTGACAATAAGAAAAAAATGCCTTTAAAATGTTCAAATCGTTCAGGTCAATTTAATAAAGCTATGATAAATCATATTTATCTATTTGTTTAATTTTATTTAGTAAAATTTTGCATTGATTTAGATAATAAATAATGTGTAACACAGCTTTAATTAGAAAATATTATGAGCCTGGTCAATTTACATGGCTGTTCCAGCGGGCCTGGCTCCCGGCTCTATACTTGCAACATAGATCACTAAGTCTCATTGTCAATGTAGGGTGCAAAGGAATGATATTTTTAATTTCTTTAATACTAGTGAATCCAAAGACAAGTAAACTGACGACCTTGAGTCTTGGTGGCTGTTCATTGGATGACAATGACCTTTCACCTTTATGTAATGCAATCAAAGATGGTCTACAGTTAAGTATGCTGAAGTTGTCAGCCAATCGGATTACAGATGAGGGACTGACCAAACTTGTGGAAGCTTTATTAAAGAATAAAACAAACCCGCTAGCAGTGCTGGACCTATCTACTAACAGGGTAAACAGACTTTATTTCTTCTTTTTCTATGGGATATAAATTTTAAGATTGTAGTTCACTATTCAAGACACATAATTGTAGCATTATGACTGAATTATAGCCCTTTGTGAACTTCTAGGTTTAAGATTTTTGTGCAAGTTATATCTACAAAGGCTTGAAATTTGGTTTACATGTCTGACACTTTAGACTGGTCTTTATTTAACAAAGATGTTTCTATCCCTAGACAATCTTATAAAACAATACTTCACACAGGTATTTCTCAAATGGACTTGTCCATGTTCAATTTTTAGAACTATCCATTATCAAATTTATGAGTGTCAAGATGAAAATTAATAATAATAAGTCGCCAGCAACCTGTTTACACTACACAGAAGTGCTAGCTGGCCAGGCTCTATACTTGTGGCAAAGGCTAACAACTATTGATCCTTGCATTGCAAAACTAAATTTATGTTTCTATGCTCATGTTTTGAAAATATTTCTTCTTTTATAGATTGAAACAGAAGGAGCAAAATCATTATCAAAATTATTTACCTCCAAGTCAAAATTACACAGTCTTAATGTCAGTTCAAATAACATAGGTAAGTGTTTTATGTATTTTATTTGATGTTTTTTCACTCCCATTAATGTGACTTTTGTAACCCATATTCCAATTTCTGAAATAGATTTGTTAAGTTGAAAATTTAGCTCAACTTTTCACAGAATAAGGAAAGCTATTGACCCTGGTGTTGGCATGGCTGTCACACTTTGGTTAAGTTTTTGTGTATAAGTTGATATCTCTAAACTACTGAAGGGCATTCTGGTTGAAACTTCACACACTTGTTCTCTGTGATTATCTAACATTATGGGCACAGGTCTCATAACTCTGAGTTACCTATTGAGAGAGTTAAAGAGTTATGCTACTTTTCTTACTGTCAAGGACTTGAGAATAGTGGAGTGTGTTGTCTTACGGACAGCTGTTGTTGGGTTATGAAGAATAAAATTGATATTAACCAACTATTAATTTATTTTTTAGCTCGACTATTCGATAAGAATAAGTAGAGCTATTGTAGTCACCCGAGCGTCGGCGTCAGCGTAACCACTTATGTTAAAGTTTTTGTAATACCTCAAATATTTTCAAAGTCCATTGACATATGGCTTTGAAACTTTGCACACTTGTTCACCATCATGACCCCAACCTGTAGACAGGAGGAGATAACTGTATCAAGCATTTTGACAGAATTGTACCCCTTTTCTGACTTAGAATTTACGTTAAAGTTTGCATACCACCTCAGATATTTTCATATACTATTGACATCTGGCTTTGAAACAAGTTGAAATTTTATACTCTTCTTTTAGAGCATAATAGGACTCTCTTCAAGGCCTATAACAGTAACATGGATTTAAAGGAAAATTTGGCCCTTTTGTTAACTTAGAAAATTTTACATTATCAAGGCTCTTTTACTATCAAGCACTAAGAATAGTCGAGCGTTGCTGTCCTACCGACAGCTCTTGTTTATTGGAATATTGTTTGTTTTTAATTGAAGTATTATGAACTTGTCTGACCATATTTATATATATTAAGATTATAGGATGCTTACAAAATGTACCTAAAAAGGTTTAAACATGTTCTTTTCTATGAACATGTACTTTTTTATGCAATAATGTTTTAGTTTAAATAATACTAAATAATGTTTTGAATTGAAGTGATAAAATGTACCTAAAAAGGTTAAAAAAGTCTTTATTATGATTATCATTTATGATCTATTTTGTAGGGAAAGATGGGTTACTATCCCTGGCATCAGTTGTGGCGGGGAAGTCCCCATTACAGACCTTGCACGCCCAGGATCAAAGTGCAAAACAAGAAGATGCCAATATGGCTGAAATCTTTTCAAAACTAGCTACCAGTCTAGGTATCATATCTGTTCTATATCTTTCATTAGTCCTTAACCTGTTGAATTTCTGTAATGGATTTGCCCAACTTTGAAATGGAACAGTCTATTCAATGTTTAAGGGAATTTGTTTTCAAAATACAAAAAACAATAATAAAGAAGGAATAGTTTTCATCAAAGGAATTTTAAAAGATTAACTTTTTGCAGTGTTTTCATTGCTCTCAAGTAATCTCTCTTGTGAGAATTTCATGTTTTCTTTTGTACAAATCGCTACTTTATAAATATCCATACAGTTTACATAAATTTTTATCTATAGCAGTACTTACATATTTATTATTCTATAATTGTATTATTATATATGCACATGTAGGTTACAAGATACAGATGGATGGCGATAAAGTGAAGCCTGGGTGTAGTGATTTACCCTCAAACCTGCCAGATGGTCTCCTTGTGAACCTTACACTAATGGGAGGTTATGCAGGTATGATTTCATCAACAAAGAGAGGCTACTCTTTCATTAAAAAAATTGTTTAGGGAACTATTTTTATCTGTATTTTCTTGCTTACTAAGAGAATTCACTTGAAATTTTGAATTATCTTTTCATCATCCTAACTGCAATATTTTATATACTGTAACAAGGGTATCTCTTGCAACATTCCTACAAAATAATTTTTTTGAGCTTTTAAGCTGAACTATTGGAAGAATAGGAAGAGCTATTGTATCAGGTGTTTACTTTGGTGTCACACTTCCACATTTTGATTAAGTTTTTGTGTGCAAGTTGGTACTCCAAAACTACTGAAGGGAATGGGTTGAAACTTCACACATTTATTTGAGAGCATAATAGGAGGTCGCTGTTAAAGGCCTGTAACTCTAACATGGGTTTTGACAGAATTATGACCCTTTTTGAACTAAGAAAATTCTATATTATCCAGGCTCTTGTTTTACTATCAAACACTGAGAATAGTCGCGCATGCTGTCCTACTGACAGCTCTTGTTATTTATTCTATATTAACTAGGAAATGTTGGCCAGGCCATAGACAGTAGATGTATCAGGACTGATTATATAGATGAAAGACTTCCAAGTCTCTCATTCCACAATATCATGCAAATATGCTGCTTTCTACAGGGAAAAAGTAAGTATAATGCATTTAGTATGTAATATTAACACCTTTGATTCCTTCTTGACATATCTGTATGGTAAATTTTCGATAGTCTTAAGTTGATTAGAATAGATAATAAAGTACAGTAGAACTTCGGTAAGTCGAAGTTGGAGGGACCTGCGTAAAAACTTCGACACATCGGGACTTCGACTCATGAATCGGTCTGAATTTCATGACAAAATTTCAACCCGTGACTAGCCCTTATTATAAGATATATAATGTAACCTATTTCATGTTTTTCTTTCATTCAGTAATCTGATATTTTACATTATACAATGATAAATATGACATGTTTAGTTACTTTTCACGGCTAATGATTTGGACTCCCTGTTGACGTGACATATACAATAAAGTTACAAAAGGCGAACAATACAAAAGGGCAATAACTAAAACAGCTTATAGTAAATATTTCGCGTGTGGTTTTCACGCGACACCGGGTCACGGAAATACTCAAATGATAGTTCTTACTGTTTACATGTACTTTCAAATACCGCTACGGCAATTAAATAGTAATGATTAGAGCATTTTTCACACATTTAAACGCATACAAAGACTATTTGAACACTCGGCTGTGTAATTAACACCTTTCCCTAAAGTTGATCGGAAGTCGTCTTCTCGGCCAGAAAAGGTGTGAAAATGTCTTGAGATCGAAGGTGTCAAAATAACCGAAAAACTTCGACTTATTTGTGGTAAATTGTACTAGATTTATTATATACGGACCACAAAAAAACTTCGACACATCAAAAAACTCGACACATAATATCTCGACTCATACATAGGTTTTTATAAGGAATATATAAGGGAAAAAATCGGGACTTTCATTTTACTTCGACACATTGAGAAAATCGGCTAATCGAAGTTCGACTCATAGAAGTTCTACTGTATTTGAATGATGATAAAAGTTAATTAGAAGTAATAACAGATAACAAATGTTAAGAAATGAATGCATCTGCCATAAGTAAAAGGTTAAATTTTATCAGGAAGAAGTGTTATGTTTTAGAAGTGATCTGTCTTCAGTAAGAAGTGTTTTCTCTTGACTATGAAGTTATCTGCCTTTAGTAAAAAGTTATTTATACTGAGGAAGTTACTTGACCTGTGTAAGTAGTTATGTATTTTGAATAAGAAGTTATCTTTCTTGAGTAAGAAGTTATTAGAGCAAAGAGCTATCTATATTGTCAGTATGAGGTTATCAGGTAGAGTTTTTCTGTATTGAGTATGATGGTAATTTTCTCAAATAAGAAGTTAACTGAATAAGGAAGGAGTTATCAATTTTGAGTAAGAAGTAATTTGAATATGAATTTTATCTTCAGAATATTGAAAGTTTGATGTGAAATTATTGTTAAACATGTAAAATGTAAGTTACAACTTTTCTAATATAAATGTTACCTATTAAGGTACAGATAAGTGTGTCTGGTCTGAGAAGGAATGGGATATGATAACTGGTGCCGACAGACCAACTACAGATGCACCATCTTGGCTTAAGGTAACTGTTTACAGACGCTTTTCACATAGCATGTATTATCTCCCCTGGCCCTATTTTGAGGGTCATTCCCAATATATTTATGCCTCTGATAATACCAAAATTATTCCCAATTCTATCATTTTCATGTAACCTGATAAAAATCTTTAAGATATTGGTACTATCATAACGTTTTCTTTCACAAATAAAAAAAGAGTTTGACAATTTACATGAATAAGCTGATAAAGCTTTTTTCATATTTTGTCAATTATATTATATACAATGTACATGTAGAATATTAACCACATCATTGGCTGCCACTTTTGGCAAAGGAGGTAAAAATTGTAAAGATTGGGAGCTATGTTTTTTAATTCAACAAAAAAACATTCTGTTTTTACTTTTGTTGGACAATTTTGAATTTTTTTAAGAGAGAAAAATGGTAGAATTCACTTTACTGATACACAGTCATTGCCCAACTCTGAAATCTAAATATCGCGTCATTTTTTATTAAAATGAGTGGAAAAACCGGGGTTTGGGGGCAATAGCCATAAATTGAAACAGATAAACAATGAAACAATAAACAAAAATGAATAGCTTTACACAAATAATCAGCTGTTGCTTATATAAAGTGAGCTATTACAGGAACTTCCTGTCTATTTCTAGCTACCGGAAAGTGCATTTGTCCCAGAAAATAGATTTTACAAATTTGATGATTACTTTTATTGCTATTATATATATTTATATTTATATCAGAAATCATTTTGTCAAGTTATAATGTATGTTACCATTTGACATTTATTTGTTGTATTTTTTTATAAATTAGGTCATATGATTTATGAAGAATAGCGTAAATTTAAATCTTTAACAGCTTAAGGTAAATGTCAGTTAGTTATCTATAGCAGGGGTATAATTAGACTTTTGTTTTCATGTTGATTTCAGTTACCAGCAGAAAGAGACCGTTGTATTTATATTAGTAACCTACCTGGTACAGCAACACTACAGAAAATAGAGGCAATTCTAGAGATGGATGCAGACTGTAGTGTTGATGAAACTTGCTTAATGAAGGTACTGTATATAGCTCAAAATGTTTAGGCACTCGTGTTAAAACCTGTACATGTATATCTTATTGTACTTGAAATGTCACTATCTTTCAAAATTTCTTTTTATATACATTTCTTTCTCACATTTTTGTTGTTGATCAGTTTAACTATGGTACATAAATCTGAAATAAATGGTTTGTTTCCACCAATAGTATGTGAGGTCATTATATGATGTCATGATTAATAACATGATAGATGACATAGTGTGTGATGACATCAAATTTCATGATATCATGAGTAATGACATCACATTTCATGACATCATGATTAATGACATCACATTTATAGACATCATGATTGATGACATAACATTTAATGACATCATGATTGATGACATAACATTTAATGACATCATGATTGATGACATAACATTTAATGACATCATGATTGATGACATCATGTTTAATAACATCATGATTGATAACATCAAATTTCATTACATCATGATTGATGACATCAGTATTAGATTACAGTATTGACATTATGCAACTCTTATGTGCATTTAGGACCCAGTAACAAGAGGTGTAAATGGTGTTGGCTGGTCTATGATGAGTGATCAGGAATCTGTTACCAAGGCGATAGACTATTTCAACAGTGGAGAGGTAAGGTTTTTCCTTCTATTTTATGTCTGCCATGACTAAGAGGTCAAGGTCACTTACCTTCATCTCTATGGGTTTGAATCACTGCCAGGAACATTGAATTATTTTATGTTAGGAAACTGTCAGTCTTGCTTTAAACAGTCAATAGTTCTCAATGGTAGGGCTGTTATTGTTGGACAATTTTGTATAGATATATTGAAAGTCCAATACTGGCCATGTACCAATATATCAAAGTAAATAACTAGTACAGCGGAAATCGTTTAAATATACATGCTTTATTAGGCTTCACAAATACATATGTTACTTTCAAGACCCATAACTTTAACAGGGATTTTGACAGAATTATGACCCTTTTTCAACATTTTGATTCTGCAGTATCCATACTCTTGTATTACTGAGAATAATCGAGCACACCATTGTACAGACATCTCTAGTTTTTTGTGTTATTAATTCTGAGAATTTTAGCATTGACTGAGTTGTTCATTTGTCAAAAAATGAGTACAATATAATTATAATCCTCAGAAACTTGTTTGTCTATATTCTTGCTTTGCTATCACAGGCGAAGATGTTTGGTCAAGCTTTCATGATGTCAGAGGTCAAAGTTCAAGTGGATAATGAAGCAAGTACAGAAATAGAGCAGAAAGCTTTGTAAGTAAAACTATAAGTTTTGTTGATTGTGCATAGTCAGAGGTGTCCAGTGCGCAGTTGACTTCTTATCATTTGCCCTTTGAATTTCTGCAGGAATGTTGGAATTTTTTTAAATGACAAAGTTGTCTAGTTAGCGTACAGAAAGAAAGTTTTTCTACCAAGTGTATTTTTTGCACAAGTTAAGCTTAAATATTGCTATGTAATTGAACTTTTGCAATAGAAGTGTTAATTTAACCTCCACCTAAAATATCCTGTATCTTATCATTGTGCTGGTCAGGGTCTATTCCACCGGCAAAGGCTAATCACTGTGTATATTTGAGTTTATTAATACTTGCGGGACCTCCAGAAGAGTGTAAGTATTAGTCATTTTAGATTTTGGAGGATAGTGCGCAATACAGAAAGATGCTCCATTGCTAGAAACTTCTCCTAGTTCTTTAGTGTGCCATGTCTTTAAGCACTCTTACATGGGACCTCAATTTAAAGTCCCATCAAAAAGACTATTTAGTAATCTTAGTTGGCCAGCTAGGGAATTGAACCCACAATGTTGAGACTGCAAGTCTTACACTGTAACCGTTTGAGCTATATTGACTGTTCTGATCAATGTTTTGATTTGAGACTAATAAACGGATCTAATTGGAGCAAGGGGAAGGTTAAGTTAACTTATTTTGGTCACAGAACAAGGTGAAGGTTAAAAACTTGTACATTTATCTGATTACAGAGCTGACAGGGAGACTAGACAGAAATTAAGAGCGAAACAAGAGGCCGAACATAAAACACTGATTATAAACACAACCGAGGCAACGTGGAAACGACATGCATACCGACTCGCTCATCCGGCATACGCAGATGGTCGTATATGGTAGAAACTTGTACAGTAACATGCCGCAGAACTGTTCAACGATACAGTGAAATCTGTGTCAAACTCCATTTCTTAATAATAGACTAAAATTAATATATCAATATACAATAAGTGAAAAGATAATTATACGTCAACACCAGGGCTGTTTATATTATTTCATATCTACCGGTTATAACCTACCGTAAGGTCTTCATCAGGATAAATTTTGACAGAAATTTTGGCCTGAAGTATTAAAAATATATAGTATGGTAAGTCACATAACTAAACAAAAAAAGTAACAAAAATTCTAAAAATAGAATGAGATTTGGCTTGGTGCCAGAATGTTGTTAAGTATATGTGTAATAATTAAATTAATGAAGATACTATAGTTTTACCGAGTCCAAAATACTGATATTATTAATATAGAAAATTTGTTACTGACCATTATTAGAACCAAGCTGAAGTTCCTCTCTGTGTAAAAAAAAAGGTTGAACTTTCCTGGCCAAATGCCAAAAATTTACCACCGCTTAAACAACATAAGAAAATTCAGAATTTTTTAATATTATGTGCACAAAATGTCTGGCCCTTTGATCTGAAAGTTATTTGATTATTTTCATGCTTGAGATAAAAGATTCAAGTAGATTTGTCTGTGATAAAGTAAAATACAGTATTATTTATTCTAATATACAAATGTATTTATATATATATTATTTCTTTATAATTTTATATTGTTGATCATTGTTATTAATATTTTTCAAAAATAAACTTGTCTTCAGCTATTGTCTTGTTGTTCTGTAGTAAAACCTTTTTTGATAATTTGTATCAATATTTGGGCTTTTGTTGAAGCAATATTAGGGCTTAAATGTGTCAGTTTGTATTTGATAGAATTCATTTTTGCATGTGCATGTTTCTAAATTCTGTTGTTGGCAATGTAAGTAAGTAAATAATGTATTCTAGTGACCTGTGCATTCGTATAATACAAAACAAGTGTTTACAAAGTTAAACGTGCACCTGACCCCATGTGCCTATAAGTCACCTCAACATTTAAACTCATTACATCATGCAACTTGAGCAAACGATGTAGTGGAAAAGAAAATGAAAATTGGCATTTATCATATACCCGTGCCGATTTTTTGCGACTCCGTAAAAACGGTATTGCATGACCGTGCATATAATTTGACGTGACGCCATTTGCGTTATATAAACATAGTGTAAAGAGGCGCATAATGTTAGCGTTACAAAATAGTTGCTTCATTGAAAAAATGCTTCTTTTTCACTTTAAACACTTTATTTTGGATATATGATAAATAGAATATTATATTCGTGAAAGTTTAATACTGAATTTTTTTAACTCGTTGAATAAAATAATATGCTCGCAGGGGATAACTATTTAACTCGTTCAATAAATGCATTCAAAATCCTCTATTTATAGAACAATATTATACAGTTTCAAAAAGATTGGTCCTAGTTTTATACGAGGGGCATATTTTAGTTAGTGGCAACAACTCCATTTAACCATGATTTGCACGTGAAAGTACATGTATAATATACCGTTGGAAAGATTATTGATTTTTCAAAGCTACAGTTTATTTTCCACAATTTGCACGTGCAATAATTTTTTGTATACTGGTTGTAAACATGAGTGAATTGCATTGTGATTTGAGAGATATTGCAAAATTATTGGGTTATAGGGTAAATGCGCGTCAGAAATAAAAACGGATCCGAGAAAATGCCCTTCCATATGGTACAGTTGCCAGGTGGGTGTCAATGTTTAAGGAAGGTAGAACTAATGTTAAGGATGATCCGGGCGGCCATTTTTCTTTAACTCTGAAGAAGACATAAGCACTGTCAAAGCCAAAGTTGATGAAGATGCAAGATATATCTTGGAGGAGATAAGTGACATATCTGGCCTTAGTGCGTCATATGTGTTTTCCATATTGAAAGAAAAATTTAATTTAAAATAAAGGAAAGTATTTGCTTACTTCTGACCAGAAAAGGAAGCGGCTTGAAAAAGCCTGGGCCTTATTGACTATGTTCAAAGATCGACACGCTAGACGCCTGAGAGAAATTGTCACAGGGTATGAAACGTGGCTTTTTTTTAGCCCGACAATAAACTCAGAAACAAAATGTGGGTAGCTGAAAAAGCTATTTTTTGAAAATGATTGATTATAGTGGCCCATGCAGTTGTGCCTGAAAGGTGTTGTGTAACTGGAACATTTTACCGAGACAATGTTCTCATTGCTGTAGTTAATCAATACATTACACAGAATTCAATGTCCGGGGTGCGCAGGATAAAATTACTCCATGATAATGCACCTGCGCACCGGTCAGCCTTAGTTCAAGCTTATTTAGAGGAGTAGGTAATTGAGGATTTGTTATATTTCGCTTTAAAGTCTTGACCATAGGAATTCGGGAACGGGACCGCACATTGTGGCGCTTATTTTCGATTGTGTTACGGTTTTGTTTAAAATGTTTCTCCTACATCTAAATATCTTTTAGTATTATCCGAGTGTATGACTTCAAAGAATATAATTATTATCAATTTGGACACAATTTGTTACTTTTAAAATTGGTCCAATTTCACGGTATACAAATGTATACCGTAAATTTGACTTATTTTTTTAACTAGCAGACTATATATTAAATTGAGATTATATTATAAAATAATTATCCTTTTCACTCACTCGGATAATATGAAAAGAGATTCAAAGGTCGGACAAACAATATGTTAAGGTGGTACGGATTCGGATTAATGCGCCGCAATATGCGGTCCCGTTCCCGAGTTCCTATGGTCCTGACCTCATGGTTAATTCCATAAATATAATATTGCCTTCGCGATCGCCGGTTCCAAACCTGCAGTGTCGTCGGAAGCCCTCTTTACCAGTGTACAAACAGTATACCCAAAGAACAGTTCTAAAACGCTTTTTTCGGAATAGATTCTGAGACTGGAAAAATGTGTAGAGGTCTACACATGGTCTATGATGAATATTTTAAAGGACTCTACTTATCATTTTTCACAAGTATGACTTATTCATAAGAACGCGCTGCCGTTGCCACTAATTAAAATATGCCTCTCGTGAACATGTGCAATCTATTTGAAGGGACTCCACTGAGGATTATTGAGATGCATAGACAAGAAATACTTTTTTTCGAGATTTGTATACCAATAGATGAAAATCTATACAAATAACTTGTGTGCAAATTTTTAAATAATTCACTCACTCAGTTTTCCCGGAATTGTCATTTTTATTGCACAAAAAGACCTAAAACTGAAAATCGTTTAATTTTAATGCATTACTCGGATCAGGCTAACAACTGCACTTTCGATCCATTTTCAGTTTTATTCTAAGGACATTTCTTTATTATAATTTTCCATATTTTCCTCTTTTAAATGCACAAGGTTTTTATATATTGTAAGATTTTCCAGAGTTATTTTTTTATACTTTAGTACCTCGGTAAACCTTTCAGTTATCAAGGAGGACAATAACAGTATCGCGACTTTTCTTCAAGGCCACATTTTCCTTCTTTGTCGTTCCCATATGTTAAGTGTTTTGATATAAATTTCCTGTTATTTAATTGTTTATTCACGCACTTTAGCAAGTTGAAGGTATGTTGCTAATGTGAGAATCACATTTCCTGACCACCAGTGGTACCTCTGGCCGATTATTAGTCATTGAGAATGATAGCAACATTCACCTCTACTATTTTATTTTTTAGCTCACCTGAGCTGGTTTAGCGTGAGCTTTTTGGATCTTTGAATGTCCGTCGCACGTCGTCTGTCGTCCGTTCACATCGTGTTCGTTAACACTCGAGTGGTCACATTTTGTCATCGAACTTGGTCAGAATGCTTGTCTAGGTAATTTCTTGGTCGAGTTCGAACATGGGTCATCTAGGATGAAAAATTAGGTCACAGGAGCCAAAAGTAGAAAAATCTTCTTAACACTCTATAGTGGCTACTGTTTGAGTCCAAATATCAAGGATATTGGTCAGAAAGATTGTTTGATGATTTCTAGCTCAAATTCGAATATGGGTCATCTGGGGTCAAAAACTAGGTCACACAGCCCAAATATGGAAAAACCTTGTTTACATTAGCAGTAAAACAGGTGCAGATATGAATGTAATTATACCAGTTGAAGATTATGACATTAAATCTGCTTTCTATTCATAGCTAACAATATTAATTGTTCCTTGTCATTTAGAGCCGAGATTTAATAGTATAATCAGATAAAAGATTAAAGGGCTATCATGGCCCTCTTCTAATAAAAGGGAGAGCTATCCTCGCCCGGATGTCGGTGTCGGCGTCTGCGTCACACTTAAATTTTGGTTGTTTTTCATACCAACTCACTTATTTCTTACACCCTTTGAGGTAATGCTATGAAACTTAAGATATTTTTTGTGACCATCGTCCCACTTTCACACAAGAGGACATAACTCTTTTTCTGGATTTTTAGAGAAGATTATGCTCTATTTTTCAAGTTAAAGTTTCAGTTAACTTTTCAGTACCACCCCACTCTTAATAAATTTTCTTTTACTCTTTCAGGCATTTCTTTTGAAACTTGAAAGCAGTAACGCATATACATCCCGACTGTTAGTGGCAATCATCTCTACTTCCAAGCAAGTACTTAAAATAGGCGAGCGAGCTGTCTTATGGGCAGCTCTTGTATACAATCATAACGTACAATCCTTTTCCATTATCATAGATTTCCGTGATGGTGACTTTTCCGAATAATATTATGTGAAGTAAAATCGGCGCGTGTATACATACTTAGTTAATATAACATACAATATAAGACAAGCCCGGATCCAAATGAGATTTGCCTTTTATGTTATAAAATCTAATATAATATCAAGGTCCGGATAATAATTTCGCACTTGAGATATTTACTGATTTGAAATGATTTAAAATTGAAATCGGAAATGACCAATAATAAGACGGATCACAAGAGTAAGACGCTGTAATCTGATATTATAATAATACTATAGAGGTACATTGTATACTTGAAAAATGTCTAATATGTTAATATATGTTGTTTCTTCTTCTTTTTTTTTTCTTTTTTTTTTTTTTTTTTGGGGGGGGGGGGGGGTTGTAGCAGGGTCTGTGTTGGGGGGACGGGGAAGGGGGGGGGGTAGTATCAGATCAAAGCTACTTACCCCCTGTGGGGCGGATGCCATGAACTCTTACCACTCTCGGTAAACAATATCGGAATTGACAATTAATTTTGCTATGAAAAAAATATGACCGTCATGGTTTGTTTTGCATTTTTCTTTTGCAATGTTCATTTACTAATTAAAAGTATTCTGGCAAAGTGGAACACAACGATTTTATCTTGTGCAATTTAATAATTCATTTAATTGTGTTGCAATCAATTGTACCTGTTGTATTATATATGCCTGTTATCACTAACGAGTAAAACCGTGAGCGTTTTAATTGCATTTGGTGAATGCTTAATAGACAGAAAAAGTATCGTTTTACAATGTAGTTCCCACGTAAATGTCACTGTAAACGAACGCTTAACTTTTAATTGTTATATTATCTCATTTGACACGATTGTGTCATCCGATCTTATTTCACCTTTAGCTTTGTATTGAATAATTTTATTTGTATATCTTAATTACTTTTAGTTGAAGCATGTGTCAAATCAGAGCCCACCGCTACTGTTACACACTGTATTA